AACTATACAGCTCAAAGTATGTTAACATCGGCAAGCAATTCGGCGAAAGCTATCCGAAAAATTCTTCCTTGTAAAGTGTTTAGTAAGGTTGAAGAAATCGATGCGTGAAGGTTCAAACCAAATTGAGTATATGTGTAGAAGTCGTAGTCATGATAAATGATTTGATCCATGTGCTACGCGTGCTAACAGCACCAAAGACACAGAATTCGGTGATAAATTGCTTCATGTATCCAAGCTAGGCGGTTAAAGAATTAAATAGATTCAGCTTTCCTTGTAAATTTTTTATATTAGCGCGCCTCGCGCTGAGTTAAGTGCCTCTCTCCCCTTACATACAAAGAAAAAGAAAAGGAAAATTAGGGACTTGCTTCGTGTTTCCAAGCTGGGCAGTTTAGAGAATTAAAACAGATACAGCTTTCCTTACAAATTTTATTTTAGCACGCCTCGCGCTGAGTTAAGTGCCTCCCTCCCTTTTGGGAAGAAAAAAAGAAAAAAAAGGGGAATTAAGGCCTTGCTTTGGGCTGTATTCCAGTGATGCCTATTACGTAACAAACTGACAAGGATTACCTTGATTTGAGGAAATTGTAACCATGACAACTGCAAAATTAACTATCGCTTTTCTAACCTTCTTACGTCATAATAGGGACACGCGTTTAAATGATTGACATAATGTGGTCTCCATAGCGACCCAGCTTAATTGACAGTTGTTTTGGAGTATGGCTTGTTATTGACGACGAGAAAAATTGAAGTTTAGATTATCAGATTATCGCAAACAGAATCAGGCAGGTTCCATGCACTATTAAGTAGTGTAAATGTGTTTCGCATTATTCCTTTCACGATAGTTTTTGGCTTATATATGAGTACATGGCGCATACATAGGATATTTTTTTCGTCTCTCATATTCCAAAAAAATAGTCTTTTATTGAAAAGACACTGATTCGTGAATGCACGAATTCTCAAAGCTTAAGGTTCACCTATCCATGTTTAAAAATTCCAATCACGCACGAGTTATCACCTTTTTCAGTCACGTTCATGCGATAACCATCTTGAGACATGACGAGAGAAAAACCTGGAAATTCGTTTTACAAGAAAAAAGACATTGTCAATCGAATGTTGCATAGAAATCTTGGAGGGCCTTAATTAATCAAAGTTTCACTACCAAAAAATTTCCGCTTTTTTTGATAGAGGAGCTAAATGCTCATTAGACGTTCGGTTTTTCCTCATTTCCCTCTCTGCCCTTGACCATCGCCAAAATAAAATGATGTACCTATATTTTAGAAAGCCTAAATGTCGTGTAATTCTGTTTGATTAATTAAAGTCGACTTTGACCGGAAATTCACAAAAAGAACTGAAAATGGGTAAATTATGGCCATTTTGAAAATTAGTATTTCTTTTACAAACCTTAACAACTAGAGAAAGAACTTAATGTTTCCAAAATGGTCTTTAATTTTTGGAGTTGCACACAATTTTACACATTATTAGCTACAATAAAACAAAGTTTTATGATCAGCGTAAATCAATTACGGTTGCTAATGGCTCTTTTCGAGTAACTTCCTTCCTCGTAGAGCAGGGTAAGTGGGCAAAAAAACTAAATTTACAACCATTAAACCATTTTCTCGACAAATTTTGTCAGCGCTGCCTTCTTCAATACGTAATACTACGCACACACACTGTCTAATGACATCAGCAAAATACATTGGTCACGCTCTTTTAGTACACTTTATTTGTCGTTTGATAAAACGTCGAGCAAATCAATCTGGGCACGTTTATTTTAATGAGAGGCCTTTGAATGTCTCCGTGGTTCCGTGACCTTGTATCACTGTGTCAATTATTGGACCATATTAATGGTAACAATAAGTATCTACAACACGTGAATAGTCCATCTCACGCGCGCTGATTGGCTAGTTCGAAGAAGATAAACAAGTACTATTCAACTCTGTGCAGGCGAAGAGAAAAAAATTGCGATCGTGATTTCCGCCAATTTTCCGGTATATTGACAAAAATTAACATTTTTATTTTGGTTTCTGTGTGGTATATACTAAAATAATTATTTACCTCAGTGTGGGTGAAAGTGGTGAATAATTGTTAATTACAATGTCGCCGACCAAATTGCAAACCTCTCATGTTTCCCTTTCATTACATTTATTTATCGGTACTGGAAGGGCAAATATCATTTCGGAAGATTAAGAAGTAATTTTCTCTTCGATGCATGGCACGTTTTACTCTAGAACCTTTAATTTATACTGTGCACGTACTGGATTCTAAACGGGGAGGTTAGATCTTGCTGTTGATTGAAAAAGCAAGTAATGGATTCATGGGCAAAATGCATTAGTTGTTTGTTTATTTAGTTTTGTCTCGTCTTTTTACACCTTTTCCCTTTCTGTGTATCATTCTGGTTTAAATGTTTTGGTTTGTTTTTAAATCCTTTTTCTACATTTCCAACTATTTACTTTGCGTAGTGTTTAATGTTCTCTTACGAGTCAAAACCGGATAATAGCTTTTTTATTTTTTAAAAATGGCACTGTCAGACCATCAAACACAAATGGGATGAAATCATCTTTCTCTCACGAATTTTAACAATAGCAATTATTTCATGAACTAAAATAAATAAAGGAAGATTTCTTATCGGTTTAATTTTCAAACGCTGGCATATCATCTCGCGCGGAAATCGGCCAATGAAAGGTTTTAAAAGGCAGCCGAACATTCACCATGTTTGTCATTTTCTGCAACGCATTCTGGAGTTAAAAACCATTTAATAACGTCAGTCAACCCTTTTTTTGAAGGCATTTCAAGTCAAAAAGCAGACGGTTTGCTGAAAGGAAACTTGAAGCATCAGAATGAATGTTTCTGTTTCAAATGGTAAGTTTTTACGACGGTCTTAGAGATATTGCATGTCTTATTCAAAATATCCACCATGAAGCTGGGCAAATATGTTAAGTCTTAGCGGTTTGACTGTGGTGCATTTTCTTCAGACTTTGCCGGACAGAATATATTCTACGAGTGAGTGCCTGAACTAAACTGGTAAACAACAAGTGTTACTTAATAAACGATTAAAACAAAAAAGGGTGATAACGAGTACGAAATTTTAAGCAAATTCCGAGCTGAGGCAGTATCATACATGCAGGCATGCAGGCAGGCGTGGGTTGTGTTTAGTAAATTATCGCCGTAATAGGTAGTTATACTGTGACTTCTATTCATTTTGAAATAACAACTGCTTTAGCATATTTCCTTCCATGAGAGAAATTGTGAAGAAAGGTAGTAAAATACAGGCAAACAAATTAAAAGTTAAGATCTTTTTAGCGTAGGGGGAGCCTTTCAAAGAACAGTTTCCAAAGGCTTCCTGAGCGATTTCTTTCTCAGCACTACGCGGAAAATGAATATGAATCCTGGACAAATATTCGAGTCGAGGACTTCCTAAAGTCGAGGAAGGGTACACCAGATCTCAGCTTTCCCCAAACATTTCTAGGTATATCAAAACTCTCTATAGCAGTTCCGTTAAAGATATAAATTTTCAACTATAAAGACTTCATAGCAAGTGCTTGAGTACTCTGTATATTTAAGGTCTTGTGCGTGATCGCAAACTTCCGATCCATAAAATATTTTTTTCAATGTACATTTGATCGCTCCTGTAAAACAATATTTGAGGCAAAAAGGCATTGAGTCGCCCCCAACTCGTCAGATTTATCAATTCGCCTACATTTTCATTCAATTCGGTTGACTTATCAACACTCAACTGCCTTAGAAGACATGACATTGGAAGTCAGTTTCAAAATCTAACCCCCGTAGAATCCATCGAGAGATTAAACCCCCACGTAGTTTTTAAGAAGGCAAAGGAAATGAAAACTTCGCCTTTCAGAGTCGGCTAGTGAGAGATCAAATGCTGATAACCATTCCTTAAATGGACCTGCCCGTATTACATATGTTAAGAAAAATTGAAAAAAAAAAAAACCAAACTTTCACTGAAAGAAAACAAATGATTGATGAAGGAAAAGAAATAACATCCCCGGGGAAATCATTGATTACATGGGACAGAGATTTCTTTCGTATCTATACGGCTTCTGATTAAGTGATACACCTCCAAATATTATCGTCCTGCTAAAATAAATGTTGGAATGGCAAAGAGCAGTTTAACTGAAAGACCCAGCGTTTCTTTTTGGTAATGGTTAAAAAACCGCTGATCAGAAGTTATCCTATACGAAATACATTACTTCTCTCTGTTGAGGAAATTAGCTTTAATGATGGTGAAAAAAGATGAAACATGCTATTCTTGAATGAAAATGGTCGACGTAACGCCTCGCCTCAGGGTTTCAGTAACTGGGGCATAACCGAGCTGCAAGTTAGACGCCGAATTGAAATGGTGATAGGATGAACAAGCGCATGGGTTATTAAATAAAAACAACGTGCAAAAGGAAAAAACTTTGACGTCCGATAGAAATTGATCAATAGGTACTATGTACATGAGCAGTTCGGGGAATATTTACGTTTAACATCTTCTAGAGATTAATTATTCCTTCTCTCTCGGGCACTTGTCAGCGCGGACATAGAATACTGCAAATTTAGGGCAGTAAGTTTCTTGCGACTTTTTCAGTCTACAGAAAGCTTTTAATTAAAAGTAAATCATGATTATTAAAATTTTTGAAATGTCCTTCATATCCTTCGAACGATGTCGCTTTTTCTCTGCAGTTTGTCTTCGCATTTTTAAAAGATCGAATAAGGAAAAAGCCGTCCGGCCCCGCACTCACAATAAGGCGCGTTTTTCATAAAATAGTGAATGTTTTTTTCTGACTCTAAAAGACAAGGGAAAGCTTTAATTGTATAATTTTTGTGGTTTCCCCGTGTGTGCCCGTCTATCGCATTCCATTTAGGTTTAAACAAAAACTTTAGAAATTTCAGAGAGGATAAAATGCTTATTGACCGAAACGGACTAAAAGCAATGATTATATGATTAGACAAATTCTTAAGGTGACTATGTTATTAACCTGACGTTATAATATTACTTTCCAGACTCGTTTAATGACACCCAGGCTTGGCGGAATAATATTCCAGAACCCCCAACATATGCGCACAAAGTTATAATTACCGTCGTCTACAGTACGATGTTCTTGTTTTCTTTAACCGGAAACTCCATGACGATTTACATTGTGTGGAGTAAACCTTACATGCGATCAGTTACCAACTGCCTGATTGCGAACATGGCCACAGCAGATCTTATCATGACATTTAGCGCCATGCCTTATGTGGTCGCCTTCACCTTCATACAGACTCGATGGTTTGGAGGTGTCTTGGGAACGGTCACATGCAAATTGTTGATGTTTTCAGTTCCATTGTCCATCGCAGCTTCTATATTGTCTTTGGTGGTAATTGCGTTGGACCGTTTTTTCGCTGTCGTTTACCCGTTTAATCGTCCTAAGGTAATCCGCAAGATTTCTGTGATGAGCTCGATCGTCTGGGCCTTGTCGATCTTGTTTGCATCACCGTATTTGTATGCTCACAAAGTGCTATTTGGGTGGGACAATATTTATCATTGCGTTCCGCGATGGGAACCGCCCATTACTGATCACAGCAAGGCGTTCCGAACTTATTTTATTTTCATTTTCGTTTCTCTCTACTTGGTTCCACTGTTCCTCATCGCCATCTTTTACAGCATCGTTTCATTGAAGCTCTGGGTGCGAAGAATCCCTGGGAATCCATCAGTTACAAACATCAGGCATGCAGAAGCGAGCAAGAAAAGAACTATCAAAATGCTCGTCATTATCGTTATTGTTTTTGCCCTCTTCTGGCTTCCTGCGCAAGTGATTCACTTATTGGCACACTTCAATTCACGGATTTACGATGCGATATCACCTATGATAATATTGATAGCGTTTGGCATATCACACCTTAATTCCGCCATAAATCCCTATCTCTACATAGTCCTGAACAAAAATTTCCGACGCGCTAATAAGGATGTTCTTCAAAGCTGTTTCAAGCCCGCAGGGAGCTTAGTGCGTTCCTGGGGAAGCAACACCACCTCGAGTGCGTATCTGGCCGAAGGTATGTCCATGGAATACGTGAGTGTCGGAGATTTGGGGAGAAGAGAAAAGTACGACTTGTCCAGAATCGAAAGAGATCGGGACACTTCGTTGTGTGTCAGACAAGTAAGCCTAATGAAAGTAAAGGAAAACTAGTTTAACAAGTGCATTGTGGTCCGTAAAGAGTCCTATATGACGTTGTTGACATGAAACATTGGTCGGCCTCAGGCGAAGCCCCCAAGCAGGACTGCTTTTAATTTTGAAATGAGGAGCCTGCAAGAAAGATAAGAGGACTTCAATGGAGCTTTCGGATTTGCATTAGTTCAAATTGCACTCTTGAGAGAGAAACATAACTGATACGAGCATATTATTATAAATCTCAGACCAAAAAGAGCTCCTTTTTCTTTTTCGTGAGTAAGAACCAACCCGTGTTGAAGGGGTCTTTTTTTTCGGCCATTTGTAACATAATAGAACAACCTGTAATTCCATAAATTCCTTTATTAAATCCCATTTACTGTACTGAATGTTAGATAAACCCGCCAAATTTCTCATAAAGGCTGTTCTTTTCCATGAGATTATATGAACAGCGCCAAAACGTCGAAACAGACTTGACCCTGGTTGTCAGTGTCACTGTGCTTCTTCAAGTCTTCCCCGTACCAAAACCTTAGTTTTCCATACTGCTGCAAGTAAAACGGATGGCAAAAGTCCTCGAAGACAATCTCAGTCGAGTGTCTAATAAAAGATAGATTGTTCTTTAGTACTAGCTGAGGGACAAGAAAGGTTCAATCGATTTATAAACGAATCGGTCCATGGGTTGATTAACTTATTGGCTGATTGATTTATTGATTTATTGATTAACCAAGGGACTAACCGACTGCTGATTGACTGACTGCCTGCCTAACTGACTGAATGACTGACCAATTGGCTGACTGATCGACTGACTGAATGACGGACCGATTGATAGACTGACTAACTGACAGATTGATTGAATCACTGACTTACTAACTGGCTGACTTTCTTAAATGTCGACTGGATGGCCGAGTGTGAGGTCGACCAATTGTAACTAACGGACTTAAGAGACTGGGGCAATGGCTGACTCACTGTCTGACTTACTAACATACTGAGTGATTTACAAATTGACATCCCGACAGGCTGAGCTACTTACTGTTTGAAAAGGGATTTGGGCGACTTAAACGGAGCCAGAGGTGCACTCAAAGTTTTAATTAACAAACCTACCCACAGACTGGTTTAATCGCGGAATAACTGGTTGACTGATTTACTGAGTCCCCAACAGACTGACTGATCGAGGAACTGTTTGATCGACTTACTCACCGACTGATCCTCTGACTGACTGGCTTTCTGATCGTCTGTCTGACTCCGACTAACTGCCTGTCTGTCAGACTGCCTTACATTGTTTGACTAACCGACTGACTGTCTAGATAAATGCGGTCAGTTTCTAAAGAAACCGTGGTGCTGCGTCGGTGGGGAAGTATAACAGGATTATTTAGTATTATCAACTTAGTTGATAATGTGAATTGGCCACCGTAAAGAGTTTCTGAGCTGACGTTACGAGCATTATCCCTTCGTCATTCGCACTGAAGAAGGGCTAACGCTCGAAACGTCAGCTTAGAAACTCTTTACGGTGGCTGATTTACATTATCAACTCAAGTGATAAAACCAAATTATGTCTAAAAGTCGGTATGTCAGACTGTCTAAACAACTGACTGACTGACTCATTAACTGTGTTAATTGAAAATTCGGTGGCTGGCAACTTTTATGATTTAACTTAATTAGCAATCATAGATCTAGATATTGAAGATTTCCTTCTTACACTGCATCAGCCAGTGGTAGGTAATACCACATTCCAGAAGAATCTTTGATGAGCTCTTCGTGCGGATAGATCACATGGTTAGATTCGTCTGTAACAATGATGTTGAATCCATTCTCTTTGGCACAGCCCCAATTGCTGTCGAAAGCCTCATTATTGGTACACCTTTAGGAAGCAATTAGAAAGTCTCGCAATTATATAGTTGAATATGGACGCTATATCATGCTTTCTGATTTCTTCAGGGCTATTATGTTTGGCCAATGCCGAGTAAGACATTTCCAGATCCGATAAAAAAACTTTTTTTGATTCGCTTAAAGAAAAAAAGCGTAATCAACCACCAGCCTTTGCGCCCCCACTGTATTCCCAATAGACTTATCATGCCCTGTAGACCCTTTTGATGTATGTAGCCACTTTTGCAAGAAAAATCAGGAAAGAGTTATCGAGCCTCGTGGAAACATATTAAGGAGTTCGAAGGATTCCTCGCATAGAGAATAGTGTATCAGATGCAGGCATTGTTGCTCTTCTTGTCTTATAAACATATGGACAGAAAGGTATTATACTAGATGGTAGGCAAGTTTATTGCCGGTGTTAACTTGCTCCGAACACTTTCGTCATCTGGAGGTTTTGACAATTCACTGGTACTTTCGCCAATATTGGCTGGAAATCGACAAGCATTGCGGATGGGAATGATCCTGCCTGAAAACACAACCGTGGTCCTAGACAGGCTCCGAGCCTGAAACCAGACGCACGACGCACAGCATTTTTCTCACCTGATCTTCCCAGTCTGATGCTTTAGTTTCAATGCTGCCACCAGTTTACTCTTGCCGTGGTACTGCAAATGGCCATAACCTTTATCTCTAGGCCTGACACACACGGGAAGCAAACTGAGCTGTTTCCAATCGTCCTCTTGCTGAGCTGTAAAGAAAGTTGAAACGCTAGAAATTTGCCAACCATTGAATTACCTGTAGGTAAAGCTGAGTGAGAATCCTTACTGTAACGATATATGACGTCATAAAGTACAGAATGCACGTTCGATCAAAAATAATTTTGACCTCTAAAATATGAATCAGTTTGCGCAGTTGAACTCATAACCCGTTGACAGACAACTTTGTTTTATGGGTGTATGAACGCCTCTAGGTAACACTGAGCCATATTTGATATTTGAGATGTATCTTTTTTGAGAAACGAATTAAACATCTGTTTCCGTTTAAAATTCAAATTGCAGTAGCATACTTTCAGGATGCAGATCGTTGCTTGGCAGTTCAAATGGTTGATAATAGAAGCAGCGATGATTTTCCTAAACTTTGGTTAGTTAATGAACTCAGAGATTAATTAGCGCGGACATTTATTCGATAAAAATCGGCATCAAATCATTAACTTTTACCAAGCAATTTGATTGCATATAGTCAAGGCGCGTTTCGATCGCGTTTTCATTATGTGGATAGATTTTATCTAAATTTTATTCCAAGTTTGCATCCAAAACGTTGACCAATCTTTCAATACGTACTTTGAACTTACTAAACTTGAGCGCTTTCGAAGAAGCCAATTTAGTATTATCAACTGAGTTGATAACGTAAATTGGTCACCGTAAAGAGTAGCAAAGCTGACTTTTCGAGCGTTAGCCCTTCGTCAGAGCGATTTAACACAGTTTCTTTACAAAGCTACCCCCCTGTTTTCGAAGAGACCGAGTTTCAACCAGTCGCAAAAGTAGTTTAGACAGGTTATCACGACAAGCAATAATTGTTCACCATGTGATCCAAAATAATGTTTTCCACCTCTTCCTCCTTAGCAATGTTGTTAACTAAGCAGTACTATGAAAAAACTTTGATGGTCAACATTAAATCGGGGAAGGGGGGAAGCTTTTGGTTTTTTAGCACACAATTACTTCTTAGCTATCTGTAGTAGGTAAACAAAGTTTTTGCTCAATGTGTCTCAATTTTTTTTGGAATTTTACCAAGAAGTTGTCCTACCATTTAGGTTTAACTTAGAAAATCAATGATAGGCTTACCGTTTGCAATTACACTGCTAATGGTAACGATGAAAAGAAATTTAAAGATCATTCTTGCAACACGATACCAAGTGCTTCTGTGACAACTTCTCGGATAATCTTCCAATTTTTCTCGGATTCGGAAGTGATGCAGATATATGATGTTGATGTTGTGATGTACTCTGTGCAAGTGAAGCTAGTAAGTTTGACACGGAAGTTTTATTGGAAAAGTAAACTGACTCTTACCTTAGCGTAAACAATGTACCTTGATTAAATAAAAAAGAATGTCTTCTTGGAAAAGAGTTAAACATGAAAAACAAAGTTTTATTTGATGGGAGAACAGTTGCAAAGCGAGTGTTTCTTTTACTATGGCGATATTGTAAAACTGTTTACAATTGTCACATTTTTGAACGACGATGAACCATTTCCAAGGCAATTCCCACAAAATCAAAGAAAAACAAAAGAAAAACAATCAAAGTCGAAGTTAGTTAATCTTTTCCATCACGTATATCTTCATGAACACGCGCGTATTCTGATTTCACACGAATTGTATTTTCAGTTGATATTTTCCACGGTACTTTAAGAAAATGGAGTAAACATTTTACAATGATGATGAACCCGACTTAGGTTTACGTCGCGTGAAAGCTCATGACGACGAAGCCCCAGTGAACTAAAATGTAGAAATCGATAGCGAAGTTTAATTTTAATTAAAAATTTTTTTTTTTTTAACTTAGCTACAACACAGACTCGCATTTCTATTCATTCTGCCAACGGCTGTACACTTTTGGGCCACTTATTCTGCTCAATGTCTATCACAGAATAGATAACGAGCACTGTAGACAATCAGTTAGCACCAGGAATAGATTCGCCGATGTTTAACGACTGACTTTCAAAAGCATGACGAGAGCTAATCATTCGGACCTTACCCTTGGCATGTTGGGATCGAGGCATGCACTTATTGCAAAAAATCGTAAATTTCGTAATTCCCTCTGAATAGTAAAAAGACAATTAGGCTGAAATGTTTGCCGCCTTCTTGTCCCAATCCCCTGAGAGGCAGCCGTACAGGCTTAGATATTGACACTTGTATTATTACTCTTTTAGGGCTCGTGTAGTTCTGTTTTACTGAAGCCATCTCAAACACGGATCAAATACAAAAAAATGGCCTATATTTACTAGTAGACTGACAAAGCTCCTCCCATACTCTTGGATACATGAAAGGCTGTTTGTCACAATCTGTTGAAGTCAATTCTCGAAACGCAAACAACCAAATAAATGCAGATTTAAGAATTTTTTCCTCGTGATTTTACCAGAAATAACGCGACCTTATTTCATTTAAAATTCCCATGTTGAGCTAATTAAAAATATTTCCTTGTTAAACTCGTCTTTAATATATATTGGTTAATTCACAACGGAGACTGTTGGCTTTTCGGTTTTATTAACCAGAAAAGGCAAATAGAACGACAATTTCTAATTATAAAATAACACAACATAGATTGGGAGCCTTTGATTAAAGAAGAGTTATCTTCAATTCTCAATGCATTCGACTATAGATCTGTGGAATAAAAATCTTAAAATCGCTATCATGATCACATGTAGAAATAAAAATGATTTGTTTCAAGCCAATCTGCGCTCTTTTTCTTGTATATTGATGTCAATATTTATCTCGGGCAGTGTTGATTACTTAATTACTAGAAATCATATAATCTCTAACCGGTTAGCAGTTTCCCCAACGTCGCCAGGGAAAGCAATCGCTTTCCTTAAAAAAAAAAAGCCATGAGACACGTAAACAAATTTTTGGTTGAAAACCGAAGCTTTTTTACATCTTAAGTTATTAAAATGATGTAAGTATGGTCTCTGATTCATGTCTTCTCGTCTTGATTGCAATAAAAAAGAATTCATTTTCTTTAATTAGAACTGTCAATTAATTGAATAGGAAAGTAAACATTCTTTCAATAAAAATCTCGTCCTCTTTACTCGACAAAATCATTGGACAAAGAAGTGCTTTACAGAAACGAACTGGTCTCACCGCGAAGAACGAAACTACAACAATGCTTTTGATTTTGGTTCTGCTTTGCTTTACAGTTCCAAGTTTTACACAACAGCCGGGTGAGTACCACTTACGTTTAAGATTATTTTTATTAAATGCCTACATTTATATCAAGTTTGAGCATAAATCGAAATGGCTCAGAAAAACACAATTCCTTGCGAAGAGATTTCTGATAATATGTTCCAATCTATAGTTTCCATAAGTAATTCGGGTACTCTAAGGCCAAGTTTTTTGTGATATGAAATGTTAGAATATCCATAGAGATATTTCTGATCATAATGTGTACTAAAAAATAAAAAATTAAAGGATCGGACGTTAGTCTTAGCATTGCGGAAAAAAAAGGATCACTGACAACGTCATATATATATAATATATATATATGTATATGTATATATATATATATATATATACAACGTCATATATATATATATATGTAAGTTGGACAAATCAATAAGACATAACTTTTCTGTGACTCTGAGTTTCACGCTTTCGCGATCATCAGACAGATATATAAATATATATATATATATATATGAGGTAAAGCTACTCATTGCTTACGAACTTGACTCACAAAACTCTCTAGAAAGTGATAATAAAAGTTAACGTTTTTATTACAAATGGGAAACAAAAAGTTTCTTCAGACAACCTAAACATCGTTAGAAGAAAATAACAAAGGAAACAATACAATTTTGAACTCATCATATTCATTTAAAAGAAAGAGCAAGAAAATTTTATATTCTTTTGTTTACAAGCGTATGCCGTCTTCTTATTTTTTTTTTGAAATTTGAGAAGGAGATCTAAGACGATCCTTTTATACATATTTTTCTCTGTAAACAATAACTGCCTCTTTCAAGGAGAATTCTCACAATGAAAGAGGCACTCGATAGTGCTGCAAAATAAAGTTTTGTTTCACCTCTCCTACTGATGTGAAACTTTCCAAAGATTTTTCATTTACAACCTGTAGTTATAATTCTGACAAGTTCCTTTTTTCACAGTAGCTTTATAACATGATATTTGTTGCTTAGGAAACAAGTCATTCGAGTGGGCACAGCTGAACCTACGACAGGTGTGCTTTGAGTGCAGCGGGGACCGTCATGGAACAATATACAACTTCCTTTCCGAGCCTCGCTTGGTGGCTGCCATGAAATTGGTGTACAGAGGTGGTGAAATCCGGTGAGTTAGAAAAAGATATGGGAATCTTAGAGTACAAGCGAGATGGATAATTTCGAAAATCGAAACATAGCAAATTTATAAATTTCCTCACAAGTGATGACACTGCAATCTGAAATTGGGATTGACGTTGTGTAACTATATCAGCACTTTACTGTTTCTCAACACTTTAACCATCTAGAAATTTCTCCCGTCCCTACTAACTGAATCAATGAATTAAAGAGCTTTAGTAGCCATAGTTACCTCAGTCCATAACCACCAATTTACTTCTAGCATAGTCATCAAACAAGACAAATTTTAAACCAATCACAGTGAAGCAATTTTCTGAGAGGGGTGGGGTGTTACTATTAACTAAAGAAACGAAGACAATCGTCAGACTCATCGTCCATCCGTCCTACCAAACCTTCTCCATTCTCAGATACCTTTACTTGTTCTTGGTTTATCATCTCCTTTGTTTCTGTTTTCTTGTCCAGTCTTAGTGAACTAGCACTACGGAATCTTCATTGTCCATTTTAAGCGTTCAATTGGTAAAATAGAGCGCAGTAGAAAACGGCAAGATTGTAGCGGCGGAGCGAAAAGAACCAGGGGATAGAGATTTGCGTTCGCGCCTTAAACCGACCTGACCTAGGTCTCTCTCTCTTTTTCGCTTCATCTCTGTTATCGCGCCGTTTTCTGTCGCGCTACATTTACTCACTGAATGCCTTAAACAAGCTAAAAGTTTCAAAATCAATAAGATTTTGAACGCCGAAGAAAAAAAATGACTTCAACGATTGTAACATAGTTCGCTGTTCTGTGATTCCAGATGCACGCCAAACAAGGCCTACAACAGTCGCTGGGGCTGTCATTCAGGTAGCAAAACGCCCCTAAACGTCATTGTCACTGACCAGAGAAACAATATCATCTACCCAAGGACGGAGTACCTCAAAGACCTGTCGACTCTGTGGTATGCGATGCCTGGGGTGGATGAGTCGTACTCCAAGGAGCTTGTCTTCACAAATTTTGGCGTCCCATTTTACCTGGAAAAACACCGTGAGCTCCGCATTTGGTGTGGCGAAGATCTCAAAAACAAAAATGATGGCGACAACCAAGGGCGTGTTTGTGTTGATGTTTACATTAAATATTACTGATTGTGACCTATACATCCTGAAGTGCTCTTCTTTCGCCGCAGTTACTTTGGATGGTCACACAACGTCTCTCGCTGAATTATGGTCAAGTTGTAGAGGTGTAGTATGACAATCCAAAAACCTTGTGCGAAGGAAGAGCTTTAAATTGGTCATTAGAGCTTGATGCACTCAGGCATTTTGAAGAGTATCTTAGTAAAGGTTATGGTCAAACCATTTAGAGTCCATGCGTCTATATTTTAATTAGTGTCTTTCTTTGGTATATCACACAACACTTCTCGAAAGAAGCTTCCTTAATTGTGTGGGAAGCTTTGCTATATCCCAAAAACCGGCGCGGCAGGAAAAAGTTAAGTGCTGCATAGAAATACTTAGCCCTTAAACCACGATTCCACTTTCTTAAGCGGCTATACAATCTCTCGTTCATTTCTTGAGTAAAATTAAGTACCTCCATTTAGCTTGTTTCAGTGTCATTTCACATGTTTTGAGCTTCTCACAGAGAAACTCAATGATCATTGTATGAAATAGAAAAATTACATAATAAGCGCATTCGTTTTTTTCCTTAGGCTATAAGATAATCCCTGTTTAATATTCCTTTATAGATAAACAAACCCAAGCATTAACGTATTAAGAACAGCTATGGAAATATCGCTTAGGCGAATTGTTAACCGGCTGAGGTTTGAGAAGTGTCAGTTTTAGATTCATCATAACGGTTCATTTACTATTATCAAGCTAACATCGGTGCTTAAGTACGTATGATGGAGGAATTTTTAGCATCCGTCTTCGTAGCCATCTTGGAAGTAATCATGGCAGCCATCTTGGTGGCAGTTTGGGCAGCTATCTAGGAGGCTATCGTCTATGGGCCCATGCCATCGGAGGTGCCATACTCCTTACGTACCCTATCTATCAAAAGTTACATTACTTCTAAATTGTCCATCTCAAACTTGGTGAAAACTCAGGGGTTCCCCCACCCAACTACCCAAACGTCCGTGTGTACCTCCGGTCATAGTTATCCTAAGGCCTGTGGTGATGGCGCTCGGGATATTGCAGTTCTCATTTGTGGAGCTAAAACTATATTTGTTCCTGTACTTCTCTTGATTGATAAGCTGGCCAGTTTCTTGTTAATTTTCTCTTGACATTCTTTTCTGTACAATCCATTAAGAAATACAACCAGTAATGGATTGATTGCGCTGTGGGAGTGACAGGCCCAGAAGGACAAAAGTAATGCCACGTGAGGCAAATGTAATTCAGGCCGAAAATACTCCAGTAGATGTACAACGTGAACTGGTAACCAACACAATGTGAATGCTATTACCAGAATGATAAGCATTTTGACGGTGTTCTTGTTTTGAAATTCTCTCTTAAGAATAAGGTCAGGGGAGCGTACTCCTGGTACTTTATGCCTCCATAGCTTTCGGCAGATAAACGCGTATAGTGTTGCAATGAACAGCAATGGAATCAAATAGAGCGTTACAAACACCAAGACATAATAAATCTCAAGAAAGTGCAGATATTCAAGCCGGCTTACTCTGCAGTAGCTCTTACCGTTTGGTAGCTTTGCGCTGTCGTAAACAACCAGATGCGGACTCATTAGAAGCAACGAAGCACACCAGGTTAATACGTAGCTCGGTCTGACTTTCTTAAAGAATGTGACGCGTTTGAAAGGAAACACAACACAGATGAAACGGTCGATCGCAATCAGTATGTGTGTGAGAACAGAGGCAGCTATTGACAATGTCAAGCCATATTGCACGACCTTGCAAGTGATATCACCAATCACGCCAGATAACCAAATATGCTGTAGATATAAGTACATCACAGTTGAAGGCACGGCGAAAAATGTGATAATTACGTCAGCTACAGCCATATTAGCCACCAATAGGTTGGTCGTAGTTCTGAGTCGAGGCGTCTTGTGTATGACGTAAATCATTAGAGCGTTTCCTACCAGAGAGATGATGAAGATGATGACGTAAGCAAACGTCATGCCAATTTGAAGTTTCAGGGAAATTGAAGACTCTGACAGGTCGCTGTCATTACCGACGCTCCCATCAGAATCTGGTTAAGAAGAAAAAGTTTATTATAAAATAATTTTCTCTGGGATTTGAAAGATGCTGTATTCAGTAGAAAGGACTTCATTGAATTCCAAACTTCTTTCGGTAGAACAGATTGGTGCAGCATCGTCTCCGCTTCTACAAAGATTTACAATTTTCCTTTTTTTTTTAATAGGCGTCTTTTCTTCTTGGATTCCAAGACACTATTTTCCGTCCCTACTTCCTTTTTGCTGTTTACAAATTTCACCTAGGAAACTGACTGTATAGCTTCATTTTTTTTAAAGGTGGGATTGTCTTCGTTTCTTCGCTAATCTAGTTAAATAGTTTTGCACTTCCCGAACTTAAAACGAGACTGAATCGTCAGATACTACCATGGTTACTAACACCCCAGCATTTTTCTTAGCTCATCTTCCAAAACATCAAACTTACCATTATGAAAAACGTTCATCATAGCCGTCGCGGTTTCGCTGTCTTGGCAGTTTATGTAAGATCTGAAAGCAGACAAAGAATAAGCAAACAACGGAACTAGAATTTAAAAATGTTTTAATACACGCACGTAGATCAAAAAGTAATGACATTCATTTCCTTTCGCAACCTTGACATTTTAAGGATAAAAACAAATACTTTTTCTAAAATTGAGATCAAAATCAAACCTTGACTATCAGATTCACTCGATTCTGCGTGAATATAATGGTTATTTTTTTCAGGATGTTAATTTCCAAAGTACCGCTTTGAATTGAAATGGCCCAAAAATTGATATATATCTAGCGATGTTTTTATCGCGCTTTGTGCGCATTATACCGCTCATTATTAGTAAAATAATTCCAATTTCTCATATCCACTTTTTCTTCGTTTATCTCTGGGTCCTACTTGAATCAATTTATTATCATTTCTTTGATACTATCTCTGACATAAACTACAACAAACGCCTTTTTTTTCCCTTGGCAACCATACCATTCATGTTCATGGACATGATGGACAAATCTTGGAGTCTACTCTCGCTGCTGGCCAACGGTAGGTCAAAATTGAATCGAAACTTCTTTAGCTAAACAGAAAGTCTATGTAGAATTCAAAAGTCAGAAAGCCATGTCAATAGAACAGTGTCAGTTAGCGTTGAGTTCATTCGTCCCCGATGACAGCTATCTACTATCTTGTTTCCAATTATTTATTTCCGAGAAACCACCGGTCACGTAGTGTCTGCTGGTAATTATGTGTGTCTGTTGAAAGTGACAGCACATGATCGATACTTTGAAATGGGACACAGGAAAATCTTAATGCGGATGCATGATTGATCTTACGGATATGTCATCACTGGATGCTCTCCACAAAAAGGCTCTCAAATTGCCTCTAAAATTCTATTAATAAGTTCATATTTCCTTTCCTCTTTCCTAAATGCGTCGTATGACACCTAATTTTAATTTTTCTCATCCACTTGTCCTTAAATAAATAGATATTTTGTGCAATGAACTTACTTTTAAAATCTTATTATGTTAAAGAAACATACTGCCTTATCACCTGAAATTCTCACATTTTGACTGGCAGTTTGATGCCACACAATGTTCTTTTTGAGGTGCCTGTGCTTTACCTCGCCTAATGCTGAGGACTCTAGGAAAGTAACTCAGTTTTGAAACTTATTACATTTACTACGCAAATAAATCTAACATCTTTCCATTTCATAAAGACTTACGTTGCAATATTTTAGCTAAAGCAAGCAGAAGATAATTCACTTGTATCCATCTGATGACATTTATTATATGGAAAAAATATATATGAACAAAAACAAGTAATTGTCAAGAGCACAAAAATAAGACCTTTCGAAAAACTTTATTAATTTAACATAGAACATAATTCCAGTTTATAAATGGACGTTTCATTGAAATCCTCATTTATAATAAATATAGATTTTTCTTTGGTGTTAAGGGTAAATGTTTTTGTCTTTCAATAATCATCTTTTTGTTCTCCTTACAAACCATAATTTGTTTTTTTACATCACTTTGCACTTTGTTTCTGGTTCGCAATATAACAAGAGCTTTTTTTTCAGGAATTTATTCCAAAAAACTTCTAAGAATATTCGTCAATCTCTTCGAAAGATTTTAAAATTTTCGGCTTTATTTTAAAAGGCTAAAGAGTACTTGAGATAATGTGCCCAAGGTGAACCCAAAATTTGTAAGTGCTTGTATCTTTTATTGTCTTTAGAATTATCACACACACTAGATAAAACTATAATCTGAGCTAAGTAAACGTGGAGTGCTTTTTTACTGAAAATTCATTTTCAATGGATTGCGGTGCTGAGTCAAAAAATTAACTAAATCAAAATAAAAAAATGGAACACATCGAAATCTTATTCAAACTGTTATTTCGCGATAGTTTTCTTCAGATTTAAGGAGTAAAACGCTCTTTGGATTTTATTTTTGTTCTTTTTTGCATTTTTTTGCGGGTAAAATTAAAGTAAAAGTTTACACATGGATATCATAGATATCATGTCTCGGAGAAAATGAAACAGTAACATCTCCCTTAACAGAAAAAAAAAATATGAGGGCCAAACACGATATGAATTCATTACCTTGAACTTCACAGACTTGAAGTCAGCGTGACTTTCGCTCGGGGTCAGTTAGAGAAAAGTAGCAACGGTGTGTGGTCTTTGAAAGGAAAGACATTTAATTAACGTTTGCAAATGTCTCCTCTTCAGGATTGTTAGACTGGCAAAGACACGAAGCAACCGAACCTTTTTATGGATTAATATGCAGGAAGCTAGTTAGTTATTCATGGACACAAAGGATCTATTAGTCGGTTGTTATGTAAAGTCGTGCGTAAAACCGCCGTCCATTTAAAACAAACATCTTGTCTTGTCTGAAGTGAAAGTATATTGATAACACAAGAAAGATAGATCTCAAAGATTATTTAAGATAATTAGTGAAATTTTAAGGAGGTTATGGCAGAAAATTAATAGCCTCGTAACGGATCCTCTGCAAGGAAAAAATAATCGCTACATTACTGTATTATACCAGAAGCAAATTTATATTATAATCCGTTGGTAGATCGATGGTAAAATGGGAAAAATAGAATTGATTATAAAAATAATGAATATTCTTTGCATGAAAATTGCATGTAATGACAACGCAATTTTAAAAATTATTTTCAGAAGGGAGTTGTTCAGCTCCCGCACGTATTTCAAAGAAAAAAAACCTGGTTTTTCCGGTGCCTTCGTAATTGAAAAAGATAGTATAAAAAGTGTATTTTTTCCCACTCTGAGAAATTGTTTATTTATTCTGCAACACAGACAATCTATTTGAATAGGAAGCTTTTAAAAGTGTTGTTTTGATATCGCAATGGCCAATTCCTTTCTTCACTCGTAAATTTGTCAACTGAAATTTACCTTGGTTTTTGCTTTAATTCATTGTTTGTTTGATAATATTTTGCTTTCAGAATAAAACGTTTATTTCCTGTCTCAGTTATATTTATTGAACAATGAATAGGCTATTAAACTAGGAACAAAGCAAACCTGAAACTTAATCAACTTTTAATGTCCTTTCAGGTAAAAAAGCGTGGTTGCAAATTTGTTCTACTCGTGCCCCGCGTGATTTTGACATCGTTACTAAATTTGATCTTCTCGACATACCTGCAAATGCGACACCACTGAGTATTACATGTGAAGCTGAGGGAATTTCATTCAAGGCAGCTCTAAATGTTTCATTCGCTTGGCGTCAGTTGTCTCTCTTCTGATTGATTGGCTGTTTTGATGACTTTGGCTATAGTTTGTAAGCGCCTCAAAACGCACCAAAAATAATGAGCCACTCGTTATTATTATAAACATCGTGAGCTAAGCAAGACTTGTATTAACTGTATGTATACACATAAAAGAGGTAGGCGTTAATCAGCAACTGACAGATACTGAGTATAATAAAGAGCTAGTATCGGGCGAGGGATGAAGAGTCTCAATGTTGAGAAGATAAAGCAAGTGGAAGATTTTAAATACCTGGGAAGCTTCATCACCTCTACTGAACATGATGTAAACATCGGACTAGGAAAGGCGTGGGATGCTCTAAATGAGCATTGCCTGGACCTTAAAAACACATCTGGAAAAGAAAATCGACGGAGCATACACTAGAATGCTACGCACTGCCTTAAACAGATCGTGGAAGGACCACCCCACAAACGTAGAGCTCTACGGCCACATCCCGCCAATCAGTGAATCGCTACAGCAACAAAGAATGAGATTCGCAGGACATTGTTGGCGCGGTAAAGAAGAACTAGCAGGGGATGTTTTACTCTGGAAGCCAACACATAGACTTCAGCCGAAAGGACGCCCAAAAAAGACCTACATGCGTGTCATGGAATACCGAGCAAGCTCGACCTGATGATGATGATTGAGCGAGAAGGCTAACCGTTGATCGCTCTGAAAACGTAACAACAAAGCAATTATTTATGTTGCTTGGTTTCGTTTTCACCCTTTACACCCTGTCATCAGTGTGAATATTCTTCAAACCGTTCTATATACGTTTCCTAGGATGCTTACAAGGAGAATTTGTGTAACAATCAAGAGCTTCGATTACGTACGTCTTGTTTCTTAAGGAATCATAAAGACGTCAAACTCTTTTTTTAGTGTTCGAATTTTTGTACATCTGTTACTTAAGTGGACAAGCTTTTTAAATGTCTTTTTTTATTTTTATTTGAAATCAATTAATCTAAAACTGCTGCGTACTTACTATGGATCTTGAAACCCTACTACCATAAAAAGATTCAAAATTAAACCCTCTTTGAAAAGGCAATTACCGTAATTCCTCGAATAAGCGCCCACGCTCTAATTAGAGCCCTCCCCCGAATAGGGGCCCATCGCCAAGGTGATGTTGTCAAACAAGCGCTCCTTTCGAATAAACTCCCCCTCCCCCTCCTCCCTCAATTTTTTAAATAATAGGGATGTATGGAGAACCTGTTTCTAAAGGGTCTCAACCGGGTGATGGCTTTTACGGCTACCGGTTAAGATTTTGGCTATTTTACGGCTAATGGTCACTCTCTTCCATTCAAATCTACAGAAAAAAATTTACAGTTTTTTAACGGGTTACGAATAAAATTTGGTACTTTTTACGCCTAACTTCTAATTTTTTTTGTCCGTTTTCTAGCTAACGGTTAACCCCAATGACACCTACTTTTAATGTTACTTTATTTACGACTTCTTAAGCTTCCACTAAAGCGGAATCAGTACATTAGAATAATAAGCGCCCCTTCGATGAAGCGCCCTCTTTCCAGTACGCGCCCCTCCCCTCACCTCCAGTGTGTTTATGTTGGTATGGTTTGAAGAGTTAGGACTTTCTCTCTCAAAAGCCCCAGACGTACACGTAAGCAATATTGACTTCGTTAGAGTCCACAAGTTACATTAGGACTCTTGGTCTTCTGTGAGAGTTTTTTTTGGACCATTAAGCGCTGTCTTCCTCCACCTTATTCGCCGATTTTGAAACCAAACTTTGACTTGGGTTTCTGAGAGACCGAGCTGTGAAGCGATGAAAATCCGCTGGGCACTTCCCACATACTGCTGAGTCTTAAAATATCGTTCCAGTCTGTCGAGCTGTTGAGGAGAGAAGACTGTGCGCATTCGGCGTGATTTCTCGTGTGGACCTTTATCTGGAAAATGGTAAAACATAATTAATATTGATTAACGTAAATAAATTCTCAAATAAGATATTTTAAAATTTTTTCAGGTTTTGAATTTGGGAATAACCAATAACTTGTGAATTTAGCGGCTTAGAAATAAATTTCGCACGAAAATTCGACTTCACTTTGAAACAGATGAAGCGTTCGAAGATCCTCCGTGATTGCACGTTTTGAAAACGGAAAAGCATCACAATGAGATAAACTTTCGGTAGATATTGTATTTAACACAAAGGAATAATAAGCCGGCGTAATTTAACGCTAGGACATTTCCACTTCGAAATATGTGAAGCGTTTGTAGATCTTCCGTGGTTGCATGTTTTGAAAACGGAAAAGCAGTATAAGGAGAGAAACTTTATGTAGATATTGTATATTGACACAAAGGAATAATAGACCGAAATATTGCATCGCTGGGACATGTCTCGTGTTCAACTCGACATCTCAATCGTTCGCTGCGCTCACTCGTCAGCTATCGAGTTTAACACTCGAAGCCGAAATATACAGATGAGAATCGCATAATAAAGCTGCTGATTTTTTTAAGAAACTTAATATTCTATGCCCACGTCCTGTAGTAAGAAAGAAAGAGAGGTTTTTCCTTTTTTACGGCTATTTTTTTTGTATCCTTTGAAAAGAAACTCCACTTCTTGCGTGACTTCAGTTCTCAGCTCGACAACTGTTTCTCTGCGAAACCATTCAAACGACTCCCAACTAAATCAATGCTATCTTTTTATCCACCTCACTTACTAAGCATAAATTTCTAATTACTCAATACGCGATTAAGCTGTTGCTAATATTCATAATTATGGCGCAGAATTAGTAAATATGAAAGTAAACATCGTTGTTTAAGACAATTGGGATTGAAACACCAAAGCAAATACACGATAAGAAACGTGATTCAATCAATTAGATGTCGAGTCAGTGTCTCCCGAAAAATTTTCAACTTTAAAGTTAATTTTTCTTTAAATGTCGTGACATCAAAATACTTTAATTTAATTCAATAATTATATCCTTAACTGGGAATCTTTTCACTTCTAATTGGCAGCATTATTCATTGTTTACACACCCAAACACGCTCAGCCTTAATAGCTACTATTTTAACTTATTATAAGTTCGTTTTCTCGATGAAAATTTGGGAAGCTTTGTGGATGAGAAAAAAAAAAATCTTAAAAGGTGAGAGCATGCAGCAAAGCCAAAAACATGCTAGTGTATAAAGTACGTGACTTCAACCTCTTTCTCCATAAAAAAAGGCTCACTGATTCGTATCCTATTGTTGGACACGAACTGAAAAACATCGATGAGAATGAAAGATTTTAAAGCATTACAATACTTACTACCAGATCGGTCCCAATATCTCCCAGATGCATCGGGATTTGGTGTTAAGGATTCAGTCTGAATGAAATGGCTTTCTCGTAAGACTTCTTGTTTGGGAGTTTCTTGCACACTTCCCGATCTGTAACAGGCGTCGGGGGCAAACACTGCTCTTTGATATGGCGCTCTATGAAGAGAGTACGGCATCAAGAGGCGAGTAGGAGAACCCGGAATCTGAGTATATGGTAACATGGGAATCGGGGGGCCAGTAAAGCCTAATAGTCGATGATGCCTCGACATTGTCTCTCTAGGATGTGCCATTAGAGCTGTCTCACTGCTGAAATCTTTTCCATATGTTGGCACACAGACACTGCATGGGCAAGGGAAGATGTTGTCGCTGTCCGCCTTCAACGGAGATGAGCGCTCGTCGGTTTGCATGCTTTTCGATCGTGTGGTAATGCGAGTGGCGTGCTCTATTGTAGTTGGTTCTGTCTTCGTGATCTGGCAGAACTTTTTAATGATAACTGAGATAAAACGCACATTATGACTTCTTATCCTTTAATTCTATACCGCATTTTTGCGCGCAACCTTCCAATTGTCTAGCAACGAAAGACCACATTTACTAAGGAGGCTGGTGTTGATATTTCTATTCTCTGTTTTTAGATCTCCAATGCCTATTTTCCAATTTAATGCTAGCTTTAGTCAATGTGTTCATTTCTATTTTCCAATAAGTTTTATTTTTCGTACAATGGTAGCTTTGTCTTGTCGCACTCATTAAGCCGTCCGTCAATTTGAACCAAGAGTGCACGAAAACGTAATAGTTGGTTTTTGAAATGTGTAAATGAGCTTTGTATTGGCTCATCGGGACATCATGTTTACCTGCTAATTGCTTTAATAATGAAATAAAAGTGTCTTTAAACAAACACGTTTATGAAAGTGGGGAAGTTTGCGACCATTTCTGTGTTCAACAATCTCGTTTACCGACCACAAAAGACGAAAAGGAAGTGTTGAATCGAGCGTGAAAACTGTAACTGATCTCTCTTCACTGGTGGTCATTTTGCTTTCATTGTCTTCTTAATGGTTAAAATCGATAATTCGACGAGGTGATTAAACAAAGCGCTTGTTCTGAATATTCATAAAATCTTTCTACCCTTGGTTTTATTTAGGGTTCGTTTTATGAAATAAATGGCCTCATAAATATCACTGTGAGACTCCATGTACAACAGCAGGTCTTGAATAAGTTAACATTATATGAAACTAACTTTTTGTTGGCTTAAGTTAACAAACCAACAGTCCTTTCGATCAACAGCTGAAAAAAAAAAGCAAAACAAAGCGTAGAGACTCATTTAGCTTTGTTTAATACTTTCACGTTTCGCGAAAATTGCTCTTTGGCATGATGACGTTGTTTACTGAAAATAAACCCCCAAGCGTGTTTTTACCAGCATTTTAATGAATCTGTGGTTTCCTTTAACGTATTTTTTTTTCGGGAAAACTTTCCTGATTAACATGTGAAACCGAGGCTTGCGGGTGAAATGGTTTTCCGTCGTAAACATATAAAAGACCTGTTATTTTTCCAGTTTGACTTCTAATTGATAATGCTACTGAGTAAAATTTTAATTTATTGTAACGCTCTCCTTTGTTGCCATATTTTCTTATGATTGCTAATGGCCGTTGTTTAGCTCTGTGACTTTAGGGGTAAATAACAGTGACTCTTTCAAAGGAATGATATTCTACCCGTTCAGCAGAATATCTCTCTCTCTCTCTCTCTCTCTCTTAGTGTCTGATATGAAAAAAAACCGAATAATCATTTGTCTTCGACAATATAAAGAAAATGATTTAGCCACATCCTTTATTAGTTAAGTGTGCGTGTCATTGGTAAGATTTGGAAGCCAAATAGATGTATGTATGACTAGGGACAAAACTGGAACATCTTTAGTAAAGGTTCAATATCTTTAACCATAGGCGGCTGTCGATCGTGTAAAAGGTACAGCTGCACTGTAAGGCGAAACAGACGGCGGTAAAGCCCAGTTTTCATTAGCGGCGCAAACACAAGCGTAAGCACAAACGCAGGAATAAGGTTTATTTTCCGAATGAAAACGAACGTCGAAGAGCCCAAGCACTAGCACAAGGGAAAGGAAGGGAAAAAGGGAAAAGTTAGACCAAAGACTACTCTGCGCAAATAAGCACGTGTCTAGAAAGTTTAATTGATCGACAAAAACCAAACGAGTGTTAAAAAAAAAAAAAAGAAGAAAGAAAGAAAGAAAGAAAGAGAGAAGAAAAGCCGAAAGGAGACAATGGAAGATCGTGATAGTTAAACCTGTTCCAGGGACGAATGTTAATTAATCAGACCACTTTGCGTATTTGCGATGCAGAGAAACGGGAATAATTGGCATTAAAATAATTGCATCTTAAAAAATTATATGTCAATGGTTGAAATATGTAGTATATCTAAAATTCTCTTGGATGAATATTCTAAAAAAATTGAATATGTTTGATTTTATTTTCTCGAGCGGACGCTGAGCTTTCCTAGATTTATTTTTATAATATGAAAAAGGTTTTTGTTTCTACAAGTAGTTACCAGCTAAGTATATAGATGTCGGATATATTTATAGAAATCCAGCGAAATGATCATTCAACTAATTTAAGAAAAGAAAACTCGAGTGCTCTTTACTCTTTTCAGTGTGGTACGAATGTCTATGTAGTAGACCCCGTAACTTGGAAACGCACGCTATATATAGATCTCGTGACAAAAACTAATGCGCTCCATTGCATTGTGTTAAATGTCAGGGAACTTTTGTACTACTGTTTACTTTGCTTACGTATCACGTGATGATTAGAATAACTCGATGTAAAGAATGTCTGCTAGAAGGACCATTTTTACAAGGTCGACGGTGGATTTATCGAAGAAAAAATTGAGTGATTGTTTTGAAAAGTTTACTTATGTTCTACGATAACTCTACATCAATAAATTTATAAGTCATGAATCATACATAAAAAAAATGGTTTTAACTTAAATGAAATTGCTTATTAGAGCAGAACATCTGTTTACCGAAAAAAGACACAAAAATATAAAGGGACGTGATGTTTGGATACTTCACAGACGACAGGTTAAGGTTTTCTAATCGAACAGAAGGAAAACAGGTGGTTTCATTGTGCAAGTTCTGCCACGAGACGCTGTCACTCAGAATGATCCACACAACTGGCCGACCAAATTGATTAATTTCACTGGAAAGTTCCATAATCAATCAGAACCGTCTGAATGGAACAATAAATTTCTTTTCTTTGTCCTAAATATACCGATGGAGAACTACGGAAAAGACCTGTTATTTTGTAACTTTACCTATGTGGATCGTCAAGTTTGACTTTAGTTCGATTGGTTTACATTAAATACAAATTTTTTAGACCAAATCAAGTTGTCAACAATTCCTAATTACGAACACGACGGCACGGTAACGAGAATTAAACGCAAAGGTCGTCCCTGTTCGCTGACCCAGTGAAAATTTTGTATATACAGGAGTAGTAATCAGAATAAAATTTCCTCGCGGGATTTGAGAAAAATATGAGTCGTCCGCTGATATGGTCTTCTCACGGTTACTGGGCTCACGCGAAACGGCTCAAAGGGAACATAAGCACAAAAAAGGCCTGAGATCTAGGGAACTTTACCTTGAGGTCTGGGACCGAATCATTCTTTGAGCCGCCAACTGTCAAGGCAATATGACGCTGTTAGAATTATCTGTTCGAAGTCGGAGTTTTGACACTGATGTGCTGATCCTCATCCTCTTCGATACGCACAGATAAGGAGCATAATCATTATCACCGAGAGAAAGTCGTCCCCATATGATACTAGAAATAATAACTCACCCTCAGTCGTTCAATGGGAAGGAATAAAAGGTCCTTCGACTAAATAGGGCTAGTCTTCCACGACCCTGTGACCATGCGTGAAAAACAAGAGAAGACTGAGGACGAGTCAGTTAAAGAGGGTGGAGACAGCTCCTGCAAGTTATCCTCCGTAACCTACAAGACCGAGTGTAATGTTTGCCATTCACAGTTGTCATTTACAAGGGTAGCTAATTGGATTCCCCTCAGATTTGTTTCAACCGAGACATTTTGCCCTGGTCAAAATATTCAAGAAATGCTTTGACAAACTGATAGGAAAACACACGTTGGTAGTCTGAATCTGTAAACTACTGTAATAAGTTTAATTTATCGATCTAAGATGATGAAAACCTATTTAAAGTGCTGGTTTCAAGCCAGGTTTCTACTTCAATTATGCAATTTTATTTTATTTTATTTTAGCTTAAACTCCAAGCAGTCAATAAATCAATATAACTACCGATTGATCTTTCAATCTTTCAATATGTCACTCAACCATTAAGTCTGTCAATCAGCAGTCAACCAGTCATTTCCTTTGAGTACATAACAATTCATAAACCAATCAAGTCAAAAAGTAAGCTGCAATAAAACACACTTATCTCTCCAGAAGTTTCGGAAAACTTCTTAAACTTCTTTTTATATATATTTACACCTGAAAACTAACTATTCGAAACACTAAGAATTTACTTTCATTTTCCTAGGGGTTGGTAACTATGTTAGAGACATCCTGTGTTTAAAAGTGTCTCTGTCGAAATAGAGACAGTGAAAATGTTCAGGTTCTAGACAACGAGATTCACACTCTTGCTCATGTCCTCGTTTAAGTTATAAGAATGAAGGGCGGGAAGAGCTCCTAATATCAACGAGCTTTCAAAATATCGCAGTGATTTCCTAAAGATTCTATACATCTACCCCCAAAATTCTGCATTTATGTCACTGGGCCAACCTCGAGTCTACTCAGTAATCGTGGACAAAAGTCGCTCAACTTGTTAAGATGCAAGCAAGATTATTGACAGCAATAACAACACAGCGACAATCTTAACCACAATGTTATCTATACTTTTAAAGGAAGTTTCCTTTTTTGACAAACCTCTGTTAGACACATTGAATCCACACCTTAAGTCTAAACGATTTTGATATCTATGTGTGACAGTCTATTTGTTCTTCTATCTATTCCTCTTAATCCAGTCCTTAGCTTTACTCTTTAAGACACTTCCATCCACAAGGACTCGTTACATTTTGATCTTTCGTTCCAATCTGTTCTTTCTCCATTTGATTCGCCGATTCTGGAACCAAACTCGCACTTGTGTCTCGGTCAGGCCGAGTAGAGCAGAAAGACGTCGTCTTTGTTGCCCAGAGATGTACTGATCAGTGATGAAAACCTTCTCTAGCTCGTGCAGTTGATGAGCAGAAAAGACGGTACGACCTCTTTGTGGCCTGGTCACCTTGTCGTCAAGAGCAAGGGAAGAGCTCTCTTCCAAGCGAGGGGAACCCGTAAGAAAGGAGTCTAAAAGTTTTAAAAATCAATTAAAACCTATTTCATTACAGAAATGAATATCAAATGCACGACTGGATTTTCTTTTTTTTTTTTTTTTTTTTTTTTTTTTTCAGTATTGTTGTTCACGTGCATCCTTGGATGACATGGTTTTTAACAAGAGAACATGAACAGATAAACTAATCTCTTTTTCTTGTTTTAAGACAGTTGTTCGGAACAGAACAATAGACTTTTACCAAACGTTTCTCTGGAAAATTAATCAGTGGTGACACAAAGCCCATTTATTAAAAAAATTTAAATTTGAGTTCTTATTGCGTTTTTTCCATGTTTTATCATTACAAAAAAATGTAATGTAGACAACAAGTCTCACACTCAGGTATGTTCCTTGAGTATATAACCCATTAAACTCCCAATATCTTATCCTTAACTCTCCCTCCTAGATGCTACACATTTCCTTTCAGATTAGTTACGAGAAGTTGGTGTTAGGCCATCGTAACAACTTCTACCTGATACGTTTGAGTATTCTCATAGCCTGTTTGCTGAATAATGCCTGAATATCATAGGGAAAAGTTACACGTCAATCATTTCTGAGAGTTAAAGGGTTGGTGAAAGTTAGCGGTGTTCCTATTTCTGCAGCGCATGAAACGGTGCGATGTTAGCAATTAGTTGTGGGTGGTCAAATAATAGTAGGTATTAGCTACTGGATTAAAAGGATTATGATGAAGGTCGAAACTTTCTTGTATTTGATATTTTAAAATTTGATTACATCAAAAATCTTTTAAACTTTTCCAACCTTTTTCTCCAATTTTAACCCTCCTGTGGTAAGACTGGAAAACTTCTTTTTTAGTGTTCTATCTTCGAGACCTAAATGTAAAGAGTTTACTTGGAGGGGATACTGACAAAAACAATTATCGGATATCAATTTTTTTCTTTCCAAAAACGCCTTAGAAATGAACGTATTGAATTGAATTTGGTATTTCAAACACAACCAAGGGAATTGTAGAAGTCATCGATTCAAATGTTTCGTTATAAACCTACAATTTGTAAGACTTCTTGTCGCTGAAAAAGAATGGGCGAACGATGAAAAATTTGTATAACAAACTGAAAGGGGAAATTTGTCGACATTTTCTTTCAACGATTTTGAAAAATATAGATTTAAAACGTTTACCTCGTGATTAAAAGTATAGTTATTCAATTTTTTACCAGTCACGTAGTATCTTTTTTGACAATTCTATAGATTGGACAACTTTTTTTTTGTGTATAAATTGTTAATCGTGAATGTGTTGTTGGAAATCCCTCTTGGATAGAGGGCTAGCGGACTACAAACATCTTGAATTCGTTAACCGGGGACTTAAAGCGCGATGCTCAACGATTTTCTTGAAAATTCCGAAAGTTCAGGAGTCTTTTTGCCGAGACGAAAGGCCACGTCATACCAGCCACGAAGTATTTTTCACAAGTATTGTACAATTTTTATTGTATAGGTTCAATTTTTCAAGGGCATATTTCCACAATGCCACTTAATGAGCGACAGGTTTGGCATTTTTATGGGATTCATATTCATTATATTACTAGAAGCCTTTTTGAAATTACTGATTCTTTTGTCTTGTTGGCACAAAAACCCCTAAATGATTTCTTAGAAAAATTCAACTTAGCTCGATAAAAAAAAAGTTACGTGGCACTAGGGTGCTGTGAGAGAGAATTTTCCCCCTGTAACGCATTCGAATGTGCACCGTGTCATGAGAAATAGGAAAACCCGTGTTTATCAAAACGGGTTTGTGATCTTTTTCACTCTGTTTAAAATTTTTTATGTGGCTGTTCGTATAGCTCAACTTGATGGTGCACGTCACCATGTTAGAATGAACAGTTTTGTTAAAAACAAAATAAAAGGGAAAGAAGAGAAAAAAATTACAATTTATGTTCTGGAAAACATTTTATGCCAAATAGTTTCAAGGAAAAAATTCCCACACCCCCCAGAAAAGGAGTAAAGATTTCATTTGCTCTCCTACGTTCGGGACCACTGATCAGAGATGACGCCTACTGATTCAATACCAATTATAAGGGCATAATGAGTTGTCACTAACAATTGAGGACAATTCCTGTGTTCCTAGAACTTTATTATCCAGAGAAGAAATGAATGGATTTGAATGGTTATTTATGATTTTGATGAGACGTAAACGACTTGCTTTTTCAGTAGATGTCTGATGATCATAAAGAGATTCATTTTTTATTGAAGTACTGGTGAAGTTTCCGACAAACTGTTTCCCTGGGATTTCAGCTCAACTATGCATAGATAGAATTATGTTTATTCCCGTAGCGATGGTCTCATAACACAATTTTTCCCAACGTGTGGTGATATAAATTAATCCATTTGCTAATCTCGCCTGGTATAATACATTTTATGGGCAAACTTGTACCAGATAATGGGTTTATAAACAAAACATTAGAAAAAGCATCAAAGATATTATACACGACCGTTTTCTTCAATGAGGATAGGTAGCAATAATATGTGGCTAACCTTTGTTAGTTGCTAAGTCGGTGTTCCGCTCCAGCAACGAGTTGAAGGAGGAGTATTGCGAATTTTCTGTTCCACGTTCGAGGATTCGGTAAGGGTCTGCTGGGGAAGATAGGAGATCTTGGCGTATCGGACCGCGAGCTGGGTAGAAGGTATTCCCAGGGGAAGGTAGATAACTGGTTGGTGTTTGGTAGTTTGTGGATGAGTTTCGGTATGAACTGAGATGGCTTGTTCGAGTCGCTGGCTTATCTCCTGGTGGATTCAGAACCATCTGGTCGGAATAACGACCCGCACCTATCACGGTATCCGGATGAAACTCTGCCATGGAAAAGTAAGATGGAGCAGCGACGGTTGGCTGGTACAGCCAACAATTCTGTGAGAGAGGTGGCCAGTGGTTTGAAGTGGTATAGTCCGGCTGCATTTTTGCAACTGAGTTCTTACTGCTTTTAGTAAAGAACCTCAGTACCGAGTTGATTATCACGTACGTTGGCGCTACTGCTCAAGGGCAGAACATAACTATGCTTTTGAACGTGACTTCAATCATCTCTATTGATAGCAATTCATTGACAGATGTCTAATCAATATTCCACCTTTGTAAAAGTACCTCAATCAAGCGGTTATCGGCTTTGCAAATTGTTTTTCAATCAAAGCTTTGTTACTTTTATCGGAAATGATAAAGAATTTCACATTTTAAAGGCAAAAAGGATAGCGAAAGTACAAAAATTGTTTAACGGGAAATGAACACAAAATTACATGAAATGGGATGAATACAAACATGACGAAATAGGATTATTTTGTTTGCACGTTTTTTAAGTTGTTATAACTAAGCAAACGCTTTGAATTTAAAACTGGGCTATTCACTCCCCAAACAAAAGGCAATCGACACCTATTAATTTCATGTAAAATTATCCTCGATGAGCTGCTTTTAAGCATCAACTTTTACTCATACAACATGTATCATAAACCAAATTGCGAAAACGCAGATATGTTTCGGTAATGGATTAACCACTCGGTTGATTTCTTTTTGAGTGCTTGTTCTCAATTGCGTGACTAGTTAAAAGAAAAAATTTCAGCGAAATATTGATTTTCGGTAAGATGAAAATCAGGTTTTTTTTTCTTTGTTTGCGAGTGGCGATCCTTTCTCGCGAACTGGTTGCTGTAACAACGAAAGGTTTCCCCATTCGACAATTTGTAGGATTTACCCTGCTTGGAGTTTGCTCCAAGTAACTTTTTTGTTCCATTATTCAATTATACTTCTCAAAAAAACTAAACTGCCGCAATAAAAACGAATTTAATTTTATTTAACATTGGTTTAATGGTTTAAATAGCTACTTAAGGTACCGAAGGTGCTTGCAAGCACGTGTTTGAATAATTAGATATTTCATTGATTCCCAGTAAAGATATTTGTCGCAAATTTAGCATTAACATTGAAAACACCGCAAAGTCGGGTACTTTAGGAAACTGAATACTATATGACTGGCTCTAAATCCAAAATTACAGGTTACCATTTCTCACAAAATTTGAAAAGCTGTTTTATATTCCTGACCATAAAAACTTAGGCGGGTACGATTCGGTTTGTTACAATGTTTAAGTTATAAAACGTTTTGTTCTATCCGTTTTTAAATGATATCAACAATAAAACGTGACGAATTAACGTTAAAATAGAATTAGAAGTAATTGTTCATATTGGTAACAATTTATCTCGTTTCTGCTCAGCTGGTTGGCGAAATAAGGGAAATTTTTCATTGACAAGTCTTCCAACTCTGACATTTTTCTCGCCTGTGGCAACACATCTTGCCTTCCGCTTATAAGAGAGAGCTTATATTCTTCGTAATGATTAATTCCAGATTATGTAGGTGAGATAACTATTTTTTCTTTTATTTTTATGAAATGGGATAAACTTTTCGCAGTTCAGCGGTAAAATTAAATGGAACCTCGCCTTCAAAAGGGAAAGACTTGCGGTTATAGCCAAAGCTTTTCTGTTTTTTATCTTAATCTGTTTTCCTATTGTTAGGGCAACTATCAGCTTTTCGATCAACTTTACTTATTCTCCTATCAAACATCCATCTTCTTAGCAAAAATCCTAACTTATCGCAGAGGACACTCTCCTGGATAATGTAGATTATGGATGGAATTTAAGCTGTGTGGAACGAGTAAAAAGTCCAACGTTCTACATTGCCAAGAAAAAAACAGTTAGCTCATAGACAATTTATGATTAAATTAGCTGAGTTTTCTTCATCATGCAAGCTCCCGCCAGAGGCATTTAGGGCACGGCTGTTTGTTCTAGTTTTTACCCAACTCTTATAATTTTGAAAAGAAGACCAATCTTTCAATACAATCTAGCAGTTCTTTATGTGAGCACAGCATAGAGTTACGCAGCAAAACCATGCAGAAACGTTTTGTATATGCCTATGGTGTAAATTTGATATACGTGCTAAAGAACATTTTGGATCAAAATTTTTGAACCGACGTAAATTTAAAGATACCGATATGAACAGTTCGGCCCTACATGCAGCATCAACGCTTGATAGCGCGTCATTTAACAACACCTAAGAATTCTTCCAGTCCGGGAAAACTGTTTGGAAAAATTAACGAAAAGAATCTCTTTATCCATTTTAATTATTTATACTTCTCGTACCATTTGTTAGCGAGACATTACGACGCCTTTCATTACCGCACTTAGCTTTTTTTTCTCAGGTTTAAAATTCTACCAGCTGCAGTTGCATCTTAAGAGTCGTGAGGAGAATTGTAATGTAAGAACTGTGAGAATTGTTTCGTTATGTTTCGTTACCGTGTGTCAATCTCTGCCGTGCACATATGCTCAATGCCCCTCATAACTCCTCACTTCATTCACTGCTCATTCATGGCACCATGAAAACGTTAACAACGTTTGCCATTTCGTATCTTCTCTTTCTGTCTGCCAATGCACACCATCAGAAAAAAAAAACACAACGATCAAGAAATGTTCAACAAAGGCTATTTTAATGCAATAATACTTGTGCTGAGATGTTTAGGAAGTATTATGATACGTATATTATATTGTACTCGACTCGCGAGACATTTGTACTCTGCTTAGTGCAGTTTGATAAAAAGTATAATGCTGTCACCCGTTTTCTCTGGTTCTCTTGGTTTCTCATTGATATGTTAATTTCAATGTAAAACCAAAACAGTAGTATTGAAAGTATAATTGTGCTTGATTTAAATTTCAGTCCCTTTTGAATCAAAGCAGATGTGGTTTGTTTGACGGGGCGACATTGGTGTATATGGACCCATGATGGACCAATGATATCGCTCCAGCCCTAAACACATGCCTAAGGAAAGGGAGGATGCACTTCAGAGTAGAAAAACAAGCAAACGAGCAAAAACAAGTTAATAAGCAAGTTTGGATATTTTAGTAATTGCGTAGGATTTTTTTTATAATCAACATGAATTTCTAAAATTTTTGCGTTAAACCATATAAGCTTAAATTCTGAGCTGTCGACTCTGCTCCTGTCCTGATTGTGCTCGACAACTTTTGAGCAACTTTTGGCGTTTGGAGCAACTCTGCGGTTCTAGCAGCCTCGAGTATTACCAAGATGCCTTGCCCCCAGGCTCCAACGACTGAAGTGTATCCTGAGTGGAGATGAGTCCAGTGGATCAGCGGATTTGCATCTAAGATTACAAAACCGTCATGGCGGACGAAAGTAACGAAGACAACAAAAATATGATTTCTTGTTGCAAATGTTCTTTGGAATACGTCAGTGTCGCATGTAACAGGACTCCCTTGTGTGTGGACTGGGGAAGGAATGGCTGGCTGGCTTATGGTGCTTGTTATTCTATAGCGTTGTATCGCCCAAAGGTAGAGTTGTAGACTCATTACACATCGAAATTTTTATTTTCCACGTGCATCCACGGGTTTGGTGATTTATGTTTCGGTGAATAATTGTTTTATTTGAATTATATAGACCGCTAAATCTGGTTCATTCGGGAGAGTGGAACATATTTTGAATGGACATAAAGACAGGGTGAATTGTGTGCGGTGGATACCTAGGCCGGGGTTCGGTGAGTTTACTGACAAAACGCCAGAATATTTCTTCTCAATCCCACTAATTTAAGGAGCGACCAATAACTAAAATCTTCTTACATTATTAATACATCATTAAGTACAAAGGTAGTGAGAAAAAGAAAATATCAAAAATGGAGTATTGTATGATTTCTCACTTAATAAAAATCACCTGAGCTGGAAATTACATATGGCCAACAGCAAATGCAATAATTGGCGTGGATGATGAGGTCTTAGAAATGAAGATTTTTGTTGCTGTACTTATTTCTATTTTACTTTCATTTTATTACAGAGGAGGAGGATGAATTAGTTTCAGGCTCCACTGATAAATCAGTGATTGTCTGGCAAAAGAATGCCGATCAAGATTACACAGTAAGCTTTTGATCAAAGTGTTATTATTTTTTTCTTGTAATGGTGGAGTTCAGAAGTCACAGAATGGAAATTTCTGAGATTTTGTTCACACAGTTGATACTGCACATATTCATATTGTGGTACAAATGATTTATCATGATTAGCTCTTTACACCCCAACATCAGTATGCATATTCTCCATACTGTTCTCTATAAATTTCCTAAGTTGCTGACAAGGAGAGTTTATTTGACAATTGAGAGCTTCTGTAGTTGCTGATCATTTCCTTCATTCTCATGACCTTAATGTTTGATTCAGGGGTGATGTTGTAAGAAGAAACTAGAGATCAGTCACTCTTTGGAGTTGAAGGGTTTTAATTTAGTGCTAACACTAAGGGACTCATTTTATGCTTGCAGTGGAAAGTTTCGTCTGTTCTTGAGGGTCATCAGGGAGCTGTGAATGCTGTGGCTGCTGTTATTCTTCCTGTGTCTGATAATTCAAGAGCTACAAGAACTATTATAGTTTCTGCTTCTGCAGATTCATCAGTGAGGATATGGGAGCGTAAACAAACAGAGGGTACAATCTGACATTGTACATGACCATATGCATACATTGTAAATGTCAAGGATTTGATAAAGATATAGAGAATCAGGAGCTTAGTGTAGAGCTATAGGAGGAGGTAGTTAATGTTCCATACAATTATTGTAATATGCAAGGATGCACTGCTGCCTGCTACGCACAGGTTGTAGAGTGCCAGACTGTTGTGGGGTTAGGTCAAAGATCTGAGGCCCAGACCTGATAAGGATATGAAAAGCAGGCCTTGTCTCCTGCATCTTCTCTGTACTGGTTAGTGGGGAACGTTTGAGAACCCATGCACTCGCACCCATGCTTAAGTAGCAGGGAATGTAGCTCCTGGTGTTTTGGTCTGACATTGATATTGTTTAGACAGGCCCTGGTTTAAACCACTCTAAAGCTGATCTGGGATAGCCTGTCTAAATATTGCAAATGCACTGTAGGTAAATAAATAAATCACTACAGGAAGAGGGGGAGGGCAAAAAAGTGGGAGGGTTAGTACGTTAAGATCAATGTCTGATATGATTAATGGAATGTACAAGGATTAACAAAGGATCATCATGATAAGTATCATAAATTCTAACCTTTCAGGAAACTTCACATGTCTACAAACTGTATCATATGGGAATGGTTTCATTTTAGCTGTGGCAATTTCTTTGCTTCCTGGAACATCAGGTTATTTCTCTAGGTTACACATTCAATGAATGTTGATAAGTATTCCTTGAACTGAGTTGATTTTGTAAATTGGCCACCATCAAGAGTTTTGAAGCTGATGTTTCAAGTGTTAGCCCTTCATCAGAGCAAAAGAGGAAAGGCTAACACCTGAAATGTCAGCTTTCAAACTCTTGACGGTGGTCAATTTATGTTATCAACTCAGTGGATAATACTAAATTACCTTGGTATACTCTCCTACCAACGCAACACCTTACCCCCTTTATTCATGTATGAATGAATCATTTTAAACATTTGGATGTCATACTGATACAGTGCAATTCATTTATGATTGTACCACTCATGTGTTGCAAAAATGGTAAGAAATTTTATCAGCTGCAGATGTTGACTTTAACAGGTAATTAAGTGTTAACAACTGAGTTGAAAATGTAAATTAGCCACCGTTAGGGTTAGGGTTAAGGCTGACGTTTCGAGCATTATCCCTTCGTCTGAGCAATGGGCTAACAAATGAAGGGCAAACTCTTTACAGTGGCTAAATAACGTTTTCAACTCAGTTTTCAACACTAAATTACCTGCTATACTCCCCCACCGACACAGCACCATAGTTTCTTTAGAAACTTACCCCCTTTACTCATTTGATGCTAACTATAGTTGGTGAGTTTTACAGAAATCGCGGCAATTTCAATCAGGAAAACTGAAAGTAGCTCCTTAACTCCCAAGATCCAATTAGAAATTCCCCCCAATTACTGCCATACTTTTCCTTGTATCTTAGATGGGAGAATTTGGAATCTTATTCCAAAATAATACCCTCCAGCTGATGAGCTTGTCTGTTTTCATAACGTGTTTACAAGATGAACATTTGAAATCAATAGAAGTTAAGTGTTACTCACTTGTGGAATGGAAGATGATAATTTTTCTTCCCTTTAGTTCCTGTAATCGTGTGTGGTGGAGAAGATTGCAAAGTGCACTTGTTTACAGAGAAGGACAACAAGGTATGTAAGCCTCAAACTTCCACAGAATTATTCTTTGGGCACAGTCTGAGAAGATTATCAATAATTATAAATCTTGACGCTCACATGTTTGAAGTGAGTGTTATTTGAACTGTTTTGAAATGGTTTTTTTAAGATTGTCTTACCTGTATGTATGCTCATTTATTTTTATTTTTAGCTATACAACAAAAATAAACATACAAAACTTTCCCCATATAAATCTATAATTTGACACTCTTGCTGAAAACAGTTAAATGTACATTCCATAGCTAGTAGCAGAATGAATAATTTGTAGATATTTCTTACATTTTTTTCTCATTTAATACTTGTAGTTTATGAAAGTACAAAGTTTATTAGGCCATGAGGATTGGATCAGAGGCACAAACTTTGCATTAGAAGGTTTGTTACTTTATTTCCTTCTTACTAAATGTTTAGAATCCTATGATTACAATACTCACATTCTACTGATAATTTTATCGCTTGAATTTCCTTTTTGGAATTCCCTGCCTGGAAGTTTATTTTTACCGTAAATGGTTTGAATGCGGGAGAAGCATTTGATGGTGTAAATACTTCCCATTCAATCTTTAGATTTCTAGGTAGACTACATTATACAATAATACACTTTAAAATTCTCTGAGAGCCTTAGCGATCTTCGCTAAACACGTATGTCCAAGAAAACCTTATCTTCGTCGAGCACTTCACGTTCAACCGTCAGCCTTAAAAAGGATAATTGAAACGTAACATTAGTATTCCAGAAGACACGATATATTTCTAATACTCACGCGCAGCTAAATTCTTCGATAGCACATGCACCAACGTGGCACCCTTCAAAAGTAAAGCTAAGCGCAAATGATATAATAGACACGACAGATGGTGTACATGTAGTCTGATTGTTCAACATGGCTAGCAAAGACAACCTTATCGGAAAGTCACCATCAACTTATAGTAACTGATAGTAATTTCCGCCAAGGTTGTCCAAACATTAGTCACTAATACTGTTAATAGTCTTTCCCAGGTACACTCTGACTAGTTTTGTTTTGTCAGTAATATGGTTATTAAACATTCTAACTTTAACCTTCTAGCCTTTTGTTTTTACTTCACAGATGGTGGAGATCTTCTTCTTGTCAGTTGTTCACAGGATAGCTTCATCAGGATCTGGAGAATTTCACTTTCACTGAAATATCCAGAATCTAATTCTGACATCTTACAAGATGAATTTAAAGAACTGAAACTAACTTCCAATGTTTTTAGTGTAATTAACGAAGGTACTGAGACATTTGTATTTCCTTTGCAAAACTGTTGTTCTCTGAAGTAAAACAATTCAGCCATCAAACGTTAATTGTACATAACGCTATTTTGACATTGCCATTCAATATTAAAACCAAACCTTGTATTTAAAGGAACACTTTTTATGTTTTTATTTTTTTAAGGATCGTCAAAAGACTTTTCAGTTGTGCTGGAGTCAGTCCTGACTGGACACGAAGGTTGGATATACGGGGTTCATTGGCACCCTGCAATTAGGAGAGGTGAGCAAGTTTTTTTCCCCTCTGGAGGTAAACAGTGCTTAAGCATGCCCTGTGCCTGATTTTGTTGACGCAAGTCTACAGTCTTTTTTCGTTCTGGTTAAATGGTGAAAACTACTATTCTTTCCTTATTTATGGATCAAACTCATAATGTTTCATGTTTCTTACTTTATCTCCACGTTGGACGCTTTCAATACGCTGATCCAAGTAATATACAGAATACACGCACGCTACGAAGAGGAGGGGTCTTTCTGCGCGTTTTTGTGCTTTCTCGCGCGTTTTCTCGCTCACAGGGTTTTCATGAGCAGCGGTCTCACGGGTAGATCTATCCGCTTGTATTTCGTTTGTATCCTGTTTGTAGCCTTCAGGCAGACGTCATTGTACTTCAAAAATACATTTAATTCTCTTCAAGTTAGGTGACTTATAAGAACAGCAAAAGAACATAACTTAGAATAGACCTGAAAATGCTCCAACCTTCATCTTTACCTTTATCTTTAATTTCACAGGGGATGGATCGTTCACTCAGCCCATGTCATTACTATCAGCCTCTATGGATAAAACATTAATTGTTTGGGCACCTGACAAAGAATCTGGTGTTTGGTTGGAGAAGGTAGAGTGCGTACTCGCGCCAAGTGTCCCATGCAGCCGGAGCATATCCCAATTTCTTTCGCATGAAGCGACTAGGAATATTACTTCCCCCCCCCCCTCTCCACTCCCGCCAATCGGATGATGTCAGTCCTTCTCAAGTGCTAATACCCCTTCCCCCGGTCAGCATTTAATTAGGCTTCCCTGAAAATTCTCTGATACCAATTTATAAACTTTTGTGGAGAGAGCGTTTATAAGCGTGAGTTGTTGTGCCCAAGAACACAACATAGAGACCCGGTCAGGACTCGAACCCACTCGGCGTCCAGTCCACCGCACCTACCTTCATTATGAAAAGAAAAAAAAAGAAAGAAAAAAACGACAACAATAACAACAGAATGGAACGAAGTAAATGAAAGAAAAACAAAAAATGAAAAAAAGTTGTTTGCTTCTTCGAGCGTCTGCGGGCAATTGAAGCACTTAGTTGATTGTCAACTTGATTGGTTCCTAACCCATGACACAGACCAGTAAACTGTAAGTTGATCATAACGACTTGGACTGTAAAGTTTTTCAGAAATTATCAGTCATAATACTCCCCCCTCTCCCTTCTCCCTCGTTTTGACCATCCCTCACTACAAATTTTTTCCTCTCTCCAGCCTTCTGCTGCTGTAAAAATCGAAGATGGCAGCTATCATTAATTTTCACCAAGAAAAGACGAGACTTGTTGGCCAATATTAAACGTGCTATGCATGCTAACTAACCAAAAACTTTGTTTCAAAATCTGTTGTTTAGGTTCGTGTTGGAGAAGTTGGAGGAACAACTCTTGGTTTCTATGGGGCTGTTTTCAGTCCAGATGGCCAATCTATCCTTGGGCATGGATATCTCGGAGCATTTCATCTGTGGAACAATGTTGCGTATGAGGTAGAAGTGTATGATTGTAAAGTTTTGGTATTCAGTGAAAATATCATGTGAAGTTGGGGATACAGAGCAGCTTCACAAGGGCCGATTACCGGCCAAAATCGCCGGCAAGTCTTACAGCCTGATCTGGCTCTGTAGCTCAGTTCAATCAGGATCTAGGAGGCACGGGTTCGGATCCCGTCCAAGCCTGCCTTTTTTTCGCCAGTCTCCTTTTCTTCATTCTACCTGCGAGAATCATTATTTGCTTTACTATCTTTTGTTTTCATTAATTTACAGTGCGAGGAAAGGTGGGAGCCTGGTGTAACAGTTGGTGGACACTTTGGTCCTGTGCAGGTGAGCCACTAATGAAGGTGACAAGAAAAAACCATAATTTGGCCACTGTTTGTCAGTATATTAGTATTGGCGACGTCTACGTTTTTTTTTTCGCTTTTGAGCGCTAGCTCTTCCATGATATATCTAAAATTGAAAACTAAGTGGTACATAGACTATTAATATAATAATAATAATAATAATTATTATTATTATAATGAAGGATTTTAATAGCACCTTTTCATTCAGCTCATGGCGCTTTACAACACTTTGCGGGGGACTTTAGCCAGACAGCATTGAGGAGTTTATTATTTTTTTTTTTTGAAGCTCTACAACATGAGCTAATCAGACTATTCTTCTGTTTATTGCCCTGATTATCTGTTACTTTAATCTATGAGCTTTGAAAAACCATTCTTTAATCACTAGTTTCAATATAAGCCGGTTCCTGGCGGTCTACCGCCGCCCTTAAGACGGTTTAACCATCGACAACCGCTGATGGAAAAAGATATGGAAAGCCATGTTTGATAAATTTATACAGTGCTTTTGCAATTTACTGCAAGGGAATTCATTTTGTTCTTATAGTTCTGCAATGTCTGTTTGTAAAGGTTATCATTGATGGACTTGGTGCTTAGTCCCGGTTTTCGGAGTGCTTTAGTGAACGACACGATAGAAGCGGCAGAACGTAAAAAAAAAAAAACAGAGGCTTGAATCGGGTTGAAGAAAAGAGGGGGTTTGGGTCGGGTCACGTAACCCAGCTCAAGCCTCCCTCGATTTTTCACCCAGCCGCTATTGTTGTGGCGTCCACCGTCGCACTCTGTTTTCCATATTAAACGCTTGCAACAAGCTAGGTTTAAAATCTGTTAAACTAGTGTGAGACGAAGAGAAATCTGAGTCGTCCCTGAGGATTTGAACGATAGCGAGATCCAATTTCAATGTTGGATGCTCGACCAACTGTGATAAGAGACGATATTTTATTTTAGGTTTATATGTGACAAGTGTCCTACTTCCTGCCAGCATCAGCCTTGTCTGTAGCATCCTTTGTGGAGAGTGACAAAGATGTTTTATTTTTAGCTCGGTTGTCGAGTGAATAAAGTTGTGATTCATTTGTCATGAGCTGGGAACAACGAAACCTTCCTTCGTGTTGCTAACTAACTCGAAACATTCCTTATCTATTACAGGACATTGATTGGGATCCAATAGATGGGCAGTTTCTTGTGAGCGTCAGCAGTGATCAGACAACAAGATTACATGCTCCTTGGAGAGGAGAAGAATTTCAAGTAAGTTCGAGTCGTTGGTGTGTTTATTGATCAGTGGTGTAGTAAGTTTATGATGATTTTATATGGTAAGCCGAATTATACATGCATTTTGATCGATTCTTAATTATGATCGATTGGAGAACAGATTCATGGAGATGTCACCATTAACTTGTTTGTTGTTTTTTTATCTGCTATATAAAACAAGTGGATTACATGTTTCCGTGCGTCTTTACAGTTATAGGTCACAGAAGACGTCAAAATTTGATAAAAACATCAGTGACACACTCGGCTGTGCTTCGTGAGCCACTTACTTGTATTTGACGTCTTCTGTCAGCTATTCCTCTACAGATGCACGGAAACACGGAATCTATTTGTTAAGTAAATACACTTTGGAAACTTTTGCTGATCTTATGAATATAATCCAGTCGATGTTGGGGATGTTTATCCCCGTTTACAAAACTTTAAGATATGCAAAATGCGTTGGAAAAAAAAACACACAAAGTAAAACAAAAAGATTGAAAAAATATAAATTCGATTTCTATTCTATTCTATTGCTTGTTCCTAATTTCATCAGGAACATTCCTAGTCACTTTATGCAGAAGAAATCTGGGCTGGCTCCGGGAGTGTGAGCTTTTGGGGTCGTTTTATCCATGCCTTATATATATATATGTATATTTCTTTTTTTTTTCCAGAGGCCTGTTTGGTGCGAAATAGCCCGTCCACAAGTACATGGATATGACATGCAATGTCTGAGCATGCTTAGTAGATACAAAATGGCGTCTGGAGCTGACGAAAAGGTAAAGGTGTTCAAGACTTCCTCCCTCCCCTCCAGGGTCTTTTCTCTTTCCGATGGAGAGGCTCTCGTAAGATGGGTGAGGGTTTAAAGTACAATTCTCTTTTTTTCCCTTCCTTTTCTGCGTTTTGACGGTGAAGCGTCCCAAGAGAATATCATTTTGATTTTTTTGCCAAAATGGACTCAATTGTCCGAACTTGGACGGAATCGCATGAAAACAGCTGCAAGTGTTCCTAAAGGGTAATCAGACGGATGCGAGTGTTGAAATTCGGATGGAATTGTTGTGAGACGGACCCAAGTGTTCAAAATTGGACGGACACGTTCGAAAATTCATGGAAGTAACCGGAAACAGACATGAGAGTCTGTCAATGGACGGAAGTGTTCGGAAAACAGACGTAAGTGTCCGATAACGGACACAACCGTTCCAAAATGGGCATACATGCAAATGTCTGGAATCTGAGGGGATTATCCGAAAACATGTGAAAGTTTGCAGAAACAGAGAAAGACAAAATGGGCACTAGAAACCAGGAAGGAAAAAGAGTACCATGGGATGGAAATATAAAAAAATGGTTTTAACTGATGAACTTGAAAAAATTGTAATAAAAAAATGTGGTTACTGTTCATCGTGGTGTAGGATAGGACATGAACTTTGTTCGTTTGTCTCACGATGGAGTCACTTTGGATGTTAAGGTTAAGTATGTTTTTTAGGGAGCTCAACGTTTGGGAAAAAACGGATCTTTTCTCATTTCAGGTGTTAAGGATATTCAGCGCACCCCGCCAATTTATAGAGACGTTTCAAAAACTATGCAAATTGGAGGAAAATGAAGAGGTATTCATATTAAGGTTGATAGTGTATAAAAGTGCAGTTTGAGATTTGGGAGTTCAAAACACAGTCTTTGATCTATTTTCGTTGCATGTTTTCGATACATACTGCCTCGCTGCTGAAATCAAAAGAAACCTACGCCTTGCTTTGGAGTTGACATACACACGACACTTTAACCAGGACTGTAAGAGTTTTTAAGAAATTTAAAAGCTACCTCAATTTTAGGTATAGACAATATCAAATCGATTATTTAATTTATGTTCTACTCTGTGTGGAAGAAGCTATTGGTTGTATGGTAGAAGGGGTGGGGTGGATGGGAGGAACAATAACAGTTATTTTGTCACGCATGCGTTATGAGAGTTTCAAACGTTACATGCGACCTCGCATCCAAGTGTCAGTTGGAATGTAACGCAACGCCTTTTGAAGCCGTGCAAATGGCGAGAAATCACGTATGGGTAATACAATATTCATTTTCCTTTAGACGCATGATAGTTTACCCGTCGGAGCTAGTGTTCCGGCTCTTGGACTCTCAAACAAGGCGGTATTTGAAGGTTAGAGACTGTATGTTAGAACTGTTTTTTTTTTCAGTTTAATCTACGGCTTATTTATTAGTACACGTGCAAAGAAAACGCCTATGACTTGTGACTGAACTGCAACGGCTCTCTGGACGCTTTCGCTCCTAGGAGTGACCAGGAAGGAGGAGGTTCGAGAGCACTGAATTTGAAATCCGGAAGGGATGGAGGCTAGTTCAAATCCTCCATCCATTAGTGGATATCTAATTTTTCTTTCGTAATAGTCCTGATTTCAACTCTTTTGTTACACTTGATAAATAGCTAACATTTTGGTCCTCATTTGCCATATTTTTATCTTGATTTAACTGTTTCCCACAGTCGCACAGCAGCGCCAAAAACTTTAGCAGTTGAATGAACGTGTTGATTTGTTTTTATTATTACTATTACTATTATTATAGTTGTTGTTATTATTATTGTTATTTCACTTGTAATAAGGTATATTTTGTTTTTGGAAGTAAAGCTAGAATTTAAGATTTGAAATAAGGGAGAGTTATTTTTGTCCTTCATAGAGTTGAATCTTCTTAACCCTTTTGACCTTAGAAGTGGCCAACATCCAATTTCTCCTTACAGTAACATTACTGAATTATTCATTAAGATCACGAGAATAAAGGAAATGATCTCCAATCTAAGAGGCTCTGATTGTCAAACAAATTCTCCTTGTCAGTCACAAAGGAAGTGAATAGAGAAAATTATGGAGAATATGGACACTGATGTTAGGATGTAAAGGGTTAAACACTGAATTCTTTATTGATCAGGTGACATGGACAGCCTGAGAAGGGACCTTGAAGACCCAGCGAGGCCCATGAAGTCGTCAGCGTTTGCCAGTGAGGAGCCGGCTCCATTTACCCCGGTATTATTGAAAGGTTCGTCCCTGTGATGCTTTCCTTTTTTATTTCGTAGCAAATTGTTCTCGTCAATGGCTTTTTTCTTATCTATCGCTAGGCTAACACAAAGCTAATCACAAATCCCGTAATTTACAAAGTGTTTTAGTTGCCTTGGCATAGACTGAAAGGTTGAAGATTTAACTTTTGTGTTTTCTTGACTTTCTTATTATTTTCAGAACCTCCCACCGAAGATATCTTACACCAGAACACGCTATGGCCTGAAGTACAGAAACTGTGAGTACAAAGTTTTTCTTTTCCCTTTTCGTCCAATGCACGTCCTTTAAATACGCCGCATACCATTTATTAGCATAAACTTGCTGCTATTTTGCAGACGACTATAAAGATGTTTTTGTTTTGTTTAATTTGCTTTGTTTCGTAAACAAAAACAAAAAAAACAAGAAAATATTCTGCCCGGCTCAATTGTAAAGTAGACTTTGAAAGAAACTTTAAAAGGACCTTACGATTGACTGCTTGGCAATAGGTTCTTTGTCCAAATGTTTTTTTACATTCGTCCTTTTAATCTAATCAGCTTTGTGTTCCTCTTTTTCTGTCACTCAGATATGGTCACGGATACGAGGTTTTCTGTGTGGCTTCAAGTCCTGATGGGACATTACTCGCTTCTGCTTGCAAGGTTTTAACATGACTTTCTTACCTTGTTCCTTTACTAGTGATATGTCATAGCGTGACTTGACCATGTGGGTAGGGTGGGGTGTGTCGATGAGGGGGGGGAGGTGTTATAGCGAAGTGTTTTTGACACAGAGCAACCTTTAATGGGTGTCTAAAGTAATCCGGGATTGCATTAGTTTTTGCCTTAGTTGTGATTTTCCCCGAAAACTCGCACTACTCTCCTGACTAATCAGATCCAAAACTAAAACCAGTCACGACTTGGTTGCCCGCATCTTCCCGCGCTTCAGGCAGTTCTTTGAGTTGTCTGTGACTCCTTATTTTCTTCGTTCCGATTGGTCACTTGATAATTTTGGTTTGGGACCTACGAAACACACCGAAATGCGTACGAATATCTTTTAATTCTCGTATAGGCGAATCGGGGATTGTGTTTCCTAAGCAGGAGAAGATTATAATAAGCGGTTTTCTGTACGTTGATGTGATTTTTCTGTAACATATTCCCATTCTTGTTTTCTTTGTAGGCCTCTAAACCAGAACACGCTGCATTAATATTATGGGATACCACCACGTGGAGACAGATCTGCTCGTTACCCTCTCACGCACTCACTGTAACACAAATAGCCTTTGATCACAGTGGCCAGCGGCTTCTATCTGTGTCACGTGACCGTTGTTGGTCTGTTTTCAAGAGAAAATCAAACGACGAGAAAGGTGAGACTTAACTGAGATCTAAGAGATCACAACAGCCAATCATAACAAAGTTCAACAGCACAAGGAACCAATGAGAGCTTAAAATTTGCCTGTAGCTAAGCGCGGGAAGAAGGAGCAAGGTAGTTTCCCGTACATTCTGCTGAACTCTGACAAGTCGTTTAGGTTTATTTTTATATTTTACCTAGGGACTGGTTATTGCGGGGGAGACGGGTTGTGTGACGATAAGGTTTACCGGCCCCTTTCCCCCCTCCTCTTAGGCTCTGCAGAATTATGATGTTCCCCTTCCTCACTGCCAGTCAAGTTTCTCTGGGCCCCACCCTCCCCCCCTTAATACTCTGTTAGTGACAACTGATCCCCCTTCCGTTCTCTCTGAAAACCATATGATTCCTCCCCCTCCGATATCCTCCGAATCCCCCCACTCCCACCCCCGACAATAAGTGATGAGTGTTCCGTTATTTGCTTATTTCATTTTTTTGTGGATGCTACAGGTCAGCTCTTCAGTCTTGTTGCTCGAAGCGACAAGAAGAATCAACACGCAAGGATTATTTGGTCATGTGCTTGGAGTGAAGATGACAAATACTTTGCCACAGCTTCAAGGGATAAAAAGGTCAGCGTTCCCCTTCGTGAGAAATTCTTTTTTAAGTCAATAGCATACAAGTTTTACATTTCGTGTTTGCGGAAACTTGCGATCCGAAGAATCTACGTGAACTAAATCCATTCCGATCAGTGTCAGTATCTGAGAAACTGCGCACCTGCCCCTCCAATAATCCAACACAAACCCAAACTTGTTATTAGTTCACTGTTGTTAGATAAGGACAGGGGTAGGTGTGCAGTTGGTTAGACACTGACATTGAACCATCCATGCTGTGCAGGGTAATTCATTTACCTTTCCTTATCCTCGCATGTATACGAGTCCTTTGACGCACGAGAAAAAGCAGCGGTATTGGCCATTTCACGCAAGGCGCGCGAAATTCATAACTTTGGCCCCCGCGTGAAATATCCTTATAACGGCCCTGATTTCATGGTGGTTCGACCATCACTTTCTATCTATTTTCCTGGCAGGTCATATTATGGGGTAGCACGGACATTTCTAGCGACAACTGGCAGGCGGCTTCCAGTCCTGTAGATATCGGTGAAGCTGCCACCGCCGTAGATATTGCGCCATGGGTCAATAATGGAAGGTAAGATATCTTCGAAATTGTAAATAGGAAACTGTGACTCTTTACACTACTTTCACCCCGTGAGAAAGTTTTGTTGCCACGCTTGATGGAAACTGGAAACCGTGCACCAAGACTAAGAGTGCTACTTAAGAACTTTCGAATTTCAATGACGCTTAAACGCTTTGCGGGCCCCACCTCACAGGTTAATTTGTTGTTTTAAAATATTAAAACGAAAACAAAATCAAAATAAAACAGGACCTAAAGTGACCATCACGCTATGATTGATATTTAACGGTAAGACTATGATGAGGAATTTTATTTTTCTTGGCCGTTTAGGTACACTATTGCTGTTGGTTCTGAATCAGGCCGTATATTTCTATATTCCTGGAGTTTGAATGGAGCTAGCCGTGCAAGTGGCCAGTGGAGTCTTCTTCACACTTTGGACCAATCGTATCCTTTACAACTTTTTGGATATTATTACGCTGTGTTTAGAAGCATATGAGAGGATTCTTTTGACCTCCTTTAGAGAACAAACTGTTACTCGCATATACAAAGTTTTTAGTCATTTGATGGTATTAGTGAAAATAATTCTATCGTGTTGATTTGTGGCAATTGATTCGTTGCTTATATTTTTTTCCTTACATCTTGCAACTTTAATACACAGGATTTGTCACGTGCTTACAGTTCGAAGGTTGCGATGGAGACGAACTAAAGATTTTGATAAAAGTGCGACTTTACAGCTGGCGAGCTGTAGTTTGGATCATAGTGTGAGAATATTCAACGTAGCAGTCGCTAGGTGACAAGGTGTGTGATAGTCACGCAATACCCTAAAATAAAACTGAAATGCAAGCCGTCACGCCACACTCTGGTTTTAGAAAACACTAAGAAAAGGACATGTAGTGGCTGTTCCGGTGTGGTTTAAAGGTTTCATACAGAGCTGCACTTCCTGTCTCAATATTGTCGGAAAATGTTCGATACCGTCTTAGCATCAATGCACAACATTCTTCCAACCTCTGTAAACGAATGAAGCTGTGTGAGATCTATCACTTGATTTCATAAGTTGGTGGATAGTGGAACGCCACACTTGAAAGTTCTGCCTTGTATTTTAGACCGCAAACGTCACTACCAAACATCATCAACAAGCGAGAAAACCCTCTCTTGTGGGAGGCAATGCAAGCCCTTCCCCCAAATGGGCGGAATAACATTGAAGTTTTTCTGTCAAAACATTGAACTTTGATAGCCCAACAGAAAATGTGTTATCGCATGGGTGGAAGGGAAGGGAAGATGCAATCGAAGAAAGGATGAGAAAAATCATGGTGTCAATTTTACGATGGGTTATCTATCGACTATTGTGGATCTTACGAAGGACAGTTATCCCATATCACGAGGACTTTAAATGTTATCCAAAAAATACTAAAAGTAAACGAATGAATTGATTATCGAAAGAAATTAAAATGTACATTTTTAAGTTCTTTCAACGCAAGAATTCAAGTTGATTTTGACTCTATTTTTTAGTTACTATTAAAATAATACAAAAAAATCATCGCTCTTCAGCAAGAGAACACCCCAGTGACCTGGTCTTGCATCTCATCGGGTGTGAAATTCAACAGGAGAATACGCTAGTGACGAGTTCTTGCATTGATTGGGTGAGAAAACGGCGTGAGTTTTCTGGTCTAATCACAGAGCGTTGCAAATACAATCCCAGATGGCTTTCGACAACCAATGGTAAATTGAGTTGAGATTCAAACACAACGCTATAAGTTGAACGCCGGTCGCCGTTATCTTCTTCGTCTGGTACATGTTACTTAACCGTACACCATACAATCCACTCCGAGCGAGAAGGAATTGGGACGAGACACGGTGTGTCTACTCGATTCAGTCCTCCCTCGCCATTCCTGGCAATTTATCATTGTAATGTCTCCTTGTTCCAAATCTGGCCAACCAGATTTTAATACGTGTAAAGAAAAACATGCACGTATAAAATCGGCATTTTGCAATCGCGTTAGATAGAAAAGTTTGCCATAAGCAGCGGGCAGTCCAGGAACGGATAGTCATAATCGTAGTACAGCGTAAGTTGGCGTGGTTCGTCTGGTGGCAAAGTTCCTAGAAATCCGAAATCTTTAAGTTTCTTGCTACTCTCCATTTCCTGTTTTTCTCCATTTTCGTTTGACTGAAATATTCTGATATTTAAAGTGCACGGTCCCAGTTCGCGCTTGACGATCAGCGTTATGCCATAAATAGAAATGTTGGAAGGGACCTGAGCACTAATATATCCCGGAATTGAGGTGACATCTTGCAAGGAAACACTGTGCAAATCCAGCACAACGTACCTACAAACAAGGAAACAGAAAACATTATCTAAACCCATACTAAACTGTTTCGTTACCCCGGAGCGCTTTTCTATTGGTTGTCTCCGAATCGAAACCAATTTAATTGCAAGTCGTCTCCTCTAGCACACACAGGCAGCAGTTGACAGTTTTTCCTTGACACAAACGCTCTCGAATAAGAGCGTGACCAGTTCTCTCGATACTGAGCGACAACTTTGGAAGAGAGAGGATTGGGTAAAGACAGGGTGTGTCTTCTCAATTTAGTCCCCTCTCGCCATTCCTTGAAGTTTATCCTCGAAGTGTCGTAGCATATCGGGTTTTTTTTTGGCTTTAAGCCTCTATAGAACAAAATCTCTCATGCAATTCAATCTAGGCCTCTTTCACGCGTATAATTAACGCCAACACGAACTCTTACCCAGTAACGTCCTCGACCACAGGTTCCCATAATCCCACGTTGCACTTGGGGCATGACTGTAACTGAGCCGTCGGTTCTTCGTATTCTTCTAGTTCGGCGGCCTTCTCGATCGGCGCGCTCGCTTTAATCCGCCGTCGCATCTTCTTGAACTCGCGATAATCGATCTCTTTGTCGCCGTCTGAGTCTAAGGACGTGGCCATAATATAGATTTCTACTTTAGTGGCAGGGGCACCTAAAAAGGATAAAAAGGAAAAAGGAAAGTAATAATACTCATAAAAATTGCAGCGTTGAAGAAGGAAACTAATCTGGGCGTGGGCTAATGTATTCTTAGCCCGCGCGCATGCATAGGCCCTTACTATTAGTGCATCAGCACGAGCGTTTCTTCGCTGGCGGGAAAGTATGAAGCGTTAACCAATGCTAGCAGGTAAGAGGTCTTCAAGGGGTGTAGCATTATTAGGTTTGACCTGATTTTGCTCAGCAACTTTTGAGCAACTTTTGGCGTTTGGAGCAGCTTTTTGCGGTTTAAGCAACCTCGAGCAATTTTTTGCCTTTCTGAGCAATGTTTGGCAACTTTTAGGTTTAGAGCACACTTCAAGCACGATGAAGTTGACGATTTTATAAAAACTTTGATTTATGCCGATTACTTGAATGTTTCGCAGGCCTATTTTGTAATATTAGAACGGATAATCGGTTAAAACGACGCACCAAAATGGCTGTCTTTGTTAATTTACTTTCCTCTAACGGAAATGGATGGTTAGAAACCGCCCTTATTTGAGAGCAACCCTTTAAAGCTAAGTTTGTTACTACGAAGAACGAAAAATATAGCTTTTAATTAACGTTCATAAAAATTATCCAGAATTTAAGAAGCAACTTTGGAAATTTAGGTCGCAACTTTTTGGACTTATGGCATTTTTTAGCAACTTTTTGGCATCCCAGTTAGGAACTTTCCAGTATTTTACAAACAGAATCTGGACAGGCCTAAGCGCGGATAATGATTTATTATTAGTGTCAGACCCCGAGAAACCAGTGTCCAACTCGTCTCAAACCTCTCCGAGGTCGGAGAAAGGCGCGTCTTGCAGCGCTAGCAATGGAAAGCTGCGGGGAGGCTAATATATCCAAATTTCTCGAAAGTTCTTTTTCGTGTATGGCGAAACGGAAGTTTGTTTTCTCATAAGGCGATATGCTGTCTGAAATTTTCATTTAAGAAATTGCATTTTTGCATTCTCTTTCGAAGTCATTTTCATAGACAAATTTAGTCTCCTCCCTTCCCACAATTATTGTGTATTCAGTGATCATGTGACCGAGCGAGAAGTCAACCAAAAAAACTTAAATTGATCTGACATACCTTAGGGGCTGGACAAGGACCTCCCCTCCCCTCCCACCCCGTCCCTATATTTTTTTTGTCGTCTAGCAACAATAGTAAACTCGTCCTTCAAAATGGCGAGTAGAAATTTAATCTGCTTAACACTAGATTGTACCGTCAATCTATACCAGTCTCAGTCGGGCGAATTAGACACCAGTTATTTCATTTGCCTTTACAGTGTTCGATCAGCTCAGTGCTTTTTCAGCCATGGAAATATGATTTTCAATTGGAAAAAAAGAAACCAAATTAAAACATCTCGGTTGCAAAATTGTCGTGCTCTACCGTATTACCTAAGCCCTGGCAAGACATTTTTACATTTTATGTTGATCTTATTTTTACGTCATCTACTGATCGACAATCGCAATCTAGATCAGTAAGACATACCGCGCTCAAAGATAATTTTTTTTGTACGATTTTTGAGGAAAAATCTACTTTACACTTTACATTTAAGACTGTATTAATTTTACTTGATTCAGTTTTTCTTTAAAGTAATGAACGCTTAAACCGTAATTCAGATCATTTCAAGTAAGCGAATTCACCGAGCATTTATTTACATTAGGCTACTGATTTGTAATTACCTTTAAAAAAAAAAGAAAGCAAGAAAAAAAGTGGTAATAACAAGCTCACCTAGATCTTTCATACCAGCCGCAAACTCGTCGTATGAAATTGTGCCGCTGTTGTCTGAGTCAAACCTTCGAAACAGATCAAGTATTCGACTGTAGTTTTGATCCATCCAGTGTATCATTCGCTCTTGAAAGTCGTGAAAAATCCTTTTGGATGAGACCACTCTGCCAACTTCTGATTGGGCGATTTTCTGTTTTAAAAGCCGGGAACAATTTTCGAGCGATTAGCTAAATAACGAATTTGTTATGTTTGATTGATCGTTCAAATGATAACAAGCCGAGAACTTGCAGCTCTGATGAAGTGTGAGTTGCTTTCAAAATTAGTTTCGGCCTTTCTTAATTGCTTTCAAGATCTTTCTCGACAATTTCATTTAGATTGCATTCACAGCTCACCGAGATAAAGTATCGTTTGTTATCAGAGCAAACCTTGGTAACAATCTCACTTGATAAACGTGTCCTTTCGTATTCCTAACGCGACAGGCATATAAACGGTTTATTCTTTTGAAGCAATCCTGAGCATTTGTTGCAATTTACTCTCGACGCCTGTCGCGGAACCAGGCGTAGTGCGAGATAAAAATAGGTTAAATAAGTTTCAAACCTCTCAATATATCTGAATTTGTGATAGGGAAAGAAATAAAATATTTAGGGTGAAACAGGAAATTACCTTTTCCGCCATCGCCCAATTTAAGCTGCTCGAGCACTTTAAATCAACAAAACGCGTTAATGAAGTCGTCGTAAGGTGTTTTGTTGCTTATAACGGTATCAATTAATCCCATCGAATTTAAATCGTAGCGCTGCAAGAGAAAGGGCGTTAATTATTAAGAATTTCCTCCTGGTGTTTCTATATTTTGCTGATCAAAAGATAATATTTTCAGCTGCTAATGAGGTTGACCTCCTTCGCTGTTATCAGCTAGTCGTGTGAGTATTGAAAACAATGAAGTATTTAGGAAACACCTGTCTTCATGGAGAATTTGTTCAGCCATTAGCAAAATCTCAATTGCTCATCAAACACGATCTCAGTAAAGGTTGTTTCTGTACAAGGAGCGATGTCTAAAATACTTGGTTTATTGCCTCGAATTTAGCTGTCGGTTTTAGAAACGTATTCTTCTTGCTCTTTAAAAATGATCCACTCCTTCGTGGAATGATTACAGAAGGTTTGATTTAACTTGGAATTAAATGATGGAGGGGGGGGGAATGGGAGGATGGGGGGATGGGAGGGAGAGTGTTGTTGCTTTGGCGATCATTTGATATACTGAGTACCGCCGGTAAGTTGCGAGGGTAATTATTGCTTCTTTAAAATGCAGCAATCTGTCGAAATTCGAAATTTGGCGATTAATTTCCTTTCTTTTTCTTTCAATATGTACTTTTCTAGGTTCTGTTTTGCGTTGGGCAAGAATGCAAGAAACACGTGCGCGATACGGGTTTTATTTATAATTTCATTAAAAAACATCTACGTTCGTCATTTTATTTATTTGGTAGCCCAAACAAGCTAAATGAACCTTACTCTTCATTCCTCTCTTAGATAAATCTCCTATTTTTTCTCCGGAAATTAAAAAACAACAACAATTTACCAGTACTACAGAAAGATGCAACTACTTACACGACACAAATTTTGTGTTCAATACATCAATACGGAAAGTATTTCACGACAAATCTTTGACATGACCTTACCTACCGACATCCAAAACTACTAAAAAAGAAAAGAATGAAAGAAAATGAAAGTCAACCAGTTTTAAACTGAAAGACACGATTATGAAAGTGAAAACAATATGAAAATTTTCTAAGTTAAGACTAATGCACTACAATCGTTGGAGTACCCAAATATTACAAATTATGCATGACCTAGCTTTTTATAATTACAATTAAGCAAAGCTAGTGTTTGTCCAGTTTCTAAATATTCCTTTAATGTACGTTTAGATTTTGACAATATTTAAAACAAGATTTTAAACAAGTTTATCAACTGCTATAAAAATAACGACTTCACATTTGGTTAACTTAACAAAATAATGGAACATGCACGTTACTACATTAATTTTGATTATTAACTCATAACTTGGACGTACTATAAATATCAAGACCTACGAAAACTGAAAACCTAACCCTAAGCAATATACTTATTATAACTTAAATAAAATTATCAAAGCTCTAAACATTTATTAGCAAAGCAAATACTATTTGCCACATTATTCTGAAAAAATGTTTTTGACAGAACGAATAAACCATGACCCACGCCATCTGAATAGATAACCTATGAAACGTCCTCTCACAATAGAAGAACTCTTCATTAACTAAATTTTTTTTTTTAATATAAACACCTTCCAAGTATCATTACACTGCTTTTTTTTTAAAGCGCGTAGTGATTCATTTAATTTACTAAACCGAAAGAACATTTCATTTTCACTAAACGGGCAATATTTGATCAAACTTTAAAATGCTCCTCAATAAATCAGACACTCAAATAATTTATCTGAGCCCCTTGTCAAATTAACTTAGTAAACATTATGCCGAACAAACACAAACAATACGTCTAAATTTAAATAATATTATATCTCTTTCATCACCAGCTTGGTTGTCTCTGGTTTGGACCGATTCGCTTTTTCAGATTTCTTTCGGAAGGATAATCTGGGGGGACTTAAACACGAGAAAAGTCTCGTCTTTTTCTTTTTCTTTCCTTTTGTTTCTCTTAAATCGTCATCTTCGCTGTAAGACATAACGCCCTCATATCTTGATTCCAAGGCCACTTCTTCGCGGTTCTCATCAGTGATCGCAGGCTCGCCCTCACTGGAGGCGCCGTCTGGGTCACGTGATTGTGGTGGTATGCTACCTTGAGAAGTCCGATGCGCGTTTGAATCAGGAAAGTCGTTCCATGCCTCCAGATTAGGATTGACTTGCAGAACTTCGTCTTTAGGCGGCGAATTTATCGCCAGCACTCTGAAAGAAGAAAAGTATCTTAGACCTCAGACTTCTTTGTCAGTTAAACCGCCATGTTATTGCTGACAAGTTGCCTTGAGTATAGCGTCTATCGTGAACAGTTTTCTCTCCAAGTTTTTCCCTTCTTTGACAAGTCTCCTTTATCAAAGACTGGTACTTCCCAAGTTTTACAATTGGCAAAGAGAGGTGAGAAATATTCCTCCATTAACACTTTCAAGAAAAACTTTTTTAGGAAAAGTCGCTAAGATCATTGATACGGCTTTCTCTGTAAGTCAACCGCTACTGAAATGAAAAAGCTAAAAGGTGAAGGTTTCGAATTTATATGTTTTTACTTTTTTTAAAGGGCACACGCCATCAACTCACCGGTCTGAGAGTTCCTGGAGACTTGTTTGACATTCTTTATTACTGAGTTGTATCTTGGCGGGCAGATCTGTTCCAACGCTTACATCTACCACAATCAGTGGAAAAAAATGATTAACAGGGAGCAAGGCAGTGACTTATAGGCAATTTTCCTTGAGTGTCTAAAGTGATCCTAAATTGCTTTGATTTTGTCTTAGGTCGCTCTGTGATTGGCCCAAAATACTCTCACCATCCACTTAAACAATCAGTTCAATACTGAGCCCAATTACGTGCCAACGCATTTTCCCGCGCTTCAAGTTTGCTCATAGTTTGTTCATAGTTCTCATTCAATACTTGTGATATTCCCTTTTTTCTCATTTTTGGTTTTGCCTACCTACCTCAGACTGACTAGCTGAGAGGCCGAAGCTTTCCAGGGGTCGGTAGGGTAAACAACATGGGATATTGGTCCATAAACCTTGCCTTACCTTCCCCCACCCCCACTCAGGCTTCTCTGATAGTTTTCCTATCACATTTTACAATCTCGGATGGAGAGACCCACTGTAAGAGTGAAATAGTGACCCAGCTAAAAATCGAACCCAGACCTCCAAAGGTTAGCTCGCTAACCATTACAATTCCGCATAACCCACAAGCAAGAACGTTCTCAAGTAGCATTTTTACCTTTTCGTATCCTTCTCAATGATCGATTGGGTCCTGGGCTTGTTTGTGTTTTTTTATTAGCCTAAAGAAAGAAACAAAATTGGACTTAACGATTTACGACTTTAAAGAAAACGTAAGCAAGCGTAATTGTTTCCAAAGCGCCGACGGACGGATTCCTGCAACACGTCCTTTAGTTTGCAAAAAATAGATTAGATAATTCTCAACCCTTTAATTTGTAAAAATGACCAGCATCTAATTTCTCTTTACCATATCACCCCTGATTCAAGGATTAATGTCACGAGATTAAAGGAAATGATCACCAACCAAAGAAGCCCTTGATTTTTTGACAAATTCTCCTTGTCATCACCTCAGTAAATATATAGAGGAAAGTATGGAGAATGTGCATACTGATGTTAGGGTGTATCGGGTTTAAGTATAGCCACAGTCGTAAATGTTTCAAATAAGGAAATAAGGGACCAGTTCTTATTCATCACTCTGGGAGGGGAGCAGGGTACCGTAAGACTCTGGGGGGGGTCACATGGTTTTCAAGGGAGGAAGAGAGGGATCAGTCATCACGAGGGGGGATGAAGAGTGATGCCGTTGAACTTTGGGGGATCACATGGTTTTCAAGGGGAGGCAGAGGGGGAAATCAGTCATCACGGGGTGGGGGGGTGCCCCAGGACTTTGGAGGAATCACTTGGTTTTCAAGGGGGGCAGAGGGGGATCAGTCACAACTAACAGAGATTAAAGGAGACTTAAGAAAACTGACTACCAGTGAGAGGGATCATTAGAACACTACAGAGCCTCGTGGGGAGAGAAGGTAATTGTATTAGGACACAACCGACCACCCCCTCTCCCCTCCCCAAGTTGCAAAAACACACCGAAACATACCTTTGACGGCACATGAATAACTGTTGGTAACTCCGTCGTGGTCGAGTTGTGGCTCTTTCCCGTATTACGTCTGTTTTGTAAAACAAGAAGGCAGCTCATGACTGTCTTGCTTACAAGTAACAGGTTCACTGCTTCTTCTAGCACGGGTGGTGAGAGGTCAAGTTCGTCTTCTTCCTCCTCGACAGGACTGCGTTGACCTTCAGTATTGAACAGAACCATACACGATCAATACCATGGGAGCGCGAGGGTGAGGGAATGGGGAAGGGTCATGCTTGTTATAAACTTGTAGAGAGCCTAAAGAATAATTCGTTATCTTTCTTCACATTGAGTTGTTCCCCATACAAACTTGTCTTGTAACCCTGCCCATACAAACTTGTCGAAACCCTGCGTTATTTGAATCGTTGCAGCTTCCATTTCGTACGGAAACACTTGTAAACCATCATGAATAACAATACACCTACAACTATAGAGTTTTTGTTTAGAGGAAGGTGGGGCTTGGAGGAGCAATTGCAGTAGCCCTTTAATAAAACTCAGATGTACAGTGACGTGAAGGCCAGCTAGTGAATTTCCCCCTTGTATTAAATAGATTCAGTTTAGTATTTTCGAAGGACAAGGTAAACTGCACTAAAGTTTAAATAGAATAAAATTAAATGAAAACTTACCGGCGCATATTCTATAGAGAAGTTTTTCCTTGACACCTTCAAATAAACGTCTCATGACACGGGACAGCTCTGAAACCAACAAAGTATGTATTAAGTAGTTCATCCCTTACCTGACAATTCTTTTGCGTTGAATGACAGTCTGTGCTCTCCGAGCCATTGGTTTTAATACATTATGCTTTCATGGGACAGTTATCACAAAAACACCGACTTTCCACAATCTTAATTAACAAAATTAAAACTGAGTCCTGTCCTCTAGTGTCTGTGTAAAAATTCTATGTATTTACCTCCTTCTCGCAAGAAAGGCACTTCCACACGGAAGACTTCGGAGAAAAAGTTCACCGTCTCCGCGTCCAACTCCGTCTTCAGCCGGCACAAGTCGTTCTCCAGATGGTCGACTCTTTTCTTGACTGTTTGGATCTCGTCTGGCTCGGTCAGATCAAAATCTTCATCTTCCCCTTCAGCTAGCGGTACGTATGCACTCACGTTGAGCCGATTGACAGGATTACTGAGGGCTCGAGTGCGTCCTGCGATGTCGATTGGCCGACTCCGTATACCCGCCCCAGGGGAGTGGTCTGAGTCGCTATGCTGACTACTGCAGCCACTGTCGCAAGGTCGACGCCGAAAACGCGGGCTCAGCGGCTCTTCTAGAAAGGACTCCATACTAGAGCTCGATGTTCCGTCTTGTCCTCTCGGCCCGTCGCAATCTGTCGACATGAAGCTTTTGTTCGAATCGGAATGAAGTTCGGACAACGAGCCCTTTGAAGGTATGATCGGAACTGACTCAGTCTTTTGTGATGCTCGGGAAAGTTTCGGCGAAGGTGGAAACTGTAACAGGTACAACTCTCGTAAGGAATCGGTGCTCGTCAACGAAAACCGACTAGCGCCTCCCTGCCTGCCTCTCAAGTTATTCAATAAAAGTCCTCCTTTTTCCAAAACGCTCGAGCTCACGGAGTGAATGACCTCTTCCTCGTACTCCGCACAGCCGCTATCGCGTGACTTCGGGTCGTCGGCGTTGCAGGCGTGGGAGAGATCTTGCATTTGGTACAGCAACTGAAGTGACATAATCTCTGCGAGCAACACATTATACAGTGTTTCCGTTTGGTTTGTTCCCGGCGGCATGCGAGGAAAATCCGGCTCGTCGAACATGGCTATCGTCTGTGTATATCTCTCGTGACTGGGAGATTTCACCAAACGCTCCTCAAGCTCTCTGCTTCGCTGTTTCTCCTCCTGAAGAGACTTTTCCAGTCCCTCGCGTTCGAGCTCTTTTAACAGTTTGGTGCGTTTTTTCTCGTCCTCCAACGCTCTTTCGTATTCTTGTTTTGTTTGCTGTTCTATTGTCCAGGATCGTCTTCGCTCCTCATCCAGAGCTCTTTGCAGTCGTTGTTTTTCTCGCTCTTCGTTGTTTTTGATTTTCTGTCTCTCTATGAGCACAGCCGCCTCTAGTGAGGCATGGTGCATTCCTTCGAGGACGCGCCGCTGGCTTCTTTCATCGAAGAGCGTCTTAGCAAGGTTCTCCTTCTCTTTACGTAGATTTTCAATCTACAAAAAATAGCGAAATAATGTCAGATTAGAAGTTAAAAAGTTTCCTGCCTGGCAAAAGCTTTAATTCTGAGCACGACCCAACTGGTTCTTAAACCCGTCACTACCGCTTACATCTGTTCCTATTTCCATAACAAAAAAAAAAAGAAAACCACTGGCAGTTAAATCCATTATCCCATAAAAACCGGTCCATTCCAAAATTTATTAATGTTTGATCGGCTTCCCTGGTTATTGTTCGGCATCCTTTTCTCATGATCGTAATCGATAATGTAAGGAAAAAAGAAGATGCCTGTCACACTTGGCGGTCGTAAAGGATTAGGAGGGTAGGTCGCATCCTTTCAAATAACAAAGGAAGTACCTAACATAATTACAAGCTGATTTTTCTATTTTACAATTCAAGTCCTTTTGCTGTCACCCTGTGTCCATCTTTTTTTTTTTTAACTTTCATCCGGCATATGTAATTTTTTTCCCTTCGTGTAAATCTACCTTGCAAAAGACCTACCAAATAATCTTTAATAATAACTAGACTGTTTTACGTTGTGACATTTTTCGAAAATGGCCAATATCGAGAGAATCGCTTAACATTTTGAAGAGACGACGCCAACTGAATATAAGAAGTTTACAGTTAAGTGCCATGGATATATGTAAATTTGAGATCGAGATAAAATATTTTTAAAAATCTGCACACATATGTACAATGATGAAAATAAGTTGTTTTGAATCCTAAATTCAGTTTACCTTTATGCAAAACATGGAAATACTTAGACTCGCTGAAAAATGGCGTAAAAAACAGTTTAGAATATAGGGAAAAAACATGATTTTAATGCGATTTTCTCTCGCATTCAGTCTTAAATAAAACGTGATAAATTAAATTAGAAAAAAGCATAAACGGTACTCTCGCAATACGATATTGTCTCAGATCAGGTTTTCTGAAAAGATTTTACAGAATCTACTAAATTTTTTTGGTGTGTTCTGCAAACAAGAAAAAAACCGATTCGTGGTTTTTATGTGTCTTCGATAATTTTGCGGGATTAAGAAATCGCTACTAAATGTATTATTTTTATAACCCGTTTTGTTAAATTGTCTCGTAAACTGCAGGCTTGGTAGAAACTTAGTAGAGATCTGCACTGAAAGACTTAACGTTGCCTACAGTGTACAATAAAAGCAGAATATGTCCATAAAGTTTATTTTTTAATTTTCATTTCAATCTTTTGACCCTTTAACAATAAACTTTGTCCGTGTTATGATGTCAACAAATCTGCTGCCAATGCAGAAAGTTTTTCTTCACAGCACGTACCGACCGAATATTTCTAAGAACCATCGGGAAATTTTCAAGTCATTCAGAGGCCAAAAAAAGCTTATTTTCCGACACAATGATTCCTATCTACTCACAAATTCTAAATAAATACTAATTTCAGCTCAAAGCAAAAGTGAAAAAAAAAAAAAATCAATAAGGAATACAAGAAACAGCAGGGGATTCATTTGATACCGTGAAACAGAAAATTATTTTTCTCAAAGAAATCGCTCAGCTGAAATAGTGAAAATATCAAATTGCTTTCTGTTTTTTTCACCATGCCATGTAATTCAAGATGAGTTTAGTACCACTGAAAGGTGGCGGCATTGAAGCTGTCACAGCCGGCCGCAAAAAAGTTTGCTGAATGACAATCATTTTCTGCAGACCTGATAAACAAGTATAATTTCAAGCCATTCCGCGAACGACACAATTTGAAACCCTCACAGTTTACTTTGCGTGATATATTTCAGCGAGAATGGTATGTTTCAGCGAGAATAAAAATTACTCCCTCAACCGTCATTCCACGATCAATGCTTCGAATTCCGTAATCCTTTTTTGAAATACGTTTTCTTCAATTGAATTTTTTTTATTTTATCAATAATAGACAATTTTTGTTTCCTTGTAAAAAAAAAACTTTCCAGAATTGATGCTGAACGATTTCCCACTTAAGTAACTCACTTTTTCCTTTTAACTCTTAAACTGTCGAAAAACCTTACCTCGATCCTAAAGCGATCTCTCTCAGTATCCAAAAGAGTTTGTACCTCGGTCAATTTCAACTCTGCATCACTTTTGATAGCATTGCTTTGCTTCTCGAAGTTATCCTTTTGCACTTTAATCTCCAATTCTGCAACAAGAATTAAAAATGTTAACGATCACAAAGAGATACTGGACAAAATACTGACGCCACTGTAAGTCACAAATGAACAAATGTAGCTGGTTTCATTAAATATTCAAGGCGATCTCGCCATAGAATTTTTTATCCGTACCTCCATTTCGCGGAGATTTTCGGAACAATTTTTCAATCAAATTCATCTTCCTGTTTGTTGACTTGGTGCGATTAATTTTAGACCACGCAAAAGTTGTCTTTCTCGTCTGATCGAGCACCGATAAATCTCAAGATGGTTTTACTTTCGGTAAATTCACAGCTAGTCCACCGTAAATACTACAATATGTCAAATTGATTCCCGTACAAATACGATTCACGTCTCTCTGAACAGGTCACCACATAAATTGTACGGCTCGCAAATATTTTCAAACACCAGAGTTGGCGTGCTTCAGGTGTAGTGTAGAATATTTGACAGCGAAATTTTTCCAAACATGGCGAGGATCTACGACGATTTGCATCGTTTTGGCGACAACACTCCGTACTCTATTTTTATTGGTTCGTAGAAATTCATATCAATTTTCCTCACTTAACCGCAAAGACGAATATTGCTCAGAAATGACCTCATTGTTTATACCAAAAAGATAGCCACTTACGCGACCACCTGCTTCATGAAAACGTAAACAACATGGCCACCAATGGCGGCAAGGTGTTAAAAATACGCTCCAATCAAAATTTAAAGTCATACCACCCAGGTGACTTACATGCTGAGCGGAAGACAAAGACGGCTGCAAATAACTGGCGATGTAGGGAATGCAATGATACGTATTTCACTTTTTGCCGCCACTCTAAAAGCAAATTTGAATCCGAATTATATTTAGAGAAACCCCTGAACTGTGGTTTTAATTTGCTTGAATTGGAAAAGAATAGAATTTAGGTAATGTGCCCTTTTGTTTGCACACACGAAGCGAGCATTTTTAGACCTTCAATTACGGAAAAAACGAAAACAAACAGCTTCTGATCATCTAATATCGAACGCAAGGAAACCGATTTTGATATTTCCACACGAGCGATAAAAACCGATAAATGATAAATTGCAGCAAAAGCGCGCACTCTCGTAATGTTTTGATCTACATGGAGTGGTGACCAACAACAACACCGCAATCGCAGCGAATTTAAATATCGAAAAAAAAGCCAGAAAATTTTTCAGTTGAAGCTACATACATTCAGACTCATCAAGGTATAAAGCTGCACTGAACTTCCATTTTCAAACTCTTCAAAGGATTGTGCACGTTGATGACAACTTGGAAAGTAATTTCATTGATTCGAGCCCTCTGCTTGGCGCTGAGCGCAAAATCATGATAACAGGTACACCAAGCGAATCATGGAAAATTAAATCTCGGTGAACACTCCTGGCGATTTACGTTGATTACCGAGATCGGCTAGTAAAATCCCCTCGAGCGACGCTCACTTTATATCTAGATGTATGCGCCAATTGCGTGTTTTGTTGCATTATGTTATTGCATTTTAATTTGCCGTCGTCTCAACCTTGTGTCTGTGAAGTTTAACTGGCTTTGATAAATTTTGTTTTATATATCAACCCTACGCCATTTTCAAACCATCCCGAGAAAGAAGTGCTTTCCTTGATATGGAAAGATCTAATTTTACAGTAACAAAAGTTGTCGGGATATTTATTGAGTGTAAAGAAGGTTAGACGGTAAATTAAAACGAAGATAAGAAATAACTTCTCCAATATCTCTTTTGTTCCACCAAAGGCGGCCTAATATCTCAATGAGATGTTTATAAACCTGCTATTAGTAGATGAAGCGCCCTACCGTAAATTCATGAATGTTGACAATATATCACTTTAAGCGTATCAAGTCGCATCTTTCACAGCAAAAAAACGAATTTCGTAGAAATATTTGTTGAAATTGCATGCAGCATGCTTTCTCTGATTGAGAACTTAGCTGCCGCAAGTAACTATTTGACAATTATATTATCATATCAAAACCAGAAACACAATTTACAGACCTCTTAAAGTTATGAGCCACGCTGCCGAGCAATATAATCCATTACTAATTTTCGCGATGCGTTTACATTGTGCATCTTTCATTTGTGGGCGCATTGTGTTACACTGATGAGAATTTACCTACTTCTGGTGAAAAAAGAATACTGTGTTTTAGTTCATTTGGTAAAAACGAGCACAAGGAAATTACACAGACGTTCCTAAAAGTGAAAAAGATTTTGGTGATATTCGTCAATGCTCGTAATCGAGAGTTCACGATTTGCTTCGGTGAGGCCGACATTTCAAAACTTCCACGTAGATAGCCACTTTCAAATTTACATACAGGGTTCGGTATCGTCTACACAAATTTTTCACTGACGGGGTTTTAAATTCTACTATTTCATAGCAGTAACCGGCAAATCTTCAGTCATGGAAAAACAACCTTGGTTGGTAACAAATACACTAACGAATGCGAGACAGAGGATAGCGCAAAAGACGATTTCAGACACGGTAGCAAATAATATATATCTTACCTTGACACTCGATTCTCTTTCTCAAATCTTCCGAAAGCTTTCTGTAATCAATCTATCAAAGAAACATAAAATTTATGGCTTTGTCATATCCTGTTCGACAATTTCACAAAGCATTCTTAATATAAAATTCGTCGTAGGAGAGCTAGTGACGAAGATGTCCTCGCATGAGCGTAAAACCGCAAAGACGTTAGTTATAGAACAACAGAATTTGACAGACTGTTTGCGGTATACCTAAAATTAATGACTACTTACTTCCGATCGAGTCTGTATTTAAATTGAAATTAAAGCAAGAACTGAAGGGCAAGTTTTTGGCGTAAATTATACTTGCAAATCAAAAAGTTACGAACCGCGTTTCCTTGCGAAAAAATAGAACTAGCACATAGACTGCGAGGTTGAGTTTGGTTGAAATTCCGAAGAGAGTATTTCGCTAAAACACGAAGCTAAGCAAAATTCTTACATCACATTTTGAACAAGTCAAATAACCCTTCTTTAACAAATTCGTCACGAAAGACACAAGACATCAATTAATGATTTACTTTTTCGCATTTTTGTATTTAAAAATACGAAAAAACAGACCGTTTACAGATGGCCACCACAATTTGTAAATAAACGTCGCCTCGTGCAAATGGCGTGCGAGCATGAAAGGGGAATCGATCCCAAACTCACGGTTGCAGCAAAATGGCATGCTTGGCAACGTTTTTAGATAAAAAAGAATTCGCTGTAAGGAAGGAATATCTCATGCTGTGATTCTATTGTGCCGAGAGTTCTGGTGCCTTATTTGCAAAATAGAAGCACATGGTGAACTATTGAAAAAAAAAATGAGTTACACTATTTTGCATCCTTAAGGAGACAAAAAGACAAAAATACCCTCTTAAGGACGAAGGAAATTTTTGATTTGCTGTATTTATTTTTCCTTCATTATTGTCCAGTTTTCGCTTATGACGTCTTGCCTTTCTTTATATTTCTTCAGGCAACAGACATAATGTGGTTCCTCTCACCTCAATGTTTACATATGCTGTGGTGGTAATCTTGAGCGCCCGCTGACCAAAGTCAAGTGTGCATCGAGTCTCGTTGACGTCTCTTAGAGACGGCGAGATACACATCTGTAACAAAGAAAAGACAACTTTTTACATGTCTGTAACAAGCGGAACAAATACTTAGTTGATTATTGACTAGAAATCGAGGAAAGTAGATGGTTTGTGGATCATCGTGAACAATTCCGGAAAGCAAACGCTTCGAGTGTCCGGTCGCCTGAACAGAAATCTGAAAAGCTTAAAACAAAGGCCTCAAGAATGCGCTTACTATAGATCGCAAAATCTCAGATTTTTAAAATTTACGACGTTTCATCTACTACTATCCAGTGTCTAGTCAATAATCAACCAGGTTTCATTTTTAGTTTTACTTACCCGCCAACCAAAGGTTCGCCAAAGAGACTTACAACTTAGCCAAAAATACAAACCAGCTTTGAACCTTGGCGTTCCAAATTAACCTCTTCCAAACTCCCGCGAGACTTTTAAGTCAGCTTAAGCTCCACCCCAAGAACAAAAAGATCTTCTCTTGACTAATGAATCATTGTTTTGCACTGGATATCTCGAAAATTTAAATTTTAATTGACTTTAGATAAGCGGCTTGAAAACATTTAACCCTTTAACTCCCATGAGTGACCAAGAGATAATTTCTCCTTACAATATCAATACAATATCAACTACATATGTAATGAGAATGAAGAAAATATTAATTTAGGGATAATTAGTTGATCCAATACAAAATTCTCTGAACAAACATTATAGGAATTGTATGGTTGTCAGTAAGGAGAATTACAAAATTGGATCTGGGATTTAAAGGATTAAACTAAGACAGCTTCACTACTCTAGGCTAAAAAGAAAACAGCTGCTGCTAAGGAAAATAAGTTTCTTCTCAAGGGTGGGAATTATGACAGAACTCGAGTCTTTGATCATGCCCATACTCTTCTCGAGCTGATTGGATTGACAAACAGTCAGTCATGCTTGACGGGCATATAGCGAGCTCTGTTTGCAATCCTCAATCAAATAATGTCTGTTGTAAGTAAAATTCTCTATTATCAATTTCACTGTAGGTGTGCGCCCAAAAATGCACCAACAAAATCAGGAATTTCGGTGAGATTGTCGCCGCCCAGCTAACTAGAAATTAGTATGACGCACTTTAAGCAAATGTAAAGGGCAAAAGGCTTTCTGAACAATGGGCTGTTATGTACAGAAAGCAAAGGGTTTAATTAAATTTAGGAACAAAATAATGAACAGACGTTTTCTCTCAATCTTTCCACATATCTTACGATATTAATTTTTTCATAGTCGGTATGATTTCTGGGATTTTTATTTAAGAACCTTACCACAAAACTTGTTTTACAATTCCCACCAAGGCTGTCTTGTAACAGTCGAGTCAGCGAGGAGTTTCTATAGGGTATATGTGTTCTTTTCCCTTCTGACAGGGCGTGAATTGTGTTGCTAGAGAAAATAAAGACCAGGAAATGAAAACTGGGATAAGCTTCGAGCAAGATGGGTCACTTGGCGAGCACAAGCTAAAGCAACTCACCCTAATTCTAAAAGGGACAAGTTCACGTGCTGTAGCTCAGCGAGTCTCTCTCCTTCCACACCGGCTTTTTTAACTCTTTCACTTCCTGCGAGGTCGCATCTAAAAGACATCAAAGCAATTTTAACCGCGTCAAGTAGTGTATATAAAACAACTTCGCTGATTCCTTTTAGCTGAAACAAGCAGTACGTTGTTGTTTTCCGCCATTGCATTTGGTCCGGCAAAACGGTTTTTTATTCCATTCAAACTTTTTTTGAGATCCAGGTTCAACTTTGCTGAAGAGGAACTTTCTTGTATAACGGGGATAATTTTCTAGAAAAATTGTGGTGCTGCGTTGGTGGGGGGTGTTTCAAGACAATTTGATTTTATAAACTGAGTTGATAACATAACTTGGCCACCGTAAAGAGTTTCTTATGCTGATGTTTTGAACGTTACAGCCCTTCACCTATTCGCTCTGACGAGGGGCTTATTCTAGAAACGTCACCTTACAAGAAACTCTTAAATTACGATGCCCAATTCACCATATCAACTCAGCAGCTAGAACCAAATTATCTTGTGCAACATCAGCTTGGTATATCATATCATATCGTATCATATCATATAAAGCTCAAGTAAAGCTGTTGCTCGCTGTTGCTGTTGGTGAGCCTTTTCTCAGCAAGAATGTTCCTACAGCAAAGTCACGAATCTCTCAAAGGTTATATTTTCCAACTGTAAAAAACAAACAGTTGTGCGGTCCTCAAATGCTGGTAGCATGTTCTTACATGTTAATTCTTCCTGCGATCAGCACATCATCGCGTATCCTGATTCCTTCCAAAAATGATTCATCGTCGTCGTCATCTTCCTGAATTCAAATAACAGTCATGGTTTTTTGAAAGGCTTTCACTTTGTCATGTTCTTGATCAAGACACTTTCACAGACTCTCGCATGACTTTCTCTACGCATGAGCATACATGGTTACGAGAGAAATTTCCGTGATACTTGACAAATTGATAAGGGGGAGGGAGGAAGGCTATCTTGTTGGACTTTCATCTAATACGACTACGAATACTCCTCGTTACTTCATGTATTAGGAACAAGATTTGCTCCAGTGGGGATGTGTTACTTGGCTTGGCTTGTGAGAATGACTGAACAGCTGATAATACTCACCTCTCCTAAGCTATATTCTGGAATATCAGGACTGCTAGGAGTGCTCTGAAAGAAGAAACATCGATTAGTCTTTATCGACTAAAGAAGGAGGAAACAAGGAGCAAATACGTGAGTCAGGCTTAGAAACCATTCATTATCTATCACGGGGTCAGACTTTTTTTTAGGGATCACATGGTTTTCAGGGGGAACGGAGGTTGGATCAGTCGTCGCTGGTAGAGTATGAAGGGGCAACTGTAGGAAATTGACTACCAATGAGGGGGTAACACTAGAACACCTCAGAGTCTTACGGGCTGAGATCAGGTAACCCCCTTCCGGTGATGTAATAATAATGACCGGTTCCATGGGAGTTTGGCTGAGGGGTCTAGATTGTGGAACCCCTTCGTGGTATCGTTCGTACAAAAAAAAACAGTTTGCAAAACGATATATATCTGAAGAGACTATGAAAGGCACACAAACTAATAAATAAGCAAGCAGTAAAACTAATCAAAAGGAAAAGCGTCATTTCTCTCGTGTTCCAAGAAAATCGTGTTGAATAGAAATCAGCCTTACCGGCCAACCTTCACTTTCAGTACTGCTTTCCAGTTCAGATTCCATAGAACGTTGCAGATCACTCCCTTGTGAAGCACTCGACGAGAATGGCAAAGACCCCCCTAAGCCCGTCAAACTGCTAGTCATGTCCCCTATAGACCAGCGGTTCGGCAGATCAGGCGTGACCGTCATTTCTGGAAGTGACGACAAATGAAAGCTGTGTCTGTAATCGTTATTGCGCGACAGACTACGTTTGGAGGCTGGAGTAGAGGTTCTGTGCGGGATGAAGCTCTGTTGCTTTGCAGACGTTTTCTTTAAAGGTGCGCTGAAGTCACGAGGTTTGGTTTCTTCGCGAAGTCGGTCTAAGCTGCCGGTGGATCGTACACCCTTCCGTGACGGGGGTCTCATGGCGGAGGAAGGAGACAGGAGGCTACTCTCGCTGGAAAAACCTGGTACCAAGAACACATAAATGTCAGCTAGGGGTTGCTCCATTATTTTTCTTGAAGTGTAAGTTCGAATTCTGTGTGGAGAATCATGGAGGGATACTAGCAATACTCACCAAAAATACCTAAGCCTAAGTGTTACCAACTTGGGCAAGTCCCGATTGGTTTATTACTTTCAGGATGGAAGTTTCCCGTGGCTTAAAGTTTTTTTCTGTGCAATGAACTTACTCATCACGAACAAGAGTGTTCGCACAACTGAACATATATCTAGGAGGGCAGCAGATTTTTCGTCAACGTTCGAAGGATTTTCTAGGTGAAGGTTCATGTTTTATGGTGAAGCGGGTTTGGAGACAAAATCGAGCCTATTTCCCGCTAACTTACCTTCTGCTCCTGCTTTTTTGCCGTCTTTAGCGCGCGTTCTTTCCACAGTTATCTGACAAACTGAGTGAGATCTACAGTGAAACGAAAACAAAACAAGATCTTGTAAAGTTAACCTTGTAAGGAAGAGTTAGAACTGCAATTCACCATGAACAATCACGTGCACGTGCATTAGTGGTGCACTCAGCGTCTTCAATTCCATCAAGCCACCAATTTTACGTGACTCCTAACGTAGCATAATGTACCCTCAATTTGAAAGCTGCACAATTTTGCGCGACGCATAATATACGCCTTTTTCCCCCTTTTTGGCGGCTTGAAGGCCGGGGGTAATTCTAAGTAGCATGTATGTTTACGCAGTGAGTAATTTTAGTTGCAAACAAGTTTGCGCAGCGGGTACATTTCCGCAGCATATTCAGTGTGAGTACTGTAAGTTTTCGCAGCAGGAAATTGCCCGTGCTCCCGTAAGGCGTAATTTTTCGTTGCGTAGCGCACTTATGATTTCAGCGACACGGATTAGTCTGGGACTGAATTATTGGCAAAACTAACCTACTTGAGACGCGGTTCATTCGCGTTTCAGCAAAGATGAGCTTCTTTCTCCCCTGCTTCAGCAAGGAGAGAACTTCAGCAGTATCCCTAACGACATACTCCGACAGATTATCTACATACACACCTGAAAAACATGGGATTGATTTTAAACAAAACACTGGCTTTACAAATGATTATATGACTAAAAGCCTAAAGCGGCCAGGCATTCACAACAGCCAGGCCACTTTGAACAAAACATGGTTAAACATGCTGTCAGCTTTGCTTCTGTTTGACCGCTTTGGTTTGCACTATTCAGGGAGACTGGAACGTAAAGTGGCACTCACTCTTTCCCGATCGCTTCTGGCTGCCTCCTGAGCACCGAAGGTTCGGCCTGAACCGTGTAGAGGAGTTCAAAAAGACTCAGCTGAGGTATTGAGCTGATCAGAGATAACCTTATCTATGGGAACTCATTTCTGAGGCCAATTTCGTCGAGGTCTACCAACGTCCTCAGCGGAGTGAAAAGAAGGTACGCGTTTTACATGTAACTTGCTCCTGTTTAAAATAAATCTTTACCTCTTGTCGGATCTTCTCTGAGCACTAGCTCAAGTTTGGAATTAGCGTTCAACAGATCGTAAATCTTCTCTTGGTAGATCTGAAGGTAAGACATGTAGACCTACAAAGGAACAGTTCAAAATCGCAACAATAACTGTCAAACAAGCTTAAGGTTAAAACCCACACTACGTAAGAGAAGCTAAAAGCACTGTTTTCCCCCTCCCCTCCCAAGTTATGTCACCCACTGGTGTTTGCATACAAAGTGCAAAAGTTTTCCCGAACCACTTGTAGACGGAGACTTCAAGAGGGGAATAAGATACCTTACTGAAGTCTGAAAATAACTGAAGGGCAATTTAAAGCGGCATAAAGAGGCCGAGCCGCATGAATAACTGCCTAAATTATTGACGTTTGCTGTGTGCAATGTAAGATTAAATTTCTCCATTTCCAAACATCATCTCTCACTCCTACATCTTAAGTAAAGTGAGCTAAGTCATTTCAAGCATAAAGCAATTTCTTGGGATGCCACATAAAAGACTCGGAATATTCTGACCTAAGCCCTTTCATTTACTCCCACTAAAGTCTGTACTCGAAGCCAAGTTGACCATGCATGCAGCAGGAGCTTATCCAGGTTTCCACAGCATGAAGTGACTCAGAGTATGCTACTCCCCCCTGGATGGGATGCAAGTCCATTCCAAGGTTAAGATCCAGCATTTCATCAGGCTTCCCTAATAATTTTCCAGAACCCATTTAATCTCCAGGGTAGAGTGAGGCATTGTTGAGTGTTTTTCCCAAGAACACAACAGTCTAGGGCAACAAAAAATTAGGCCACCATATCTCCCACCTTTCCTCTAACTAAGAGTACTGAAATTGTTACTTATCTGCATTACAAATTTATCAGCTATCACTTACCTTGTAGTCATGATGCTTGTCTGAATGGATCCTCTTAAATAACTTTTCTGCCACAAGTGCACAGATGCCATCTTTTGACATCAGGGTGTGGGTCTTCCCTACAATTAAAGTAAGCTCTTAGATATTGATTTTAAAAGATAGCTCCATGAGCTCATAAAGTTGGCAGGACATTCCAGAATTAGGTCCCATGTAATTACTGGAAAATGTTCCACTGACCTGTTCCAGTCTGGCCATATGCCATGAGAGTTCCATTGAAGCCTGAAAACACCGCATCAAGCAGTGGTCTGCCGACTGTGTTGTAGACCTGCAAATGCCCATAGAAGTTGCAATTATTAATTGAAGAATATTCACTGTACATGTAAGGCTGAGGTCAAAAATGAAAGGTTTGAATATGCGACTCTGTATAAGACCTTGACTTCAAATCTACTTATTGTGTGCTAGCAGGCACTCCAGTTGATGATGGGGCCTAGAGGAAAGGGGGACGAAGAAAAGGGATACAGAATAAGGGGTGAGTAGGAAGGTAGGAATGATAAGCTGCTTCCATTCCCACCAGTCTCCCCTCTCCCCTCCTGCCACTTTGCTCTTGCACCAGTCCCTTCCTAACCCTACCAAAGGGTGCCTGATCACAGGGTAGTCGGGGGGGAGCGTGCTGCCCCATCTAAGGTGTTTCACAAAGGCATTTGAATGTAGGTTATATGATTCATGGTATAAAATAACAATTTAATATTCCCAGCACACCTCTCTGTTGGTTGTCTGGCCGGGAAAGATGCGATCAAATCTGTATCTTCTCTCTCTTGCATCATTCAGTGAAACCTGCAAAGAATAATTCCTCCACTCAAGATGATATAGGAAATGTTTTCTATCACAGACTAAAACTACAAAATAATTGATAGTCATTAATTTGAAAAAACTTAAGGCAGATCAGATTTGATTAATCATTAGCAACACAATTTGACTTAGACCATGACAACTTCAGTGACTTGATTGCTGAAAATAACAATTTTTTCACTGGAGAATGTTGTTGCATGGCCATGTAGCTCAAAGGTTGAATCATTACATATGTGCATATTACCCTCAAATCACATAATGGCTCCAGCATCATTCATTTCCAATTTGAAAATGGTCATGCAAGACTAATACATTTATTATAGCTGGTTACACGTGTGCCCACATCTTATGGCTTCTGTTCCTCACACTAAATATTCAGCTTTCACATTCAAATTTAAGCTTTGTGACTTTGTAACATACAAAACAAACAAAAAAACTAATGCCAGCTGTCTGCCTATGAAGAAGATTCTAGTGAGTTTTTTGTTTCAAGGGCTCTCTTTCAAAAAGTCATGCAATATAATTATAGTGAGGCAACACAATGACTTGATCCACATGGCTTCTCACATTTATGGGGGGGTAAAATTAAACAGCATTCAGCTTAATCATATATGACAAACACCTAAGTTTTTTCAATAGTTTGTTATTGACCCACTGTTTTGTGGTCTGGCTCTCATCACAGGTAAACATTCAAATGTTTGTAATAAACTCCAAACAGAGCATGGATGTTTTGAATTAAATTCAGCCATTATACATCAAAAACCTTCTATTTGCAAAATGTGTTTGGGATCAGCTGTTGAGAATCACAAATTTTCTTATTTGAACAGAGAAATAAATAACAATAACTCCTTAAAAAGGAAGCTAATGATAGTAATTTTTGATTGATTTGTCTCTTAATATAATTTTATAAATTTTAATTAGAAATCTAAATTTTTTTTGTGAATATGTTGGTCAGTTTCTTATAAATACCCACACATATCTACAGATAAATGACTACTTTTATTTTTTGATTATCCCAGCCAAGAAAACAAAGAATATCTAAAAGTTATATTAAAAGTTTGTCAATTGCATTCTGTGGTTCAAGATATACAAAAAGCACTTCATATTTTTAATTCTTTGGGTTTCTAAAGAGATATTTTTTACTCATCACAAAACATGAATGAGGATTTTAATAAATATGCATTCATGCTGAAACTCCACATATCTTGTAAAGCCTATCTTCCATTATAAGGGAGTTCTTAAGTTTATTGCTCTTAATACAATGATAAATAAAAATAACATAGGATATAATAAGAAAGCTCGGACTTCATAAAAACGGTATGCTTTGATGGCCCTTTTGGATATGCTGTTGTTAAGTAATATTTGAGATTTAATTGTTATCTCCAAGATAAGATCTTTTAATGGAATTTTGAATGACTTTATGTAGTAATTATTCACATACACTCAAATATAATAAGGTTTTGATTAAACTCAAAAATAGTTGAGAGATACAAACAAGTTAAATCGCCTAAGTAATATCACTATCACTATATCGTATCGAGTACTTTTCTCGAGTTTTCTTAATAGGTTCTTGTAACCGATATTGTAACACAACCTCACACGGAAAAACAGAATTGCTCTTCTTGTTTAAGCAAGAGTAAAAAGGAATTGAATCAAAACAAAGAACTACGTTCAGGTCATTATCATTTCGAAAATGAATTTTCCAGAACAAATATTCAGGCCTCTCGGAAGTGCACTGATAAATATCGTACATCAAATATCAAATGTTACAGACGTCATTAAAATCTGCAAGGAAATGCAATATTGAATTTGAACGGAGAAGAAAGTAATTTGACAAGCGTAGAGAGCAAATGAGTCATGACCACAAAATTCATTTACACTCTAGGAAAATTTAATAGTACTTTATACTCACCTCAAAGTTATCGGATTCAACACCTGGATCTTCTCGTAGCCTCGCTTCCTCAGCTGTTCTGGGTCGTACTCGAACGTAGACACGAATCCTATCAGATTCTATAGTAAAAAGCGAACATAACAGTTTTAAAAGTGGTCACACAAAGAAAATGTCGACTGATGCGGGCGCGTCAACGTCCGGGTGGTCGACAGTAGCGAGGTCTTATTTTCGAATTATTTACTGTGCGGAAATGTCCATCGGTTAAAAGCCGCCGTAATACGACAGGAAACATTTCTTTAACGTGACAATCCAAACTCCAAAGTTAAGCCCAGAAAGAATGCACTAAATTGCCAAACAAATGAACATTATATATCACACAATAGCACTGTATAGCGTTTCAACAAGTTTCTCTCAAACTCACCGCCTTCTCTTGTTCTCAAAGACTTCTTATCTTTCATCTTCGCTTGGATAAATAGAAACTGCACCAACCATTGCCACAGCAGAAGTCCATAGGGATTAGATTATAATTAGAACCACTCCAACAAAAAGATCTCTTGTCCATCAATTTTCGCGTCGAAAGTGTTCCGCGCGGCATGTAATCTTTGCTAATTTTAGCCACTTACACAAAAGATCGCTAAATTACCACACGTGACAGAATTAAATCACAATTGAACCAGAGGACCTTCAAATTTATTCCAATATTTTACTTCATCTAGAGACAAATGTCAAGATCCCCTTAAGATTTGGCCCTGAGCTTAAGCACAGTCTCTCCAATAAGTCACATATTTGCAATGTTAATGTAATAAACTCTACAAAAGAAACACAAGACCAAACTAAACAAAAATAAAGAGGTAAGCAAACAAACCGCCTTTTGTAACAAAGCTTCAAAGGTAGTAGTGCAATTCGTCTATAATACAAGCCCTTGTTTTTATTAAAATCTGCCAAGCTATACAAGCTATATCGAATGCTCTCGGTCTGAGAAGACAAAAAAAAAAAAAAAAAAAAAAAAAAAAAAACGAAATGAATGGTGCCATAAAGGCGAAGCTGACAAGTATTTTGGCATAGAGAATAAAAGCTCTTAATTGTGAGAGAAATCTGGAGTTTCCAGAAAACTCCCGCGCACGTGCATTAAAATATGAAAATAGAAAACTGAAAATGAGAACTGATGTCTAAACATGTGAACAAGTTGAACAGCGAGTATTATTACAATTCATTTCCCCCCTAGATCTAAACAATGTCGACTCAACAAAATGATAATGTTTCAGACATTTTGAAACCAACGAAAGAAATAGAAATTCAAGGCCTATAAGGTGATTTAGAAATGTAAATTGGCTTCGCCCCGCTAGGTAATCTTCGTTGCGTGACTGAATAAGGAAAAACGATCAACTCGCGTGACATAACAGTCCAGGCTTTTCAAAGGTGCGTGATGTCACGACAATTTGTCTGACTGCCACGGCTACTTACACGCGAGTCATAAATGAGCACAGTTGTACACAATTAGCGACCCACAGAAACTATATGATTATGAAGATCAAAGCTTGAGGTTATTTCTCGCACCATCATATTTGAAACCCGTCCAAAACTCGGAGAAATCGACCTCATAATTATTGTATGAAGAAACTTAGTAATCGAAAGTCGATGGTATCATGACAGATTGATGAAATGCTGGTTGTTCTTCTCAGACGGATGATCACAAAATATATGCCTTTCAAGGGGAGACCAATGGCTTAGGATTTCATAACCCAGAAAATCGTAGCAGATTGTTAACCACAACCATTAGGGTCTTTTTTGTTTTTGTTTTTTTATTTCATTATTTTCAGTCTCGATTAAGGCAATCCTCCCGTAAATATAAACAATTGTAAAACACATTGGTTCTTGAGACCTGTAAACGCATCCTTAATTTGTTTAACCCTTAAACTCCCGTGAGTGACCAAAACAGAATTTCTCCTTACAATATCAATACAATATCAAGCAGGCAAGCGATGAGAATAGAGAAAAATATCAGTCAGGGAATTAAAAGTTGATCCAATACTAAATTCTCCAAACTAACATCACAAGAACTGTCTGGCAGACAGTAAGGAGAATTACTAACGAGATCTTGAGAGTTAAAGAGTTAATCATAATGTTTTGACTCTTCAACCAGAAGAGACACACCTCAGCACAACCACCTGAGCTAGGAGACTGGTAAAGTTAATGAAGTGAATAATTTATGGCACATCAAAACAACTAACAACCGCTAGATCGGGACAGTTTCGACTCAACAAGGTAGCGATTTTTCATCTATTTTAGAAGCTACCCATCAAGAAGAAATTCAGGGCCTATGAAAAAATCGAGAAGTGTAAGTTTGCTTCGCCACACGGAGAAATCTTCGTTGTGTGACTGACCTGGGAAACTACGCATGTAGACAAAATCATCTGGCGTAACGCGACAATTGTTTGATGCTGCGACTGCTTTTATGCGGGTCATTTATGAACGCAGTAAGGTACCTACGCAAACTATGTGATTCGAGTGACTAAAGCTTAAACTAGAGGTTTCTCTTTGCACGGCTGTGTTTGGAATCTGGCCCAAACTCAAAGGGCCACGAATGATATACAGAAACCATTAATCACCGGATAGACTGATGTGGTCGTAGCTGAACCTTTTTTTCGTTGTTGTTTAGAGACTGTAATAAAAAGCCAGTTGTTGTTAAGCCCCATAACCCCCATAAAATCAATAAAACGACTCAACTTGTGTTTTATGGCGATGAGGGGCCGGCCTGACTCACCAACGACTGCATGTGGCGAGGTGGAATAGCGAAACGTGCACTCCGTACGATCAACTCCTTAATACATTTTGTAACACGGCAAAAAGGATAGGATGACGATGATAGAAAATGCTTTGTTTGGGGACAACTGTGCAAATTGGTGGAAAATACCTTAATCACGGAGCTTAGCGGTTTCTTACAACTTCTAATACACTTAGCGATTCAAGTAATCCTCCCAGAGCGTTTGGCCTAAATAAGAACAAATTGTGAAACACACTGGTTCTTGAGATCTTTAAACCCCCCACCTTAATCTGGATAATTGAATCTAAATGATTTGAATAATCAGCAACTTGCTGACTTGCTTGCTTGAAGAACTTGCTCTTGAAGAAAAGACACATGTTATCGGACAGTTTACTAAGCCAATCATTTTCAAATTTTCAAAGTTGTAGTTTAAATCAACCAATCACATTCAAACAACTTACGCCTTCTTTGACAGTCTTACAATGCAAACTTTTCTTTCCTTTCATAACTTGACTATTCCTATTTTCTCGGAAATTGTAATTTTTACGATTAAATGGTAATAAGACTTCGTGTAATAAGACTTCGTGTCGTCCAATTTGGTTAGTAAACATACTAAACAACTCGGACTCCTGCTACGTCGTCCGATTTGTTATCACTCGTATGATTACAGACTGAATTGGAGTCCACTCAGTCCTATTACCATTGCCAAGTGTGTTGTGGCTGAAAATATAAAAGAGAACAAAAGAGATCAAATACCTTTGAATGGTAAATTGACGCATGTAAACAAGCATGAATTGGCAGGTGACTCAAAAACGAATTAACTTCTCCCATCTGAGGACTTAGTTGTCAATATGTCGTTTAGCCGTCATGATTGTGCTCGTGAAATGCTGGAAGTTTTTCATTGCAATTAGAAAGCTATAAAGTTGCTTAGAATTACCAGAAATTCATAAAGTTGCTACTTGAATTTCTTGAAATTTTTATCCAAGAGTTCATTAAATTAATTTCGTTCTTCGCAATGATTGTTAACATCAGTGAAGAAAAACAACTCGAAACATAACTTTAAAGAGTTTGTCGCAGATAAAGACGGCTTCTCACCATCCATTTCCGTGTGTGGAAAGTAAAGCCACTTTTATCCATCATTTTGGCCGATTATCCGTTCTTATATCGCATAATAGGCTTGCGAAACGTTGTCAATTTACAGGTTATATGTTCTAAAGGTTATTGACATTCAAGAAATTCGCATAAATTGAAGCTTTTTTTTTTTTTTTTATAAAATCGTTGACTTATCGTGCTTGATACGTTCTCTAAACCTAGTAAATTTTGCTCAAAATTTGCTCAGAAAGGCAAAATTGCTCGAGGTTGTTAGAACCACAAAAAGTTGCTTCTAACGCCAGAGGTTGCTCAACAGTTGCCGATCGAGTACAATTAGGGCCATATGTTAACTTAGTCTCCATAGTTCCATGGGAGGAGAGGAGGGGTGAGAAGGTTAAATGACTCCTAATTCATAAATTTTCCAAAAGTGTAGCTAGGGAAAGAATCAACAAACATTGAAAGTTAATGAATAAAGGGGGTAAGTTTCTAAAGGAACTGTGGTGCTGCGTCGGTGGAAGAGGTAATTTAGTGTTAAAAACTGAATTGAAAACGTTAAATTAATTACCGTAAAAAGTTAAAAGGCTGACGTTTCGAGCGTTAGCCCTACGTCAATCGTTGTGACGAAGGGCTAGTTCAGTTGTTAACACCGAATTACATTGAAAGTAAATGCTTTGGTTCACGAGAACCAATAGAAATACTGAAAATTAAGCCCATAACTTTTTTTCAGTCCGTCAACGACTGAGTGGCTGTGGCAGTTAATTTGGTTCGTGCGAAAACGAAGGCAAATAATTCAATTTATCAAGTTTCGTGAACGTGCGTTTAAGTTACGATTTAATGAAATGTGATAAAATTAATAATTTTTTTTTTTGTATTCTAGATCTTTTAAGCTTTACGGTGATGTATAGTTTTCAAGAGTTTTGCCAAAAACAGCGCGCCTGCAAAGACAAAACAAGTGTAACCAACGAAAAACGGTATAAGAGAGGGATGAGGCAATAATTTATTAACAGGCGTGAATCAGCAGGTGACTACAAAACAAAATTAACATTTCCGTAGGGGGGCTCAGAATTCAATTGTCTTGTCTCACCTGTTAACTTAGTTCCATCTCACTTCTCCGTTCATCTTCTTTTGAAGTGAACATGCATTTATTGGTACTTAGTCTTGTGTGCACAGTTGTTTATGGCGTAAGCCGTATTTCAATGCCAAATCTTAAAGCTGTTAGCTTCGCTAAAACGATATCAGGACGAAACCTGAACGGAAGTCTGATCAGGGAAGTAGAAGTGGATTCGGAGAAGACCTGTCAGTTTGAGTGTGTGGGTGAAGAGCGATGTCTATCCTACAACTTTGGAACTACAAAAAGCAACTCTAAGATGTTCAAATGTCAGTTGAGCGATTCTGATCGATTTGTTGGCGTTGCCAACTTCACTGAGGATAAAGATTATAGTTACGGCGGTGTACAGGTGGACTGATCTAATCATTTTCGTAAATTCCTCAGTTTAGGTTATATTTAAGCATTTTGCAAACCAGCTAGACGTGTCAACATCTGTGTGTTTGTGGAGAAATCTGCCGATGGCACGATAGCTGACAGTTAGGAATCTCACATAAGCATTTTAGTGGGAATTGAAACTCCTAATGGAGGGCCGAAGTGACACAGCTTGATCTTGAAAAACTAATGTAAAACTTATAATCATGTGAGATTGGTAATTGAAGAACAGTGAAAAGTCAGCTCAAAAATTGCCCATAGACCGAGATGCTTCATTAACAGAATCGAAATTACTTGGCAAATATGAAAAATATCGAGTTAACCCAAAACTTGTGCAAAACACAAACACAGCCTCAGTTGCTGGTGACGCTTCATTAAAAATTAATGTTTACAAAGGTAAAACAGTTCACCGAACTTCTAAGTTCAAACGTAGAGTCTTTCCCCAATCTCTTCGCGTTCAAAGTTGTCACTCCATCTCACTCTTCACTAGCTCTCTTAATGGCCCGGGCGTTTGCCATGTCGTTTTGCACGGTTGCAATTTAAGTAACAGTTTTTGCTTTATTACTAAGAGACTTGATTAACAGAGGGGAAATTTGTAGGTGCTCCCTCACTTTTTTATCGGTGAAACGTTGTTCATCCAGTCGGAAGGTAACGATGATTCGGCGTCTCCGAAAAACTAAATTCTCGGTCATCTAAGCGTGCTTTAATTGGCCCGAAGCAATGATTGGCACAACTGAATTTCGTTAAAGTCCTTTTTATTTCCTATGATCTCATTTGGTAATTTGCGTGGGTGATCCAGGTCATAGTAATGGCAGTATTATGGCCAGAATTGCAACAACTTGCAGATTTCAGTAAATTGAATCAATGAAAAGTTGGATCAATGTCAGTATCTGAGAAAATGACGCACCTACTCCTCCCCTAAACTAACAACAGTCAACTGATAACAATTCAGGGTTAATGTTGAGTTAAGGGGTGGGTAGCAGGTGCTCGTTTGCTTTGATAATGACATTGACCCAAAAGATTTTCCACAGAGTTCTTGTGAGGAGGACAGTTTCCAATGTGGTCTCAAAGGAGTCTGCATTCCCAACTATCAAGATGGCAGCGTACAGTGCAAGTGTGACCGTAACTACACAGGAAAACCCTGTAGTAAGTTTGAAAATTCATATAATTATTTAAAATGGTGTGAGAAAGAGGTCGAATGGAGCTAATTTTGCTACTGAGAATAAGTTCCAATCATTTCTCTCTCTTGTTTTCTATAGACCCAAAAAGCTGCAGCCAGCTTTTCCGAGATGGTTTTCGATCCAGTGGCGTGTACATCATCAATCCAGATGGCGGCAAACCATTCCAAGTGTTGTGCGACATGACCACGGACGGTGGAGGCTGGACTGTTTTTCAGAGACGTTTGGACGGCTCTGTTGATTTTTATCTTGAATGGAAATCCTACCAAAACGGCTTTGGAAATCTGAACGGCGAGTTCTGGCTTGGAAACGACAATCTTCACCGTTTAACAGCCGTCGGTAACGCCATGTTGAGAGTTGACTTGGAAGATTTTGAAGGAAACATCACATTTGCAGAGTACACCACTTTTAAGGTGGCAGACGAAGCAGACAAGTACAGGCTTTTGATTGGAGGATACAGTGGCACAGTGGGAGACTCCCTGCGGTGGCACAAGTAAGAATGATCGTCTTCATCTTCCCCTTCTGTTCGTTTGGGTGTCTATTGGGTGCTCTGTCTGTCTGTCTGTCTGTCTGTTAGTATCTCCCTCTAGATATATCTTTGTCGGTTTGTCCTTTTTGCAGTACATTTTTCTTGCCTGTCTACTTGTCTATCTGAATTTTTTTTTGTATGGTTTCTACAATCCCACTAAGGGACCCGTCACTCTTTATCCCCTGGAAGGGGGAGGGAGGGTAGTTGTATCACGATAAAATTTACCTAATTTCCACGATAAGGCTCCGCAATGTTCATATGAGCCCCCCCTTCCCCTCATTGGCAGTTATTTGGAAGTCAATCTTCTATAAGGTCCCCCCTTAATACTCTGATGGTGACGTCTGATCCCCCCTCAGTTCCTGCTAGAAACTATGTGATCCTCCCCCCAAAAAAAACCCTTCTACCTCCCACCCAGGGGATAGATAATGACTGCCTCCTAAGTTGCATAATGTTCTTCGGAAGACAGTTTCCTGAATAAATATGAAACACGCTAAGATGAGTTTTTATATTATTTCAGCAATTCGCAGTTTTCAACGAAAGATCATGACAATGATTACTGCAGTTGCAGCTGCAGCGAAATCTACAAGGGAGCCTGGTGGTACGTCGCCTGTCATGCGTCTAATCTGAACGGATTGTACCTTGGGGGTCCACATAAGTCTTATGCAGATGGTGTGGAATGGCACGGTTTCAGAGGCCACTACTACTCTCTGAAACGCACTGAGATGAAATTGAAAATCAAAAAATGAACTGTGCTCGAGAGTAACCGAGAAGAAAAGCATTTGAACTTAGATCCACCGTAAATGTTATACAGTGGTGGAGCAGGGGGAGGGGGGGAACGTTAGTCGAACGCGACCCCCCTCCCCTTCCACCCATGCACTGAACTTACAGAGTAAATGTACTTAACGTGATATGCAGTAGCCCAAAATCGTTTTTCTCCCATTTTTAATAGTTTTATCTAAAGTAGTATTCCATTATAACATGTAGTAGACGTAACCACGAGCTCATTTCTATTCAGAGTTTATAGTCAATAATATCTTAACACTGAATTTTAATTTTCCTGATTTCATATGAGGTTGCGGCTCAGTTAACAGCCGGATGGTGCAATGGTACGGTAAGAGCCTTCGCTTCCCACAACTCCTCCTGAATTTAATTCCCGAACCTAACATTACGTTTGGATTGATTTAGTTGTTTTTTCTTTATGGTTTTTTATCGTCCTCACTGCCAAAGGTTCTTCGGCACTACATTCTGCGCAGAAACAAAATTCCCGATACCAATTTGACCGGAACAGTGACTGAAAAAGATATATTCCTCTAAAAACGACTTATTTATTGTTAATTAATATCATATACGCATTTAACCACTTTTTCCATTTTTTTTCTCAGTATGTGCATGTTATAAGGTCGAAAATGCTGATAACTGATCTGTCAAAAAAGTCTTCTGTCTGTAAAAACAATAGACTGGCAACCATCAAATGTTTTTTCAATGGTTCATTTTTTGCTCCGGCAAGATGCTGCTTTTGTATTCATACATTAATATTTAGATACAGATTAAGCTAATGTCATTTTAAGGAACCATTACTTTAAAAACACATTTTGCTAAGAAGGTGTAATAAATATGATGATTTTTTTTCTTTCTATAAGCATCATGCACGAATGAAATTAAAATTTTTTGTTGTTGCAGTGCAAAGTTTAAAATGCAATTGAGAAACGCTTATCTTAGAAAAAAATCATCTGAAAAACGCTGGCGTTTGCAAACTACTAGTGTCTTCCTGACCATTGATGCTGCTCGCGCGCGCAACAAAACTGCTTTCCTTTTGAAAGCATTGTTCCCCGCGCGCAAGGCATTCGTTGCGCATGCACGTCACCATTTTATCCAGTTTCCATGGTGAATAAGTAACGGTTTCCATAAAGTCAACAGACCCCTCGATTGTTTTCATTTTGGTACACTCCATTGTTGCGAAACAAACACTTTGTTACGATTTTTTGGTCATTGTTTACAAAGTTTTGTGGACATAATGCTTAACTTGACGACATCAAAGGAAAAACGCAACGCTTCAATTAAGGAAACCTCTTCAATTCATATCGCTAGATCGCGAGAGGAGGGAAACGCACGCAACGAAATCCACACTCCGAAGAAATCTACGCAGATGCAAAATGGCTTACCTAGCCATTCAACGCCGAATGACAAATGTAAAGTACCTGAATTTTCGTCTCCAATGTCTCCGGTGCAAAAGTCTGAGGACATTTCATCATCAGCATCCGAATCAACTCAAAAAAGCAGTCCTGGCGGCTTCAAAGGATTCACAGTCGATCCGATGAGCCAAACCTTTCTGCGCATGCCACATTTGTACCACAGCCTGCAAGCGCAGTTGCAACAGAACAATTCGCCGAAAGTCAAGAGGCCCATGAATGCGTTTATGATCTGGGCGCGATTATACAGATCGACGATTGCGAAGCGATATCCGAACGCAAACAATGCGGAGATAAGCGTCAAGCTCGGCGAGATATGGAATGAATTGTCCACGGAACAGCAACGACCATATTTTGACGAAGCTTCGCGCTTGAAAGAGAAACACCGAAATGAACATCCAAATTGGGTTTATCAGCCAAGACCGTCGAAAAGACGCTTAGCATATATTACAACGGGTAGCCCCAGTGGGATTCCCTGTAATACTGATTCTTATGGCTATCACCATCCTTATAGTCTACAGGCAGACAGAGGCAACATGTCGGTATCTCCTCAGACGATACGAGATCGTGCAAATGCAGGATCACTCAGCTTTCAGCCAAGAAATCTTAAAGACGCATTTAACATGGCGCAGATGGATCGCGTTCCTGCAACAAACATAACAAGCGCGAGCAGTAAGGCTGCTGCTGACCACGGATTTGCCAATAGAGTGTTTACCAGCGCAGAGAGAGACGCCGCACGTGGCAAAGAAAACGATTGCATTCCGTTTTATAGTAAAAAAGAAGAGGAACAAGCCGTGGATTGGCTGAAAGTTGAAGCGGCAAAATTCGAAGAGGAGCAAATGGTGGCAAGACGTGCGCGCGAAAACTGTATAGTCAATGACGCAATGCTCCCTACAGTCAATCACGAGACCGACGAGCAGGAACAAGTAGCAAAGATCAAACAAGAAATGGATAGCGACGGCACCGATCTTGACAGATACCTTGCAGGACTGGATGAAACTATCAAAGAAAGCCTTGAAAAACTCAACGACGTTCCCGATGAACTGGATTTCCTCGATGATGGAAGTTTGGATATGTTAAGTGACATTGAGGATACTGAGAACGAATAATTGACCACGAATAGTTAACTACGAATAATTAACCACGAATAATTAACTACGAATAATTGACCATGAACAATTAACTACGAATAATTAACTACGAATTATTAACTACGAATTATTAACTACGAATTATTAACTACGAATTATTAACTACGAATTATTAACTACGAATTATTAACTACATAATATCTGTAGTTAAATCTGTTCCAGAGAATAAATCAAAACTGATCCGAGTTAAAGGGGGGAAAAATTTGCTTGAGAAGTTTAATTGCCTAAAATTCAATAATAAAGCAAAATAAAGACCTGAGTTTTAAAAAGAGTTTTATTTGCACTTACCGGAGTAATTTCTATGTTTAAAACTCGTGTTTTCTTTACGTTTCGCCTTCTTTCGAGCAGTAAAGAAATGATTAGAATGGAAGGCTTAGAATAAGGCTTACTTATATGCAGGTAAAAAAAAGAAAACAACTTCTTTTTTAACAAGGAACACTTTATTTCTTATAACGGAAGTTACACAAAGAACGTAAAAATGGTATTAAAACTTGAAGAATCACTCGCATACACAAAAAGTATGTAGATATGTGATTTAAATGATAAAAATACATCACAATAATCGCTCAACCTCGCCCGTACTTCTTCTTTTAACTAAAAAGACTGATTATGTTCGAGCTTTCATCCTCACAAGTAATGCCACTGCCTCCCGTTCGCGGAAGAACGGAAGGATGTAAAATCTGTGAGCTCAGCAGCAACAAGCCTTTCTTTTTCTTCCCTACCCCTTCCTGTGTCAGTCACCTGTTTTGCCCACCTTCGCCCCATGCCCCCTGCGCGGCTCAAGTTTCCTTCTCTTGAATAAAAGTAAACGGAAAGGCCTGGTACGCAGGCTAGTCTTCAAAGGTGAAAGACCATCGTTGAAGTTTTTAAACACAGGTTCTTAATTATAAGTGAAACGAGTTTAGCATAATAATATAATCACCATCTAGAGTTAAGATCTGAAAAAAACTAGCATAGAGTCTTATGTTACAGTAAGTGAAAGAGCGGTTTTAATTATCAATTTATAAAACTACAATTCGTCGGTGGCTAAGTGATGAAATGTGTATAGCTGACAACATGATTTCGAGTGTAATTCGGTGTTAATACACAAGAGCAAATTTCTTAAAGACAATAAAATTAAACGAGCCCGTAGAGTACAATATTAATTTATAAGTGCTTATTTACAACAAATTGTACGATCGAGAAATCATGTTGCTACTTATTAATAATTTGATTGAAAAACCCATAACACAAAGTCAAGACGGACGGCGCGCGCGCCATTTGTAATTTGCATTTGTGTTACTTATTTGCAATAGTGTTACTTATTTGCAATACTGTTACATGAAAATTGCACTCGTTTTCAGCCAGTCAAACGCGCGCGATTTTTGCACGTATAATATTTAACCAAAATTATAAATCTGAGTGCGTAAAGGAATATAAACTTAAAAAAGGTATTTTCTGTCATGCTGCGCAAAAATTGCCTCCTAATAGGAAAACTTCAGCTTTTCTGTTGCTGATCAAAGAACCTACAATCTTCTAAACCTTTCATTAAGAAGATTACAATATAAATTCTCCTTTTTGTCTTCTGTACGTTTCTTATGATATTGTTTATGAGAATTTAGTGCTTAACTTACTGGTGATGTTTTCGATTATTCTCAGCACCTTTCTGCTTGATCACGTATCGATATTGTGAGGAGAAATTACAAATTGGTCACTCCTAAGAGTGAAACATCTAACTGGTGAAAAAATCTTAGAACAGAATACCTGTAGTAAAGGTAATTGATAGGTTATCGACATGATTTTTTGTCACGAGTAAGTATTAACTACAATGACGTCCAGGAGACGTAAAGCTGAAAATATGAAAAGTTACCGAATGTAGATACATAGTTGCAATGTGGCTTTTATGAGAGAGTTCGCCGCGAACTGGGTCACTTTTGTGACAAAAATTACGTTTAAATTACCAACTGAGCCTCGCTATAGTTCCTATCCCACCAGGGGAGATGCATGAACAGCTTACTTATTACCAAGTTCTGAAATGAAAAATAAAAAAAAACTGATTTGAAATATTTTCAAAACAAGGAAGTCCTTCATAGAAGGAAGAACAACATATAAATATAGACAAATACCCATGGCCACAATAACTCGAACAGCCGGTCAACCCAAAATTAAAATATTTTTGTCCGCGGTGAAGCCTTTTTTGACTTTGCGAGAAGTCCGCAAGGGGTCTGGCACTGATAGTGCCAGACTCCTGCCAAACCTATCCCCGACTCGTCTCAAATCTTCCCGCAGGCGGAGAAACGCGCGTCCTACAGCGCTAGTAACGAAGGGATTGCTCTCAGGCTATCGTTGGGGCAACTGCAGCTATTACCGATCGAAATCAAACAACATCGATGCTGCTTACCGATCTTTACAACTATGACTGAAAATAAAAGAAGGTTTTCGAGCTCTTACATACCAGAACACATCCATATGGCTTTCAGTTTCCACTGTGAGCTCTCTTTTACATGAATGCCTTGAGCAGAAGCTGTAAAAGGAAAGAAGCTTCTCGTTAGCACCATTACTTATCATCTGTGGCACCCTTACAGAAGCAACAGCACCGACAATAACAAGGTTGCGCCTAAATCCCACCGGCCAGAGGTACGCCCGAGGAGCTTTAATGACGAGTTTCCGAGTCGGATGATTATCGGAAATTGTCGGCTATTCCGATATGGCCAATAACAAGGATCACAGCAGCAAGAAAATAACATCAGCTATATGCGATTTCGTGCTGCGATCCTTATGGCCAGCGTTACACATCAATAATCTTTGGAGGAAAACCCATCAAGATCTGGTCATTCGGGCGTTTTCCCGCGCTTTAAGCAGTGTGACTGTTTTAATTCTTATCTCTCATTGGCTCATTACCATAACTCTTTTTGCTCTGATTGGACAATGTGATGACTTTAGTTTGGCTTCCACGACACTATCACAACGCGCTCTTCGGTGGAGAGACATGACCTAAAATAATTTTGACTTACCTCCCCACTCAGTGCCGGAGTTGTCCGCAGTGACTGTGTGTGGAGATTGTGGGTTCATGTTTGCGTCAGCAATAGCCAAGGAATTCTCGAGCGTTTTAGTTAAAACTGTGTTTGATTTAGTTTTTGCTTTCACCCATTCATCTTCAGGAACGGCGACGAACCGAGCCAAATGGTCTGTGGTGCTTTTCAGAATGGCTTTTCCGTTCTTGCTCACTCCAAAGAGAATATTCTCGTCCTTGTCATGTCCAACCAGAGTAAGAAGACGATTATCCAAGCCTGTATATTGTGTATCAAATAAAAGCATATTTAAAACGTCTTGTCGCTTGATGCTAGTCATTAGTCCGTACCGGGTCTTGATCATTTACAACGAGCAAGGATCTGGAAAAGAGTGTGGAGGCACCACATCGTCCAACAGGAGGTAGCTATTCCTTTCTATCCTGTTTCTACTAGACCCATAAGCTGTTTGAGTTAAAATGTTTCTCTCTGCTTCTCGCTTAATATGATTTTGTCGTATGCGCGCCATTTTCCACTTTTTAATTTTGTTATTTGGTTGTATCATGTTGTTTTTCCTACCATTCTTACCAATTTCCCTCCCCCCCCCCCACCCCCGTCCCACAAACCCTTTTCAGTGGTCGTAGCTAAGCTTTTGAAAGACTCAATGATTTTACCTGTCCAAGAATTGCCTTTGTCTTCACTACGAAAGCAATTTGGTGCACTTTTACTTCTGCAAAATTAAAATAAAACAATCGTATAAATTTCAAGGGTTTTTCATACTCTTCACTGCCACCTGTCTTTAGCAATCAAACTTTACTTGGTCACGGATGTCTTTGTCTGTTTGTTGCGTGACTCACTGTTAAGAAGGTCTTACCCTTTCATTGGCACGCTGCAAACGTACATGATGTCAGAGCTCTTGTCTAACAAGTAACCGCGACTTGTGAATGTCAAAGAACCTAAAAAAAATTCATTGAAAGTTATTGTGTCACTTAAGTTACTGGGCTGCATTGGTTAAGATATTACCGCGTGAGTCAATTAAGAAATCACTATGGCAGTCAGTCAAAACAAACGAATATTACGGATTTTAGCTAGCCTGTCAGTCGATAGTCAGTACGTTGGTCAATCAGTCAGCCGGCCATTTAGTATTTTAGATAGTATTCAGTAAGTCCATCAGTAAGTTAAAGAGTCAGGTAGTTAGTGAGTCAGTCAGTCAGTCAGTCAGTCAGTCACTTAGTCAGTCGGTCAGCCAGCCAGTCAGACAATCAGTCAGTCGATCTGTTAGTCAGTCAGTCAGTCAATCAGCCAGTCAGCCAGCCAGGCGGCAAGCCAGTCAGGCAGTCAGTCAGTCAGTCAGTCGGTCGATTCTTGAAAAGTTGACATATCAAGTGTTAGACTTGTCATTCTCCTGACTTGCAGTTTCAGATATCAAAAAGTACTAACGTATCGAGACGTACCCGAGGAGGGTGCGGGACCAATCGTGCACCCGAAGAACTCCACCCTGAGAGCAATACTGTTGTACCACCCCACAGGATTGATACGGATAAACCGAGCCTGGATACAAATCTGAAGCACAATAATCTGAGTGTAGTCGTCATTGGTGTTTGCCGCAAATTCCTTGAAAAGCAAACAGAAAAAGAAAACAAATTAAAAAAAACCATCGTCAGGCATATGAAACGCCTCTAAATTATATATAACAGGAAAACAGTAACAGCTGAAATACTTTATATTTACCCTTTACCTCGTCCTTTTCGGCCAAAATAGTCTTCGTCACGCTTTTATCGAGAGGCGTGACTAATTCGGATCTTACATGATTGCGTTACCTTGATCTTGCTTCCTTCTTTGTATGGTTTCCAAATGACTCCATCATCGCTGTAGAAAAGGGAAAGTCTGGTGACGAAACTGCCATTGAAACCTTGCGTGGTGAGTCGGCAGACCTTGGCTACATCTGTGAAATCGACTTGAAGAAACTGTGATTTTTCCCTCCTAAGGTAATAATGAAAAAGAAAATCAGAAAAACTGGGTTACGTTATCACCTAATTTAACTCTACGTTTCGATCATGGAAATCAAAGTAAAATAAATCACGTATTGTTATGAGCTTGAAAGGAGTCAAAATGCGAGCAGAAAATCTGCGTATCTTGAAAATTTTAAGTCTAAACGCGTCTTTTTTAAGATCGCAATTTCCCAATTTGCCTTAATGAACTCCTTTTATTAAATCTACCTCATATACCACCCCGAGAAATAAAACGCCGGAAGAAGTTTTTAGGCGATCACGTGTGGATTCAGTCTCTACGCGAGTTTCATTATGCAATCGTTTTGAATATTTTCAAAACATAGACCAAAGACAATCACATGGTTTTCAGTTTTTCATGCCCCCCCCTATATAAAGCCCAGAGTATATACAGTTATTTTATGACCCATACACGCCCAAAGCTGAAAGCTGTTTTATTACAACTTACGCCAACTGTCCACTAGGTATCCACGCCTTACTGCCACCCAACCTGGCCTCGTGAGGCTCACCGCCAGAAGAATAGGACGAACCTGTAATCTTAGAGTCTGTGATACTCTTATCTTGCAAACCAAGAGCTTTGTCACATTTGGCTTCTAAAATATAAAAAGAAGTTTGGTTTAACCCTTTAAGCCATGAGACTGACTAGCATCTAATTTCTCCTTACAGTTTTACTACTGAATCATTCATTAGGATCATGAGAATAAAGGAATTGATCAACAAGCTATGAAGCTTTGATTGTTGAACGAATTCTCCTTGTCTGTGCCAAAGGACATGTATTGAGGAGAGTTTGGAGAATCTGAATACTGATATTGGGATGCAAAGGGTTAAAAGTTAGACAAAAATACTAACCAATGGTGGCGCGTGACTATGACGAAAAGTAAATAATCGAAATAAGCCGCCATTGTGCCATCCAAGTGGAAAATATATATGTTCGGTATAAATCTAACAGCGCTCTACACGATTGCTGCAATTGGATTGGCTACGCCACTCGTTATCAATTTCGCGATTAGGTAGTGTGTAAAAGTGAGTTGCTTAACAGTGAACGGTTATAAACAGGAATAAATTCGTCCTCAATTTCTTCACGTGATAGTCGATTTGGGTTTCACCCTCATTAAGTATAACGCGGTAGAAATCTCGCCATCAATGTGTTTGATAAATGATGACATAAACGACATCATCTTCCACTGAATACAATCATTGGTTGATGCGATGGTAACCTTGATACGTACTTTGCACATAATACTTGAATGAAGCTGAGGATGGCCCTTGGTGAGAAAACTCCCGGGAGCCTGAGGCCGAGCTACAGGTGTCCGCTGACCCATTGTATTTAAGATTCACGTACACTGTACAGTCGTGGATTTTCCCGTCAGCTCTTGTTTTGCCGGGATCCAGGTTTAATTTTATGCTCAGTGACACTTTTTGGTAAAATTCAAGTTTCTCAAACTGAAAACAATACAAAACAAGGTTGGCACCGATTAACAATTGTGTGGTCGTATTTCAAAAACCTAATTTTGGGCTAAAATGTTTTTATGGATAAAAATGAGTTTCTAACCTTGAATGAGACCATCTGCGAATCAGATTGCGCAACAACACTGACAGAGTTGGAGAATTTGGTAAAATCATTGTAGGTAAGGAAAGGCGGTAAGGGTAGTTGTAATTTGCCATTCTCCACCAGGTCTGTAGTATCGTCTGAGTGCTCCACATCCACACGGAGATTGATTTGGTCCCTAACAAAAAATAAAAGGACAGCATGTCAATCAAGGTACTGTAAAGGACCAGTCATTTTTCATGGACTGGGGAGAGGGGGGAGGGGTGGAAGCAGTTTTGAGAGGGATCATATGATTTTTCAGGGGGAAGGGAGGGGGAATCAACAATAGCCAACAGACCATAAAGAAGGAAAATATAGAAAATTGACTGCCAAGGAGGGGGGGAGGGAAGATCATACAAAGCCTTAAAGTGGGATTAGGTAAATTTAAATATACATGCGGCAATTTTAGAAAGCTCATCGGCTGAGATCACGACAATTAAAGTTTAGATTTAGTGCGGAGTGGAAATTATTGAGCAGAAAGTTGAAGGGCTACGAATTTGAAATAACTGAGAATCAGGAGTTTGTAATCTCTTGCTAAGCACTCATCAATGTTTTTCTGGCCTGTAATTGAAACATTCCACAAAGTAGTCACTGATTATGGATACAAATCAAACAGCGATGTTAGGTGTAATTTGTTATCTCTACCTCAAGAATCTTTCGACGATTTCTTAGTTTGGTGAGATAACTACCGGATTGTGTGCTGAACGAGATGTTCATCTTGTTTACTTCAAAATGTTGCCCACATTGCTTTAAGTTTAAGTCGCATGAAATTGTTTGCCTGCAGTTCCCCAACATCCCGTTCCTATTTTAAACTCCTCAATCTTGCCTCTATTGCCTCATTAATTCAAGTTCTCGTCTTTTGGTCTCCGATCTGTTTGCCTACATTAGTTTTTACAACATTTCAGTAAAGCACCTAAGCCGTTTTGCTGTAAATATTGGATTTTCCAACCTAGCATCGGCACGTTGATGCCTTTCTCCGAATAAAATAAAGTCCTCAACTTGTAATGAGTAATTTGCTTTAAAATAATTACGAGAGAAAATACATGCATACCCAGAGCGAACGGTATGGTAGTTTGAAACACTCCATAAGGTCACTTTCAGATCAGGTCTCTTGCAGGCTGGTTTGACAGTCTTTACTGCTAGCATGGCAGCCCAAACAGATTGATTTTTGTACTCGGTTCCAACACTAACCCACTGCAAGCCACCGTTCACGATCTCCTGGTGATCCATCACCTGAATCTCAAACTCAATCTTAATCTTGGTTTCGTTCTCATAAGTTGCTCGAGTGACTTCGCCAAATTCAAAAAATGCAATATCGTGAAGACCATCATTTGCAGATGAAGTGAGGTTTGGGGACGTGTTTGGGACGGTAAGCTGAGAGCTAACCTCAGTTACTTCTGTTTTTGTTAGTCGCAGAATGGCGGAGGTGTTGAAAGGACACTTGATTTTTGTCTTCAATTGAGTGGTCTCTGGAATGGTCATTTCAAGTGTGTACTTTACACGACGGCCAACATATTGCCAATCTGTAGACCTGGAGAGGCTGAACTTAAATTCTGAGGCCTGTAAACGGAAGAGCAACAAAATTAGGCGATTTTAAATGAAGTTGATACGTTAATAGGTAAGGAAAAACGAGCTCGATTCGGAATCGAATTTCTATTCCTGATGAAATGTTTCTATGCCTCAATATTTCCATAGATATATCCTAGCATTCCACATGTGATGTTAGCAAAATTTTATTTGAGGTCGAAATTTTGTGCGGAATTCTTTGGAATGAAATTCATCTTGAAGCAGGTGCACAATACCCTAAAAAATTTTGTTTTGGCCTGCCGAATCGCGAAAATTTGCTAGGACTTTCTTGACGTCAAATTAAAGGGCATAACTGCGGCCTTGAAGTAAATTTGGTTTCATTTCACGGTTCTGGGCGTCTAAGTTGCAATTAGAGAATGAATAATAAGTTAATAAATGAATAAATAACAGCACCTTTTTGAAAAAGGCTTCTTAGATAGGCACAAAGTTTAATCGTTCACCTGCACAAATTAAAATAGCTTGGAGGAATCTGGTGGGATTCAGAATCCTTCGAAAAAAAATTCCAAATTATTGCGCAACTTGGCGAAATATGTTCGTGTTCTGCTTATGACTCCTGTTATTTTAGAATAAAATGCTTTTTTTTCGCCTAAAAATTTTATCAAAGCAGCTTATTTTTTTAAGTTCCTTGCTTGGATAATCATTGTATATCGATTTCCAAAGAGCTCAATACTAAACCTGACAGTTTAAGACTTTCATGAATTATTAAGTGATATTGATTTCGTTGAGGTCTCAAGAATTATTTGTTCTCTTTATGCGCTCTCTGGGAACTTTCGAGGGACAACACAAATTCAACTGAACTGAAGATATTTGTCTATCGCAGATATTTGTATATCGCAGTCTGACGACTGCGATATACTTTCGACAGAAGTTGAGCGTGCAGCTAATATGTAAAAGTTGCCGAACATTTCTAGAGTCGTATGCATATTTTATGAAGGATAATGGTATCCAGAACTGAATTTCTCTAACAAAAGGTTACAAACACGAAACACTTTTGGCTCCAGATGAAGACAAAACGATGTAAAGTTGCCTTCCGTAACAGTTTTTAAATAAACTTCCTGCTTTCAAAGTCCCTTTTTCGCAATAATTACAAAAGCTGCAGTCTCCCTTGAGGACTTTTGGTGTAAAACACGCTTTTGCCTACTAAATTATATAATCGCCTTCTGTCCTGAAGGACTTAATTTTGGTGTTTGAATAAAGTTGTTTTTGCCATTTTATTGGATGACGCCTCTTAAAACCAACTCGAAGAAGTTGCTGTGCATTCAGTTCTCAATCAACAAATAAAGCGAATGAGCCTTCTCCTTTTACCCGGCGTATTTCGCCGGAAACAGATGAATAACGAAGGAATCGAAAAACGAAAACCGGAGAAGAAGTGTGTCACTGTAAAAAAGGGCATTAAAAAGCAGTCTAATTTCTGCTACAACTTCTTTTACCAAGCACCTCCACAGAACGGTTTGTTTTGCTACATATCAACTATACGATAAATCATATCAAATATACGATAAACATTTAAGATTCACAACCAACTGCGAAAAATTGATTACTAAGGAAGGAAAATACGTCGTCCTTTTCGTCAACAAAGCTATTTTCTCAGCAAAAACTTGTGATCCAATCTTGCTGGTAAGTTTGACCCAATTTGACGCCGATGTTTTGCAATAAGGCGATTTTCTATCGTCAGTTTTTTAATCTGACCTCAAATATATCGAAAAAAAACACATTGTATCTCAAGTTTACGTGCATCTGTCGGGTTAGATTAATCTGAAAACCGTTTTCAGGAACTCGTTCAGAGTTTCATATTAAGTTTGAACTTAATTAAGAAAGTTTTCTTTAATTTCTTTCTTTTTCCTTTAAACGATATACTCATACGAACTGCAAGCAAACCCAGAAATGATATCCTTCAACAGTTTCGAGATAACTGTGGTAAACAGTTAAGCGTTAATTTTTTAAGGCGGCGAGAGCTTAGAACATGTCAACCTAATATTTCGAAGTACTGATAACTTAACCGAAAATTTTTAACTAACCTCGTCCATGTTAAAGACATCGTATAAAAAGTAAATCATTAAAATAATTTTTTACACTTTATCAGTGTCCTCAAAGCGAATTGCCAAGAAAATATTGCAATGCTGATACGAGCGCATCTTCTGCGTAGCATATTGGAGGGTTGTTTAAGAAAACAATTTCGCCATTGCGGTCCTTAAAGATCAACCAGAATATTTAATCATAAGAAAAATAAGATACCTCTTACCTCACAATTAGATAAAACTGCTACAAGGTAAAGTAACAGGAACATTATTTTAAGCTAGTGAGGCTGAAAGTTTTCGAACCGATCTCAAAAACAACTTCGCCTCTCGCGGTAGCAGGTGTTAAACTTGAAATGGCCCAAAAATGCTAAATTATTAACACTATTTACGTACTCCGTTAGATGCCATGGTGACAGAATGACTTGGTGAGAATAATTATGTTACCAAGCGCTGTTCGTGTCAGTCACATTATGTCTGTTGATTAATTGTAAAATTTTGCTGCCGGGAATGCTTTTTTATAATGCCAAATAACAGAGCGCATTGTTTAAATGTTTCGTACAACATGATGAAATTACGATTTTCTTCTACTACCAAAAGTTACTCATGGACATTTCTCCTAAAGTCGTGAAAGTATAAAAATTAAAATGCCTCGCTTTGTTCGATTAATGAATAATTCACTCAACATTAGTGCGTGTTAATTAGAACAGACTTCATTGTCAAATGATTTTATCCGAAAACGTATATTCTTGGATTCTGAAATCACACTTCATGACTTTTTCCTCCAAGGAGAGGTTTCTATATCCTCTATCGTTGTTCTTGAGTGACCTACCATCAACTACAAAACCGCTCAGGTTACTTCTTTGTCCTTAAACGAATGGCATAGCCTCTACAACTACGTCACACTATATTAATAAAATTTCCTACAATATTCTTTTCATAGGAAACTCGTCCATGTCTTGACACACGATCTTGCAGGTGGAATTCGGACGCCACACAATAAATTTTATTGCACGCTAAAATTGTGTCCATTAACAAGTTACCTCGTAATCGTCACTGTCCGCAATTTACTTTTTAGAGTCACTTCTACAAGTCTTATAAATTTCTCTCTGTAAAGTGAAGTAATATAAACAATCCTATGAGTAAAAGGTGACAAAATGGCTGAGTTTTGAAAAAACAGAGGTCCATCGTAGGAGACTGTGCGAAACACCCAGGTTAGGGGATTTTCACCGACTTTTGTTGTAACAAATTTGGAAAAGCTACGTTTCAAAAGGCTTCCCTTAATCTGAGCCGAAACAAAAAGAAATATGAGACATGATCTTTATGTAGAGAGGGAAAAAAATAATACTGCCTTGCAGTGTTACAATAATGATTAAAATAAAATAATTATTATTATAAAGTATTAAAACATCGAAATCAAGTTTTATGACTATTTAAGGTCAAAGTCTCCAAGAGACTATAATGTCATTTGTGCCACAATACAGGACACACTCTTGCCATTTGGTAGATAACCTTTAGTTCAGGACAGTTTTTATCATTTCCAAAGCCATTTCAGGGGCATCTATTGGAACCATATGACCAGCATTGAGAATGTAATAAAGCCCAAAGTTTTTATAGCTCTTCAAGAAAGCTCCAGTTTCCCTCTTTTCCAATTTTGATGGTGCATACAATGGTTTCCTAGATGCCTTCAAAAATTCTGACAAGCCATCCCACTTGATTTTCGAAATCCACAACTCTGCGCCAAGTGTCCCACAGATCATATCAAGCTGACCCTCATACACAATCACTTTCACCCCTCCCCTGACAAGTTCACCCACATCTGATAATACTGATGATGGGATGTCATTTCGTTGACGGTCTGCCACCAAATTTGACTGGCCACCCCATGTAACATTTTCTGGTATTATACCAAGCTTCTTTCTGATTGGCCCATTCATGAGCTCAGAAAGAGGATCACTGTGGGCTCTTATTATGTATTGTGCAAACATTTGATCATGTGACAGCCTGGAAGTATTCTTGTGGATAAGGGACTGTGTGTTGACAGAATCTAATACATTATGACGCAACACATAATAAACATCAACATTGTCAGTTACATTAGCAATGAGGTTGTTTCCTTTGTCCGTTAAATCCATAGCTGTCTTAAAATCTCCTTTACTGGCAGCATTGAAAACTTCATTGGCCAATTCTTGGACATCATTGTAGTCTTTCCCATCAAGCAGCGAAAAAGAAAATAGATATGGTCCGTAAGAGAGTGTTATGTCTTCAAAAGATATCAAGGAGTCTCCTAGGGCAAGCCCAATAAGATTACACTGAATCTTCTTTTCTTTAATCAAGACATATAAGGCCTTACCCAAAGCAGCAGCCATTTTACCACCATACGACTCACCAGCAATGAAAAAAGGTAACTTCTGGAAAATTGGGAACTTGAGCAGAAAAGCTTTGAAGAAGGTTATCAAGTCAGCTGTAATTTCTAAAAAGACAAATGATAAGGATTTAGTCCTTTAAAATAACAGTATTGCGCATTATGGAGGAGGGGGCTAAGGGGGAGTAGGGGGAAATGGAATAGGAGGGGGCTGAGGGGAGGGGCTCAAAACTGAAAAACTCAAAACTAATCTAGGTGTCCAACAACTTCGAAACGAAGGTCCCTACGTACCTGAGATGTTCGTGGTGAGGGCCGATGGATCTGTAACATAACTATATCCACAACCAACAGGATTATCCACAAATACTATGTTAGCTTCCTTTATCCACGTTGTATTGCGCGGCTTGAGATCGATATCCAGGGGACCGATCTCTGCGAAATTGCCATAACCTGTGGAGGAAGCCCCGGGACCTCCCTGCAACCACATCAACAGAGGTTTTTGAACTCTCTCTGCTGGATCTTTCACCTGAGCTCCATAAAACCACCAGAACATGTGAGCATTTGGTCTTACTTCCACGTAACCCCAAGCTTCATCTTGAATCAGTGGTTCTGATTTCGCAGCTTGAATGGATAGCTGAAAAGCAACGAGCACGAACATGGAAATGATCGAAGACATATTCGTTTTGGTATAACCTCGGTTGTGACTGATGATGAGTAAAATTTGCTCGAAAGAGATCTGGGTATCAGGGAAATAGCCTCCCTTTAAGGGTGGGGAGGGGTAGAACTACAAGGAACAATTTTTTCTTTCTTTTTATCCTAATTTTTTTTTCTGTGAAACGCAGAATGAACCACAGTAGGCAGGGTTTTTTTATATAATCTATCGATGAAACACATATTTCTCATGTAAACTTCAAAATAGAAACCTTCTTTTTCCTGATGATTTCAGTCCTGTACGTATCAGCCTTTGTCACTCCTCCCTGCTGTGGGAAATTTGCTCGAAGTCCACATGACAGTGCGATCACATTTCCAAGATGGCGGAAAACTCTCAGCAACCTTTGCCGAAAAGACATGATTTACAAACGTCCGCAGACCTCGAGAGGGTAACAGATTATGCAGAAGAGAAAGAAATAAGTACAACGGACATAGAAAATGTGAGCTCTGTGCTTTTCCAACTATGATGTTAAAGATCGAGGTTTAAATCTAAAGTGAAATTACTTACTTGGTCGCGTTTTCAGGCCAGATTTCGCTCTTCTTAAGTCTTATTTGGTCAGTTTTTCATATCGTGACAGGTAGTTCACAGCTTGATTGATATTTTGCGTACCACATTGAGAACATGTGGCGAAAATAGCTATGCACCAGAATTCTGCATTGTTAGAAGTGACTGAAGCATTATATTCTTCGATCTCCATAGCCTAGTGCATGCAACGATGCAGTGCATGCACCAGATCTTGTCGATTTTAGCTGCAGTTATTTGCCTCTAGTACAAAGCTGTGTCCCAGTAGGATAACGGTAGTATCGTTGAGTATATATCAGTGCTGTTTTGTCATTATTGTGAATAATCCATCTTTGGTTTTGTCTTTGTTTTCTACTCGTAGGCTATTAGTCTAGTGGAAGGAAGATATTCGGAGGAAAAGGCTGCCAAGCTACAAAGGTGAGGGATGAAGGTATTGTGGCCAAATAATGTATAACAACTAGCAAATTAGAAATCATAATTCATGTATACCTCACAGGAAATTTGATCAATCCAAGAATATACTATTAACCCTTAAACTCCCGTGAGTGACCAAGGAAGAATTTCTCCTTGCTACATCTATACAATATCATGCAGACAAGTGATGAGAATAAAGAAAAATATCAATTATGGGATTACTAATTGATCCCATACAAAATTCTCCAAAATAACATAATGAGAATCATTTGGCAGACAGTAAGGAAAGTTATTGATGAGATCTTGGGAGTTAAAGGTTAAGGGAGTTAAAAGGTTAAGGAATTAAGGGAGTTAAAAGGTTAAGGAAGTTAAGTCATAAACCTCATTATGTAACATTATGCATGATTGTTGTCAGAAAGGAGAGCCTAGATAGCTTTGGATGAGGAATGTTGAATAAGTGCCACTGCTGGAAGATCCTGAACCTTTCAGTACCCTTGATAACTTGCCAAATTTCCAAGATAAATTTGGAACAAAATTAAGAGAAAAAGTGAAAATGAGATATTTGGTCAGAGGATGTTTGTTTTCCTGAACAGTGGTCAAATTTTGGGCCTGCACACTGCGATCAAATTGTGCTGACCACACACCAATTTTCTGCAGAAAATCTCAAAGCAGAACATTAGATAGAACTGCTGTCATGCAAAATATACAGAGACAAATTGAAATGTTTAAAGAAATCTGTAAGAAAAAACAAGAGTAAGGAAAAGCAAAACTGAAGACTTCCAGAACACAAAACTTTTTTGTGTATGGGTCTTCTCCTGATTTAACATTTTGTTTTGAGCTTTCTCAAACAAGTTAAACGCTTAAGAGTTACTGGCTTGAGTGGTTGCTTACAATTCTTGTAAGACAACTTGGCTCTGTTGGACAGGCTGAAAGCACCCTGCAATGTTTGTGCATGGCAGATGTTTGACAGCTGTGTTGTCTTCCTATCAATTCTTCTTCTTCCTGCTTTCATGAGTTAGGGTGTCCAGTAAACCCTGTACCTTAAATTTTTTCGGGACTCTCCAGATTACAGCTCTCCAGAAGCTGCCATTGGGTGCCAGCCTATGACTCACTTTGACTTTGTAAAAACTAAACTTCACTTTTCCTCATCATTGCTAGACCTCATTTTGGGGGTCAATAAATTCACTGTGTCTAAATATCATGGTTAACAACATTATGCTTTGCTTCTTTTTTTTTTTTGCTTCCAGAGAGAAGGAACTTGCTAGGATTGTCATAAAAAAGGAAGATGTTGACTTGATTGTGAGTTATGCTTCTAATTTGGACAACATGAATCTGCTCTTGTGTTTAATTTTGCCTCTGCTTCAATTTCACCAGCCACAACTTTATACAACTGTAGTATATCAGTTACCCACAGCTATGGCAAGCTTACGCTGTATGATGTAATAAAAATTTATTCCACAAGGAATTCATCAGCCCTTTTCACCCGAACATCAGTGTCCATATTCTCCATACTGTTCTCTATACATTTTCTAAGGTGCTGACAAAGAGAATTTGTTTAACAATCAAGGGTTTCCTTAGTTGGTGATCATTTCCTTTATTCTTGTGACCTTAACATGTGATTCAGGGTGATATTGTAAGGAGAAATTAGATGCTAGTCAATCTCAGGGGTGAATCAGTTCACAAAATGTTGCCAGCAGGGGAGAACTTTAATCCTAAATGAAACCTTGCTTTTATTACTAGGTAGAGGAAATGGAAATACCAAGAGCTGGTGCAGAAAGGAGTCTAAGAGAGCACAAAGGAGATGTGGTAGAGGCTCTAGTGTCTCTTACAAATTAGACAGCTTTTAAAAATGATAAGGAAAAAAATGGAAAGACACCAGCCTATGAATATGACAGTCCAGTTTTATCACCATATGGAAACTATTAAAGTGTATTTTTCTGTTTCTATTTATGAGGATACAGTCTGAGTATCTAAACCCGAGAAGTCTTTCTACTGTCAATTGGAAATACTTCTTCCTGTACAATGCTGCGAGACTTGTGTAAGAATCAATAAATTAGTAAATACCTTTTTTGGCAAAATCCTTGTAAGTGTTCTGTTGTATTAAAGCAGTGAAAAAGTTTTGTCCGGAAAGTTTGTTCCTCTTAGTATGAGAAAATATTTCTCAAACAGCCTCTAATTCAACTGGTGTCAGATTATCAGGTTTTTATTATCCTTTAGAGCTTTCCTTGTTACAAACTCCATTTTTTATTGATGACTAAATTACGATGTGCTTTGACTGCTGGTGATTATGAGTGGGCTGGGGTAGCGAGACAGAGAAAGAGAGAGGAAAAGGGGCCGGGGGGTATGGGACGTGGAGATAACGTTCACGGCCCAAGGTTGCGTGACTTTTGCCTCATTATAATAACGCATGAGGCTTTGTATCAAGTCATTTGTTTCGGCGATCGCAATTATGGCGGAATGCGGCAGAATTTCTACTGTGATAACTTTCATGATGATGTGCACTTGGAGTTTTCCTTCAACTGCTGAATCTTATTTTCAAGAAATTCCGACCGAAACTTGGGGTTACGTGGAAGTGCGAGAAAATGCACATATGTTCTGGTGGCTCTACGGAGCTCAAACGAGCAACTCTTCTGAAAGGGTGAACAAGCCACTTATCATGTGGCTTCAAGGAGGACCAGGCGGTTCCTCAACAGGGTTTGGAAATTTCGAAGAGCTTGGTCCGCTCACAGTGGAGCTGAAACCTCGCAACACTACTTGGATTCAGGCTGCAAATGTTTTATTTGTCGATAATCCTGTTGGCTCAGGGTTTAGTTATGTCACCCAACCAAGTGCTTACACCACGAATGTGACTGGTATGCATGCTATTAATACCGGATAGCTCTACACTTTATCGATCTGTATAAAACTTCATAGCTTTGGGGTTATACTCGTAGTTCAATATCTTACAGTGAAATAATTTGTGAAAACAAAATTCAAAAGGTGTTCCTCCTACTTTCAGCGTTTAGTACTATAATTTCCATCTCGTGACTACTTGTGACAATTTAATTTTTTTTTTCGAGTGGCGTGGTGGAGGGTGACGGGAAGTTGACATTTTAATCTATTACTTTGCATACATTAGCAAATTTTTTCAATGGTTAAGTTTGATTCCTTAGAATGTTGTTAAAAGAAGAGGTGTTTCCGAAGTAAAGATTGGTTCAGCTCGCTGGCTAAGGGCATTCTTTCAGTTTCATCTTTACAAGTCATATTACGAATTAATCTGAGTCCTTACACATCTTAATGTGTCCTTGCTTATGATATTTTGGAGGACAGAGCAAAGATGACATCAACATTAACAGAACTTTGCTTTCTTATCTTAAAAAAAAGTCTATGGGTCTGTTTGCAAAAATATTACAAAAGATGTCAAAATGTGATAAGGACAGTGGTGAAACGCTTAGTTGTACCTCAAGTGCTACTTTTTTTATTCTTAACCCTTTCACTCCCAAGATCTAGTTAGTAATTCTCCTTACTATCTGCCATACAATTCTTATGATGTTAGTTCAGAGAATTTAGTATTGAATCAACTAATAATACCATGATTGATATTCTTCTCTATTCTCATCACCTACCTGCTTGATATTGTATTGATATTGTAAGGAGAAATTCTGTCTTGGTCACTCATGGGAGTGAAAGGGTTAACACATTTTGACATGGCAACAATTGGAGACTGTCCATTAAACAATTAAAATAACTTGTTTTGTGTAGAAAAGGTCCATTGCTATGCAGCAGCAGCAGCATGAGGGGCAGAACAACCCAGTTCAGATATTAATTAACTCCTTAGGCCTTCACCCAGACCAACCTCTATAATAACCTTATTCCTTTGAGGCAATCAGATTGTAATTTTTGTGTAACAATGTTGCATAAAAGAGAATGAAAATTTTCATTTGTCTTAATGTACCCTTTTGTTTCCAACAGGTATTGCAAATGACCTTGTTACTCTCTTTCGAGCCTTCCTGGAAAAACAACCTGTTTTCCAGCAAATGCCATTTTATATCTTCTGTGAATCCTATGGAGGAAAGATGACATCTGCCTTTGGTGTGGCCCTGTATCAAGCTATCCAAAGTGGAAGTGTGAAGTGTGACTTTAGAGGGGTTGCTCTGGGTGATTCTTGGATTTCACCTGTGGATTCTGTGTTGACCTGGGGACCTTACCTTTATGCTGTAAACCTACTTGATGGAAAAGATCTGGCATCCGTCAATCAAGCTGCCCAGTCTACTGCTGAAGCTGTCGCTAAGGGTGAATATACAAAGGCCACTCAACTCTGGGACCAGACTGAACAAATCATTTCAGCAACAACAGATGATGTTGATGTTTACAATATCCTGATACACCATGCCCCACCTTTTCCAAAGTTTCAATCTCTAGGAAGCGATTTCTTAGATCGCTTGTATGCTCAGCATGTGGGTCCCCTTTACACTGACCCTCTGACAGAACTCATGAATGGCCCAATCAGGAAGAAGCTGGGTATAATACCATCTAATGTCACCTGGGGTGGGCAGTCAGGTGAAGTGTTTGTGTACCAGACTGAAGATTTCATGAAACCAGTCATAGGTGATGTTAGCAAACTTTTGAATTATGGTATAAAGGTTGTTGTTTATCAAGGCCAGTTGGACATGATTTGCGACACCCTTGGAGCAGAGGAGTGGATCAAGAAACTTGACTGGGATGATTTACCACAATTTTTTAACACTAATCGAGAGCCACTATATGCCCCCTCAGGTAAGACAGACAGAGATACAGCAGCATTTTACAAAGCGTACAAGAACTTAGAGCTTTACTACATAATGAAAGCTGGTCACATGGTGCCATCAGATAACGGAGAGATGGCTTTGGAGATGGTGAAAAGAGTCATCAATGAAGAATACTAACTAATTAAAATACATTTGTCTAGTCAGGTTAAAACTGTCACCTTAATTGTCAATTTTAGGTCCAGCATTTTCAGCTAAAGTAGTTTTTTCTCAAATTAGGTAATGAGTGAAAGAGCCTTCCATTCTTCCATAAGAATTGATATCTAACTCTGAAACAGTGAGAAACTAGGGGAAAGTCAGTTCACCAGTGATTTCTTGGCAAAGGGCTCCAAACTCAACTCCTTTCTAAGTCACCAACTGTTGACCCTAAATTATGAAACCAGTTATCTATAACACAAGCAGACCTACTTGGTAGCTTTTAACCCTTTAATCCCTAAGAGTGACTAGCATCTAATTTCTCCCAACAATATCACCTCTGAATTACACATTAAGGTCATGAGAATAAAGGAAATGATCACTGAATAAATAAGCTCTTGATTGTTAGATGAATTCTCCTTGTCAGCACCATAGGAAATGTAAAGGAACAGTATGGAGAATATGCATACTGACTTTAGAGTGTAAAGGGTTTATGAAAAGGGCTTCATGCACAATCAAGGTTTTCATAAAGAAATATTGCTGCAGGAGATCCGTGTTGAATGACAGGTGATCATTGTTTATGCCTGGATAAGATTTTGATCAAGTTCTTGAAATTTATAACATCCCACAATTCTTCACAACCGTCAGAGAATTCTCTAATTCCCTTTGAAGAACCAGAAATTTCTGGTTCAATAACATACTAGTCATTGCAAAATGTATTAAGATTTGGTGTAAATTTAATCTGTTAATAAAGTAATAAAATCAAATTATGTTTAACTTATCAATTTGTTAGTATTACAGTTAAATCCATATTATACAGCACCGGTATATATTAAGCAGTCACCCTGCATTAAGCGGTTGGTTGTCAAAGTCCCAAAATTTTTTGCCCTCAAGTACTATAATTATTTTCACCTGTCAGCTTGTTTGTATTGTCTTTTAACTGTATTGAACAGTCTTTTAAAGTGGAACCACACAATAAAACTAAGAGTCGTCAATGTTAGTACTTTGATAATTCTAATATTTATCAGTGTTAGTACTTTGAGTTCAAATTTCCTCAACACAATAAAGATTGTCTCTCTTCTTTGGAGAGTAAGGAAAAATATTACCCATGATCATCATGCAAGTCACATGTTGGTCAACCTGTATTATGTAGTCACCCCACCATTCACTGATGGCGACTGCTTAATACAGGTTCAGCAGTGTTTCTCAAGTTTTTTTCCTCTGATGCCTGTACAATGGACTTCAACAATCAAAATTAGTAGACCACTGACACTTATGTAGCTTTTGCTTTTAATTCATGTGTAGCGTTACAAGATAACGTACAAGAAAAAGGGAAATCACAATAATGATCACATTACAATCACAATCACAATTACAATCGCATTAAAGAACTGTTTTGCAAACCAAAACAGCTACATGAAGATGAAACTCTCTCCAAAATGTCAAAGCACGTGCAATCCCCCTAGAGATTGTCACATGAAATAAAACGTAATGTAAAACAGGAAATGAAACTAAAACAAAAATGAAACGGTAGCCACAACTTAAAAAAGACAAAATGATACATTTATTTATAAATAAGAGGTGATTTGCCTGTGAAAAATAGTCCATTAAATATATAAAAAGCTGAATTATTCCTGCATTTTCATTGGTTCCTGTTTATGATCTAATGGAGGACAGATGCACAGATGATGTCACCACTAACAACATTTTGCTTTTTTACTACATTTTGACATCATTTGTGATCTATTACTGAACAGATGAACAGCAACATGGAGTCTATTTGTTAATTTGCTGAGGTCTCTAACAAGAAAGCAGAGTGGTTGGTTAGGGCACTGGACTTGTGGTGCAGTGATCCTGAGTTCAAGTCCTCCTCCCTGCTACTCACTACATTTGTTCTCAGTCCCCACAAGTTCAAATAAATAGCCAGCTGGTCTGCCTCATGCCAGTTACGATTTTCAAGCAGTTTATGTTTATTTGAAATATTTGCTTCTCTTTCTTTTATATTGTAAAGCAATTAGAGACTTGCAATAAGCCCTGTATAAATAGTAAATTAATTTTTAAAAAAACCACCTAAAAAACACCTAAAGCAGAATTATACCTGTTATTTTTAATTGTCTCTTGTAGGACAATAGGTTACTCCTGAATTACTTTCAGTGATGTGTGAATTTGTAATTCACTAGATACTCACTGACCTTAATTACAAAATAGCTACTGGAGGTACTGTACATAATGCAACTGCATATCTTTGGGCAGAATATCTAAAGTAAGGGAACAGGGATTTGCACTTCATCTTCACACAATGTGTAATTTCCTGACATTACTCCTTGCGGCACTCTCAGGCGGAGGAGGCCATGTCAGTCCATCACCATAAGGGGGATGCACTGAAGGTAGAAGAACCCTCAGCCACGATCTGAAAGAAAGATCAAAGAGTGATGTCATTAAGAACTTTATCTCTCAGTTAGTGCATGCAATAAATTATGATTGGTCAATTAAGCAGACTGTATTTCTCTGTTTAGCCTGCAGAATTCAAAAGTTAGTTGGAATTAAAACCTTACCCCTCAATCTGAACCCGACAATAAAATTAATATCCTATTTTCAGCCCCTACAGTAAGTTAGGGTACCTCCTTTTTTTGCTCAGACTTTTGGCCTGCACTTTCATGCCTTAACCATAAGTCCAAGTGTAAAAAACTTGGTCTGTATGTATAACTTCCAATGTGGATCTAGAACTCATTTGGTACAAGGTATGTATATCGTAAAGGAATCCATTAGAGGGCTAAATTCTAATTCCCTCTTGAATGAGGCATTTGTTAAATTTCCCAAACAGATGCTGGTTTTGAATTCCTAGTATATCTAACATTAGCCATTAAATATACCACACCTTCCTTCAACAAGTCCAAGAAGAATTCTCCAGTTATTCCAAGTGCCAAAGTTATAAGGATTCCTAAAAACCTGCAGTTTGAAATACAAAGTTAACAAAATTATTTTTTACACTGAATTCACAACAAATATTTCTTTACTAAGGAATAAGGAATATTTCAAGGGAAGAAGAAATCAAGCCAAGGTATACTTCACATCTGTATCTCTGAACAACAGTGCAATTTTTCTATATCCTTTTCAGACTAATGTCAAACTTTTTTTGGGTTACATTTATTTCATTTTTTTCTTCTTCTTACCTCTGAGGTACAGAGTATGACTCTGAAAATAGTTCAAGAATAGATAGATTAAAGTAAATTGAAACTCAGTGTCAGTAGTTGTAACTCTTACCAAGCCTTGTTTCCTAAAAGTTCTAGCTTCTTCTATGTTAGAATGCCATTCAATGGATGTTTCCCCACGGCCAATAAGATGACAGTGCCATCCTGTCAGTACTCCAAGCGCCAAAGTAACAGTAGAGCAAAGTATAAAAACATACAGAACACTACTGTGCTCGGACTCTGAAACACCATCTGATTCATGGTTAAATTTTTTCTGCTGAAGAAAAAGATCATCATGGTAACTCAAAAACATAAGCTTGATCTAATTGTTATGGGAACAGTTATGATACCAGAAAGACTAAATTAACTTTTTCCTCTATAGCAGGGCAAGCATGTTTCTTTTTTATGTGAGTATTATGTGAGCAATTCAACATTTGGTTCAGCAGCCAGATGAAGCAACATTGCCTTAACGCAAGGTATTACATTCTTTTGTTTACAAATTTAAATAATCCTACTAGCACATGATCTAAAGTTGAGTGTACAAAAGTGCAAGAAAAAATTTCAGGAGCATCATTTAAACCTTTACACCCTCATATCTGTATGCATAATCTCCATACTGTTTTTTCATTACATTTCCTATGGTGGTGACAAGGAGAATTTGTTTAACAATCAAGAGCTTCAGTTGGTGATCATTTCCTTTATTCTCATGATCGTAATGAGGGATTCAGGGATGATATTGTAAGGAGAAATTATATACTAATCATCCTTAGAGGTTAGAGGGATAATCACTGGTAAGCACAAAGAAAAATTAATGTTAACAATCCCATGTTAATTGCCCACTGACAACTAACATCAAAAATCTTGTCACTCACAGTCAAGTGTTATAATTTGCATAATGGCAACCAGCTTACTGCAGTTTCAAATTTAGGAGGTATACCTCATTCAAATTTCATTTCTCTGTCAGAAGGTGCATAAGCTAACTATAATCCCAAGCAAATTAGTAACAATGGTCAGTTATCATGAAGGCCTACATAATGTCTGCCTTCATGTTATAACAACTTCACTCCTAGGTTCTTTTCCCTTACCACCTCAACCCTCCCCTGATAGGGAGTAAATCCCTTTGGGTGTTGGGGGTGAGCAAAGACTCCAGTAATGAGTTTGAAACGTTAATAAATGACCTACATGTAACTTATCAAAAACAGGTTTTGAGGACAATGATGTGGCATTTTGTCCATTGGATACATTAGAGCTTGGAATGAGCTTGTAATTCTACAAAAAGAAGACAAGAGAGTTGAGGAAGAGCAAAATAATTCTCTGATCAGAGAGTACAGTATCATTGACAGAGATACCATTAGATTGTCAATGAACTGACTCCAGGTCTTCATTATGTGGCTAAGATAATATCAATTCATCACTAAGAATAAACATCATCTGAAGCAAAAAAATATTAATTTTTTACAAAATCATGATTTACCACTGAGTAAGCCATCACAACAGTAGGATTTCAATACAGCAATATCACTTTAAAACATTTTACATGTACACTTTCATAAAATGTAATGCCATGTATTCAACAAATGCTGAATTTGTATCTTTAGGATGGGGGATTGAGTTTTCTATTTTGTGGTTTTGGCTATTTATTAGATCAGCCTTTTGCTTTTTGTGCCAAAAAACTGGTTTTGATCTTCACTGCAGTTTGTGGATTTTCTGATTTATAGCATTTGGTTTTCAGTTTTTGTAAAAATCACTAAATAATAAATAGGTTTCCGGTTTTGCCTATTTGGGTCCTGGTTTTTCTTTGATCTGAGAAGCAATTATGTACCTCCACTGATCTCGAAACCTCTGTATACTCCACTTTTCACTGACTGTATCGGATCAATTAGAGTTTTGATAACTGGGATGTGAAAATGTGTCAGTTTTGACGGTTTTGCATGCAGTCTTTGGTTCTGATTGAATTTTTCTAAGGTTTTGCAGTTGGGATGATTGCCCTCCACCTTTAGGAATACATGGTAATTAATTCTACTCAACAGAAAGCATGCAGTGGAACAACTTTAATGAGTCAAAATAACTGCAAGAAGATTAAAGAGAACTTACCCAGTCATGGAAAAAGTGTTTGATGAAAAGATTGCTGGAAGTAACAGTGACATAAATTGTTCCAAGACACATAAAGAAGCAGAATGATATGAAATATCTGTGATTGAAATGGCCCACACAGTTATTAATCCATGCTAATTTATTTCAAATAAGGTCAAGGAAAAAGCAAAAAGTGCAGCTGCAATCTTGGTGAACATGTAGGAAAAATAATTAGAAATTGAGGTGCAAGATAATATTAATCACAGTTTTATTCTGACATGTACAAAACAGATGCAGTTACTTTTAGGACATGCAGAAAAACCTCAAAACCACAAACTGGCTGCTGTTCCTGTAAGCAATCCAGTGTGCTTGTTCTCAAATGTCTATTTTGCATTTTCTTCAAAACATAATTCACCATTCTTTGAACACTTCCAATGTTTATGGTTTCCTGAATTTCACCATAAAATTCGGCGCCATCATAACTAGCAGTTAAAATACCCTAGTACTACAAAATTAATTGTTTGTAAAAAGAGAGATTTATGATATCATTATTATTGAGTATTACTGACAAAAACAATATCACTGTCAAAAAAGAAATACATATCTGAAGGATACGGCAATGGTGATCCATTTTCAAAACACACCTACATAAAAGAAACAAAAGAGGTAGTTAAGGTGGCTCTGCTGGTAAAGAAAAATTTTCAATTGAGTCCTGACATATTATCATATGATTATTAAAATGATATCAATTCAAGATTGCATTGGTTTTTCTTCACTTTGCTTTGTGATTGGTCCAGAAAACTAGTATCAGTCCCTTTCAACTAATCAGTCTACAACCTTTTCCACCCTTTAGACAGTTTGCTTGTTTTTGCTTTGAGCTCTTATTGGCTCTAGGGTATTTTCCTTAGCTCTGATTGGCTGTTGTGGTAACTTTCAAGCATTCCATATACTTAACTCTTTAACCCCTAAGATTGACCAGCACCTAATATCTCCTTACAAGATCACCCCTGAATCACACATTAAGATTGCAATAATAATTAAAAGAAATGATCATCAGCTTAATGACTGTTACAAAAATACTCCTTGTTAGCGCTTTTAGGTTAGGAAATGTGTAGAGAACAGAAAGGAGAATATACATACTGATGCTAAGCTCTTGATTGTTATAAAAATTTTCCTTGTTAGCACCTTTAAGTTAGGAAAATTGTGGAAAACAGAAAGGAGTATATGCACACTGATGCAAGGGTGTAAAGGGTTAATTATAACAGTTGACAGTTAACTGACTGGAGCATGGTAAAATCATTTTCACTTACCTTTTGCAAATTGAGCAGTGGTGTGATCTTGGTGGTTTAATTCGAACACCTTCAATATAATGATAAATTTAATTGAAACCAATTAGTCTCTGCCCAAAAAAAAAAAGAAGTAATAACTCTAAATGACTCTACTCTATCCACATAATTATATTCCTAATTCTTAACAATTTTAAGTTAAGAAAAAAGCATACCTCCTTTAACTCTCAGAAGTGATTGACATGTAACTTCTCCCGATAATATCCATACCTCATCCAGCAAACAGGTCATGAGAATAATAAAACTTATAGGATGGAAGTTGTTATCTTGATCTAACACCAAATTCTCATAACTCATTTACAAGGAAATGTATAGCAGCTAGAGGGGAGGATTAACAATCAGATCTTGGAAGTTGTGAGCAAGTTTTCATTAAAAGGCCTTTTTCAGTGAGAACATAGGCTTATCCAAACAAAATGGGAGTTAGGAGAATTTAAGATAGTCATACAACCATGAGATTGTATATTGAGTTTAAAGAACTTTTAAGAATTCTCACAATCCCCTGATGTTTCGATATGACTGTGCAATGAATGAATCTGACTTTGACTTTTCCTTTAGTAAAGTACTTCATAAAGTTATACACAGACTTGAAATGTTAAAACTGCATTTAGCAGTGCTAGTCTCATTGAAACACACTTAGCAACCAGTGAGAACATGACCACTATGTCAATTATTTTGTATTAAGAGATGGCTATTTTATAGTGAATGAAGGTCTCTGACTTACATTTTTTACAAAGGCTGTATTTCCCACTTTTCAGATCTTCTAAATTAGTTTCCTGCCAAAAAATAGAGATAAATAAGTGCAATAAAATATTTATCTTCAATTTCAGTCCTTTGGATATTTGTTAAAACTTCATCTGGATAATGAATTAATATTGATTGTCTCATTGCACAATAGTTCCCAATGGTGAACAACTTTTATAAACACTTCAATGGCTGGAGAGAGAGAGAGACATGCATCAACAAATTAAATCAATGTGTCAACTCTTTCAGTCCCAGAAGTGATACACATGTAAATTCTCCCTATAATATTTATACATCATCTAACAAACAGGTAACAAGAATACTCAAACTTGTCAGATGGAGGTTTTTATCTTGATCTCATCTCAAATTATTGTAATTTATTTACAAGGAAATGTGTAAAACCCCAAAGGGAAGAATTCTCATTCTGTTCTCAGGAGTTAAAATTAATAATTATATCAATTACCTGAGGGGCTAGACCAGGTGACGTGAAGACAACTTTAAAATAATGAAAAACAATGTTGATCAAAAGCCAATGAGCTGTTATTAAATGAAAGACAACCCAAGGTGTGCTGTACTCTTGGATAACAGGCAACAAATATGCATAATAGATCACCACCACAGACGTAGTAAGACCAATCACGACTAAAAGGAATGCCTGAAATAAACAGTGTACAAAACAAAAGAACATTGTGATCATGAATGCTCATTGTGTATGCTTGGTAGGAGTAAAATACTCAGTGAGATGCAACAATGAAGGACTGAAGTGGGGGAAAGAGGAGGACGAGAAGGAGGGGAGGGGGGGAGGTTTCAAAATTGAACATCCTTTGGAACCCTTGGCAGAGCCGAGGGTGGCAATGGGGAGGTTCTGTTCAAGTTTCAATCACAAATTTTTGAGAAATTCATGCATCACATGCATTTTAAACAGTATTTGATGCGTTAAAAGGAGAAACTTCAAATCTCGTCTCAATTCGCCTTTCTTTAAATACACGCGTCACGTATCAATTTTGGACTTAACTACGCGTCACTTCCACTGTATAAACATGTATAAACACCCTCCTAACTTTTATTAACCATTAACCTACCGTGTCAACTCTTATCTTAAAAGTGTGAGGATTAAATAGCCCAAAGTTTATCCAATCTAGTTTCCCACGATGCGTCTTACATCTCTCGTTTCTCCCGCCCCCAAACCCCATCGCACTCTCCCCATCCCATCACGTCCCAAAGGTACAAGTTAGCTAGTTCCTTACCGGCCCTAAAATCCGAACAAAAAAATCAAAGAGGCAGAATACTGGTTCAAATATGGTGTCAACTACAACTGCTCGAGAAAGCTGTGCGTTGAAAGTCAATGAATGCCACGCAAACAGAAGCACTTTCAAACGTTCCATCGAGATCGACGACCGCAGCGGCGGGTTTGTGATGATCGCGTCTTCTCGAAATAATTACGTTAGCTCCAAAATCACGACAAAATCGCTCAGAATTTTGGCACATTTTCTTTCATGACTCGGTTACTAGGAAATATTCTGGTGGATGAAAATTTCGCATGAATGCCAAAGCCTTGATCATAAATCTTCAGAATTTTCCTCTTCCGACGCCATTTTGTTTACAATGAATGAGAAGGACTAGGCAGGAAGTTAGTATTGTTTCGTTACCAGATCACCTGAGAGACATCGCGATCATTCAGTTAATGTATGCGAGTAATTTTTGACAGCAGAATGCTACCCGACAGTTTTCTAGCTCGACATGAGGCAAGAGCTTAAAGCAAGAACAGGCTGGAAAGAATTAGGGTGTACCTCCCGTTGAAACATCTATTACGCTTTTGTCCCCCTCTCACCCCTCCCATTCCCTTCTTCCACTGGCTCTGTTCGATAGACCATTTATCAGAGTATTGACTAAGCTGACGGGAGGGATAGTGTTATTTGTGCTTCATCTCTGAACCACAACTAACTGCCTCTAATAATTTCTCCCAGTTATCAGCGCCCAACTATTGTCTCAGAGGTACGCGGTCGGAAGGTCTTGCAAGCCATATCGCAGTTTGAATTCTATTCACAAGGATATGCTCTTTGCAATTTCCTCTGTTGCAGTCTCCCTGTGTAAACTCAAATCGTCACCGCATGCAGTCTATATGCTAGAGTTTATTTCTTCTTAGTCTACAGTATAGTGTGGTTCCCCGCGCTAAGTTAGATATCTTTATTTTGTGGCGGGGCCGGTGAGGCTATCACTGTTCTATATTGAACCAAGCACGTGAGATTTTGAGCGCGACATTACAAGCATGCGCAGTCCTTAAACACTAGTAAGTTAGCTACGAGGCCTAAGACCTACTTCGTGAAGTTTTCAAGCATACTGACCATTTTTGTGCTTTCTTTTTTTGGGTTGTTTGTATTTTTTTCTTTTATTTCTCTTTATATTAGATCTATTTTATTCTGCATAGATCCTAGTAGCTATCAAACTGCCTCTTCATCACATCTTTGCGCCATTTAATCCGTCTGTTCTGGAACCAAACTCGGACCTGCGTCTCACTCAACTGAAGCTCACTGGCCAGTTGCAACCGCTGATTACCCGTGATGTACTGACGGCGCAGGAATTCTCCCTCCATCCTCTCGAGTTGATATAAGGTAAACATCGTACGGGGTCGCTTTCTTTTGAAGTGAGTGCTCACTAAACCCTTTTTCTTTTCTTGTGTGGTACTTGCTGGTTCACCAGCTATAGAAACAAGTCCAGAAAGTAAACGATATAATCAAATATCAAAAGTGATTTTAGAATTGTACTGGTTTTGCATTAACACTTACTAAAAACACCTAATCACTTTTCGATCGAATGTCGTAGAGCCAACTCGCCAAAGCAATCACGAAGGCTAACCAGATGAAAGAAAAATACTTTTAAGATTCGATTAAGAGCCAATGAGAACACAAAATAACAACGACCAAACTGCCTAAAGAGCTGGAAAACGTGAACTGCCAGGTCGTGATTCTCATTTGCATCTGATTGGATGAGAAAGTGGCGCGAGTTTTCTGGACAATAACTCAGTTACTTTCAACACTTTCGACACAAAAGTTCTCCAGTCAGCCATTATGGAACTGAAATTTTTAAAGCATTATATTAATTAGAGGAGCAAATTAGTCAGTTGCCGAGAAAATAAACCCGGTTAGTCGACATAGAGGTCAAATATCCCCGCATGTGCATATGAGCGAATATTGTAGAGGCTATGTGACGTATTTTAGGGTGTTAAAACCAAGTTGTCCCATAAACAACTATAGGAGCGAGAACTGACGTCGGAGTGTTTGAAAACCTTACAACTTTTTTGATAAACCTCAAAATAAAATGGGAAATCAGCAGGTTTCTTGTAATCAAATAATCTATGTGCTCATAAAGTCTCAAGTTTTCTCTTCTCGTACTTTGCTTCCCTTTAGAGATTTACATGAATGTATTTTTTTTCTTTCGCATATTTTTCGTGACAGTGGTTGGTTTCTTATGATTTCTTTTAAAATTTTGCGCAGGAAAATGTTGCGCTGCTGACCAAGATTGATCCTCTAGCGCATGCCACATGTTTGACCGCTGTGTTTACAATTCGTAATTCATCAAAGCAACGTTGTCGTCATGGTAGATACACGGAACTTATGGAATGTTTTGCTGTTTTTTTAATTAGATCCTCGAAATTTCCAGAGGCCAAAGCGTTCCCTTCAAAACTTAAAATAAACAAAGAAAAAAAGTCTCGAGAAGTAAGATGCAGGCGATATCAACGGAAAAAGAAAAAGGAAGAGAGATAAAAGCTAGAAAAAACGCTCTACCTGGTTTTTCATTTTTTTAAAAAAACTTCCTATGTATCATTTATGACAAAAAGATTCATTTTATGAACGTTTCAATGTTTTAAGCAGACATTACTTCACTTCTAACGTATCTTTCATTGTATGCCCTCTCATTTTCTTTCTTACATGGTAACTAAATACACTTCTCTTTTTTGGATGCAACTACTTTCCTAAAGTGTGCAGAATAGAATTATCTCGAACTTTTTAAACGCCAATAGACGAGGGAAACCAATTAAAATGCAAATATTTTTCAAGTGAAAAAAAAAAAACAATACAATCAGTGTTATTAACAATTTAACCACGAGAGAATTATCAGCAATTTTAAGAGCACAAACAAAAATTTTTTTTTCGTTCTAGTTCAGTTGTTCCTCGATGTCTCTGCATTTTTATTCCTTTCTTAACAGGTTTTAATCCTATTTGTTATCTTATTTTGTGTTTGGAGTTATTGCTTCATCAACATCGAGTTTGCTTTTTTCTTCCGAAAGCCTTTCAGTTTTTAACCGTATCTTCTATCGATGAATCCTGATATATTTTATTTCTTAATTTACGTAGTTGCTCTTGATGTTAAGTTTTTTTTTTAATGGTGCTAAAGAGTTGTACACATGCATTTTTGTATAAGTGCAGGCTTAACACTCCTCAGAGAATTACAATTGAATAAAACACGAACTTTTTTCTAATAACTGTTTTCTATTGATCTCAATTTTCTTGAGGCTTTAAAGTCTTCCTCTTGCTTTTATTCATACTTGAAAGCTGAAAACGTCACCTACGGTTTTTCAACACCTGTTAAACCGGCCATACATTCAACGATGGCTGTGCTCTTAGCACTTACGGCCTGCGGTGATCACTTATCACGCTCGAAATGTCAGCCTTTAAACTCTTTACGGTGGCCAATTTACGTTATCATCTCAGTTGATAACACTAAATTACCTTATCTTATGGCCAAGTTACGGCCATCCATACCGATTCTTTCATCACACTTGATTACTGAGTTAACCAGAAAGATCATAACGCTTGGTTCAAGAAGCTAACCAACGCCCATGGTATGAAATGGAACGCACCAACTTTACAAAAACAGAGTCAACTTTTGTTTTGCATATCGGCACACCTTCTTAAACCTGACTACATGTGTTCCATTCAAGATAGAATTGAAGTTCTACCAATTGGTATCAGAGATGTGATTCCTCGAGAACATGTCGGCGGATGAGAAGCCAATGTTATGATCATTACGAAAAAATGTTTGCTCTTTAAAAATTTTCAATTTTTGTTTGTGGAAAACAGGTTTGAGAGTTACTTTCACAAATCAATCAAAGGTTTCTCGATTCGAATTACTGAAATTGTGTATGAATCTTTCTTTTTAACGTAGTTTTTCTATTAAAAGTGTATTTACGTTGTGGGAAAACTAAAAAAAATCAAGAGCCCTGCACGACTTACCAACATAGGCTTCTCGATGTCAATTCTAAAAAGTGCGTCAAAATCTTTTATGTTTACGTGATTTTTCTATTAAAAAGCGTATATATGCTGTAGGAAAACTCCAAAAAATTAAGAGCCCTGCACGACTCACCAACAAAGGTTTCTCGATGTGAATTCATAAAAGTGTGTCAGAATCTCTCTTGTTTACTAAACTTTTCTGTTAAAAAGCGAATTTATGTTGTAGGAAAACTCAAAAAACATTCAGAGCCGTGCACGACTTACCGAAAAGTTCTGCTTTCCGCACCTCTGTCATCGCTGTTGATTTTTCTCGATTATCGAAGCTGTCCGATACTTTTGAGCTGTTGTTTCGCCTCCGTTCCACGAGCCCTTTAAGTTTAGCTTCAACAGAGGAGTCTGTTTTTTTGATGTAGGAGGCAGTGCTGGTTAAGGAAGGCATGCTTACCTCTGACGTCTTCTCGCCTCCAAGAAGCGACTCGATAGAGAAAGATGACTGAAATGGCTTCTGCAACTGGCTTTCGAAGTGGGGTCGAAAGTGCGGCTGGTACTGATGGCTTTGTGGCGGATAGCTGAGGGCTGTAGGCTGGCAGAAGCATTGTAGATAGCTGTAATAGTACGGGTGTTCCCTGTTGTAAGCCTGCATTTCAGAATTTACAGCGCACTTTCGTTGAGTCCTGGTTCGCGATCGTCAATTGTAAACTGCGTCCAACGTGTATGTTAACAGGTTCACGAAAGTTCTAAATTGTAACTCTTTAAGTAGATGCTTATTTTTTAAATGGAATTCATAACTATAAATCATCCGGTAATCAATTGTTGGTCGCTGCGACATTAGACAAAGGAGAATGGAGATGAACAAAGATCTTAAGGAAAATCGATAAATGGAACGTACATTTCGGAATCCCTTTACAGTGAAATGACTTCGCTGTGTGTGCAAAAAAATCAATTCTTGGCTGCCGTGGCTAAATTTAACTTCTTTAATGCAAAAAAAAGCATTAGATAGTTATTTTACTTTAATCAACAAAAGATACGCCTTTTGATGGCGTGGCCCCCCAGAGGGATGTAATACAGGCCGATGGTCTTTATTGATATTCCCCCCTGAGGGATGTAATACAGGGATAGTCTTTATTGATATTCATGGTCATCCAGAACTAAAGCAAGTCAAGCACTCATTACTTTACTGATCTACAGCACGTTAAAGAGGATAGCTAAAAAGAGTAGATTACAAATAAAGCATGCTTGAATGCATTATGTGAAGAAAAAAATTGCTGTGTTATTTCTCGCTCACTGGAAGGTTTCTCCACCTGTTCCTCGGCTTTGTTGAAAGGCCGTCTTCCAGAAATTAAACTGTGCCTATTGTTAAAAAAATACTGAGTTAATGTATAAAACTGGGGAATATGATTGCAAAAGATCCTTTCTTGATTTAACTTCAATATTAATTCGCCCTTGGTTTTCATATATTTTGCACTGACCAAAAAGAAAAAGCGAAACCTCAACTCTCTGTCAACTTTGGACAAATACTGGAGTTGTCTACCACTTTCCTTATCACACCTATCTCGCGCGAAAACAGTGTAAATTATTGAATTATTATCAACCGCAAATTTGATAATTGTTCTCCCAATCTGGCATTGTTGACGAGTATATTCTCATATATATCAAATCACATAAAAAGTATCTGTTTACTTAAACATAAATAAATAAACCGAAAGCAACTAGTTAAAACAAAAAAGGACACTCCGTGTACGTATTTTATGACCTTCCGTGAAATATCAGAGCTTCTCTGTTTAACAACCTAGGCAACCAAACACTGAAAAATGCATTTAAACTGAAATAACAAATTTCACACGTGCACCTTACCTTAAACAATATGTTCTTGTCTCCATTGTTCGATTCATGCGGGCGGTAAGATTAAAACGCCATTTCAGAGCGAAACGTTTACATATGCAAACAGAAACTGCATGCATGGGTTGGTTCAGAAACAGCTTAAAAGTGCAGAACTTTAGGATGGAGCGAGTCAGAATGGTACAGTTTGAATTTATTTAGTGGGAATTGATGAAAATGAAATTGGTCATACATATATTCATTGAGTAACGTTTTCACAAGTTTGAAATTTGGCAATGCCCGAAATTATCATGCAAGTAACCTCTCAATTAGCATACAAACTTCCTTATTTTAGTCATAACATTTTACAATTTTTATTTTATTTGAGCTTGAATAAGTCATGTTAACCATCTAAATTTTGACAAACATGTTATAAACGCCTTTTCGTCGCTTTGTGAAAAACATTTGGTACCACTATTTCCCCGGACCGGATTCGAATCAAATATAACAATTATAGTAAACACAAGCTTTTTATCCACAGGAAAGAAAGGTGTTAGAACACTTCTTAGTGTGAACGAAAAGGCTGTGGTAAAGACTGGAAAGCACTTTCTCATCAATGAATAGATTCCTTGAGTCTGCCTGGTGGCTTATTCAATCTTTGCTTGATAATTATCTTCGGTGTTACCTTTGTGAATCATCTCAGCTGGAATAAAGGAACCAAAACTCTAACTGGTTATAAAAGAGAAATACATCGCGTTGAATGTGAACCACAAAAATTGGTGCGTGCTTGTAGCCTAGGCAGGAACAGAAACAATTCAAAGTTTTTAAACTTGTTGCACCAATTCCCATGATTTATGGGAACGACGAAATCAAGCAAATTCGAAAGACGTGACGCAGGTTATAACCATAGAGTCGAAAACGATAGCTGTAATTAACCAAGTAAACCAGGAACATTCAATTTAAAACAAAAAAACATGGGCTGTTTTTGGCTTAAGTCAATTTCCATTGTTCATCAAAAAAGGTTTGGCAAAACCATCATTTGACATCGGCTTGAGAAGGAGGAATATAAAGTGAAATCCTCTTCCACTATATGGATGAACATGAAGCAGCTAAAGAGATCACCACTTGTATTGGTTGGCCTGTGTGATTAAAACAAACGTCATAGTTTTACCTAAACAATGTTAAATGTTTCTCTATGAACTCTGTCCTTTTTAACTCTCTAAGCCTGCCTTGGCCTTAATCCCTTTTTTTTTTCTTTTTTGGACACCACGTGTCTTAGACGAAGTTGTCGTGTCTTTTTTTTTTCAAAAAAGTTTCGCTGAGGGAAACGTGAACATCTGAGTGATATGTCCCTATTTCCGGCGATATAACCATGCATAAACCCCACAAATTTTAAGATAGTGTCAGTCCTTTGATGTTGATTTCTTTCGAGCATCATGGGATTAAATCGATCCGGTGGTTTAATTTTATTAATTGGGAGCTGAAAACAAGGCGCTTACAACACAGAGAAAACAAATATAAGAGATCTCCCTTTGAAAAAGAAACGATTCTACTTTAAAGGGACTTCTGTTGTTAGCATAATCTGTCTATCCAGTCAAAACGCTTTGCAACAGAAATCAGTCATTAGCTTCACTCAAAAATTTTCCACAGTTTGCTAATTTATTCTATTTAAGTACTTAAATGTCTGCCCTTTGATCTTTTGTGTCACTATTTAAAACGTTTACATCAAAGAAGAGACTCTCTATAAAATTCGCCACTCCATTTTGCATCCAGCAAGTGAAAGGAATAATTATGCCTTAACAAAGAACGAGAGAAACGAAAAAAATAATACCCGTGACACGAAAATGTGAGTTGTTTATCGTATACAGTATTTGCCATTGCAAGGAAAAACTACAGACATCTCGGAACAGTCCAGCTCCCTACGCATGCGGATAAGCGCTATATAAGTGTTAAATGTTGAAAATGTTACTCATCAGTAACGTTCTATTTTCAGTTATTGACGTCTTCTGTCTTCATGTTGCCGCCAGCGTCTGGCTCCTTCTGTTGCCTGACCTTATTCCTTTCTTGCTCTATGAGCTGTTTCCTCCATTTTATTCGACGATTTTGAAACCAAACTTTGACCTGAGTTTCTGTCAATCCAAGCTCTTTTGACAGATAAAACCGTTGCCCTCCCACCATGTATTGCTGGCGTGTAAACTCTCTCTCCAGGCGCTCCAGCTGCTCCACGGTAAAAATCGTGCGCATGCGTTTTGGTTTCTCACCGGTCCAGTCGATTTCATCGCCCTGTGAGATGAAATTTCCTGTGGCGATTAAGAAAAGAATCAAATGAAATTAAATCATCGGAAATGAGCATTTAAACACGCAGGAAAGGAAGTATCTCATCGATTATGAAACTTCTAATTAGCAGAGTATTAGCTTCAAAGGAGCAAAAATAGTAAATTGTAATAAATTGTAAAATCATCGCATGAAATTGTAAAAATTACTCTCAAATTCACATTTTACGATTAAAAATGAAGACATGCAAACTGCTTTGGAACTGACTTGACAAGAAGATTTTTCATAATATTTAAAACTTCGCTTGTTTTGAAATCAAATTTACCATCTCAATGAAAAACTAGAAAAAACAGACAAAGTCGTAAAAGTAGATCTTTAAAGGAAAGATTAAGATTTTATAAAGAATTATAACAAAAGCTTTGCTATTTTTATTTTTATAGAAGAAAACAAGAGAAATAAATAGCAATGTACTTCCTGATAGATTTGAACTGAGGCTTTTTTTAATTTCTTCAAGAACTCTAGTCCACTCGGCCTTGGAGACGTTTTCTAAACCATGGGCGACACACATCGTCTGCTTTTATAAGTAGACTTCCACATTTTAAGTACAAGGAAAATCTTCTTCTTCTGAAAATCGATGAGTATTACGAATATTTCGCGTCTAAACAATCCAAAACACATCACAAATCAAGAACTCGGTCTATTTTTTATCGGACTGGCAGTTTGCAATTTGCAAAATATTGAAAGGGCGTCCAACACGAACCGTAAGTTGCTCAGATCCCAAAAAATCGAAATAGCCAGATTATGCCGATCTGATTTTTTTTTTTTTTTACCATCTCAACATTTACTGTGAAAAGATCAGACTCGATCAACCTACCGCTTGTTGGAACGTTTCCTCTCGCTAACAAAGAAAACTGCTCCATGCTAAAACTCTGCCTTCGTAAACTTTCGAGATAGTTAGATCCAAAAGGAAACTCAGATCTTTCACTCTGAAACTGTGTGGCAGAGTTACTTGAGACCAAATTCATGTTCAGAGTTGTAAATTTCTCCATGCTCGGCTTCACTTCGGGCTTTCTCTCGTCCTTTCGGCTAAGAAGAGATTCGATTGTAAATGAAGGTCTTCGAGCCTCAGCGCTAGGCTCGACCAGTGAGGATTCGCTGTTCCGGCTGGGGTCACGGGAGGTGCAAATTTCACAAGTGCATTGCTGGCAGCCAGCCCAATAGACAGGCAAAAATTGATTTGTGGTGGTGTTCCTGTAATCCTGCATTTGCGAAGCGATCTTACAAGACAGGCCTAGCCTGAGTTTCTCTTGCCTAAGAATGGGATTCTTGACTTGTGCAGGCAGGAAGTTCGACAGTTTTCAACCTCCCTTGTTGTTCAATTTGTAGCGTGTACCGCTTGGCGACTTTACGAACTGATTGTGAACACTTTATGGGCAAATGATACAATTCAATAATTCATTTTCATCTAATTAATCCACAGGCATGCTGGTTTATGAAATATCCCAAAGGAAATCTTTTGTAATTTCCCGTTCCATTGTCAAATTACCTTGGTCCGTTAACAGAGTGAAATTTGAGCGAAGATGACGGGAAAAAGGAAATCTAAGTCCTTACTTTTTTTCCATGTTTTATTATTGATAAGGAAAATAAGGATATCTTTAAGACAAAAAGAGAAAAATTATTTCAGCTGTACCATCAACTGATGATTCGAAATTAACACATTGCTTAATCTTTGTAGGTGGTAGTTCCTAATTAGAGAACGCAAAATAGCCAAATTTAAAACTGCGTGAGAGACTTCTCCAGCGCTAATTGCCATCGTAGTCCAAATGAAAGTGATTAGAAAGAATTATTCAAAAGTTTAAACTAAACATAAACAAGACACAAACCTGCTAAAGAAAACTAAAATACTTCTTCTTTTCAAAGTTCGATGAAAAAGGAAATGATTGTCAACTGAACCTGATTGAGAAAAACACAAATACACGCATTTGATACATCTGCGTTCTTTCATTATGTTTAGATTACCGACGGGCAGTAAATTAATTTAAACCGCAGGTTGTTCCACTCTCTTAATAAAAGCTTTCCTATTTATGTATGAGAGGAAGGACTTTTCATTATAGTTCTTGAACAAGTTTGTTTAAATCAGAGGTGTAAACTTCATACACATACACATATACACAAAAAGGAAACGATGAAATTTAATTTGAGCCTTAATTCAGGTTAAAAATTAGAATATCAACTGAGATTTTGCATAATAGATAGATGTATTGTGAAAATCGTGAGGGAAATCTCGCATTGCCGTGAATTAGTTTAGATTGGTTCTATTGCTTCACCTTCTTTGAAGAAAGGGCGATTAGCGGGTTTCAAACGACTCTTTTAACCCTGACAGGAAATTTATCTGAACGTCAGGCCAATCGGAGAAAAGCTCATCGATTCATGACGAATATATACGGCCACAAAGCCAGATGGGTGTAATATCTGTAGTGGGTCTCTCTTTCCAGGAACTTGTGGAAAGATATTTTCATTCCATTCTCTTCGTAAACCTTCTTTGTACACTCTGAAACAAAACAGATTTTAGGCATGGGCCCAGTTGTTCGAAGGCCGACTAGCGCTAATCCATGGTCCAATTTTATCCTAGCATGAGATTTTTTATTCCTCTGATAATTTTTTCTATTCCTTTTAGAGCATTCTGTCATCAGAAAAAAAATTGTACTGAATTTCCTTTTAAAGCTTTCAACCCTGAAATCAGATTTCACACTAACTCTGGGTTACCTTAACCAGACTACGAACAACTCGACCATGATTTTCTTATTAGCATCAGTAAACACTAAAAATAGTGGCCCTCGATGCCTCGTTCTGATGCAACTCGACCCAGATCATCTGAGGCGGCTGCCATTATATCGCGCCCAGGTTACCAAGGTATGTTGTATATCGCCTTGCTGCGTAACAACACAGCGGTGTCAAATTTGTTTCTACTTCTGAGTACAAGAAAAAAGAAGCAGTGAGAAAATATGGAGGAAAAAATGAAGCAAAAAAATATATGTAAAATTGAAGAGAATTTCGAACTCTCATTGTATCTGAACGCTAACTTTATCTTTTTATCCGATCTTGGTAGTACACTGAATCAATATCAAGGAATGACAAACAAAATACGTCAATATAATTTTAGCAAAGTTTTCTGGTAGTTTTAATAAGATTGTCAGTTCATTTGCATAAACTTAAGTAAGTTCGTGCATGTCAACTGATATCAGAGCCTCAGAGAATGGCTTATGGTGCCCCAGACATTCCAGCTTGTTCTCTAGCGGAGTCAAATTTTGGCAGCCAAGTGAGCCCGGGACCTTTGCAAGAAGGCCTCGGAAGGCTTTTTTTTTGGGAAGAGAAAGGAAAAAAAAAGGACAAAGAAAGAGCCAAATTCTCCAAGTTCGGCGCAGGCTTGCTATTCGAAACGAGAAAGAAGAACACATCCTTTGCTTTGACACTTAATATGTTGACAACAACTCTTCACAAAAACAATGCGATCAGACGACAGTTATATCTGATACCTCTTTGCATGATGTATATTACATTCCTTTCCACACCCAGCCAGTTGCAAGACAAAAACGTTGCTTGTAGGCAATTTAATGCGTCTAACAGAATACAAATCTTTCGGAGTTTGGTTCGGAAATTTGGGCCCTTGAAATTAAGGTTAGTACTGTTAGTAAGCCTTGCTACCTTGTTTAACCTCAAACGTAAGTAATGTGTATTTATTAGTATGAGTGATCAACTTACCACGGAGACACCTCGCCATTCTGGTTTCCACAACCTACTTTATTTCGATTCCTAATGAACGATCTCCTGCTCGCTCGCCATTCTGGTTTCCACGACCTACTTTATTTCGGGTTCTTATCAACGATCTCCTGCACCAAACAAAAGAATGCCCGGTCAAAACATTCAGACCGGGTTGAGCTTCCGCAACTCACGAGTCAAAATAAAATTCCATTGTTGATCTCCCCAAAGTGATTAAGATCGACTGGAATTATTCCAATGCTGAAATTACGGTTTTACTCTTGAGAAATGGTAAATCCGGCACAAGTAAAGTTCTGAGAAAAAATCAAAGCTGATGCATAACCGATGTTATTTGCAGCTAAGCATGGCTTGAGAAAACAATAGAACCGATAAGTATCTCTTTTGACTCGAATGAGACTCCGTACTTTACATAGAAGTATTTTAATTGATTTTTAAAACTCGGCTGATCTGCAGAGTGGCGCTTTAAGATTTTTAGTGAGCTGTGGGAAAAAAAAACACCTCTATAATTCTTTCCTTCCATCTCCATCGACGCAACTTTGTTATATTACTTTGGCACATGTTTCCTAATCTCTTTCGTCACGCAACGCGTGTTAGGGAGACTATGGTCTCCTCCACAGCCGTCATTCGGTCTCTCCCCTCTCTAGGGCTTGCGAGGTTTTTTTTTTTTTTTTAACGAGGGTCCATATGTAGTTCATCATTTATTGACTCGGATCACAGCCCCCGCTATTTTCACCTTGACCTCTGAGAATAACTCGCCACTTTTTTTTTTTATTTCAGAACAATATGGCCGACAGTTCTGCAACAGAGAAGACGAGACGTTCATTTGAGTTTGACGATATTTTTGAACACGTATCCTCCTTTGGAAAATACCAAAAAATCTTATACTTCTGCACTTTATTGTTTGTTTTTCCAGTAACAAACCAGTTCTCTTTGTTAGTGTTTGGTTTTGGTACTCCTAAGTTTCAGTGTGTCACACCAAATGTCACGTGCGAGGCAAGGAAATGTTGTGACGGATGTCACGCTTATGAATTTATGGGACCTCTTCAGAGCACCGTGTCTGAGGTAAAACTTTTTTCTGGGGATGAGGAGGGGGGGGGGGGTGAACAGTGGCTTAGCCAGGCCAAACATGTACGTGTGGCCATGTGTGCAGGCAGGCCAACAAACGGATAGGCATACACGCAGGAAGTGAGACGAGCATATACACGGGCTGACAAACAAGCAAATGATCTGATAAACAGACGGACAAAGAGGAAGGCGAAGAACTAACATGAAGGCAGACAGACATTGAGGCAGACGGACAGAAGGTTGACCTAGGATTATTTCAATTAAATAATCATTTCCTTTCTTTTCATTTATGTTTAAGTGGAACTTGATTTGTAATCGCGCGTTCCTGGGTGCAACGATACAGTCCTGTTTCTTTGCTGGAATGTTGGTAGGTTCACTTGTGACCGGGATGATTTCAGACGCTTGGGGCCGAAAGAAATGTATCTTCATCTGCAATGCAATCATGGTAAGATGGCCGTAACCACGGCTTAGTCATTAATCAGCAATGGGCTCCTGGCAATGTTAATTTTTACTTTTATATGATCCAACGGGCAAATCGGGTCTATGAGATCCTTTGAGGTGGAAAGTTTGAATTTCACGCCTCTACTGGCGACTTAAACTGAATCATTTATATTTGTTTACCTTGATTCATTGTAATTTTTCAGTTGATTACCGGCTTTGCTTCAGCTTTTGTTCATTCCATTCCCTTATTCGCGGTTCTTCGCTTCATGGTTGGTTTTGGATTGACTGGAGTGATGCTCTCCCTTTACATTTACGGAATGGAATTGGTTGGCCCGAATAGTAGAACAGCTGCTGGAAATATTACGTACTTTTACTACAATGGCTTTCAAATGTTGTTTGTCCTCATCGCTTATCTTGAACGCGACTGGAGGAATCTGAGTTTGATAGCTAGTGTTCCGGCTGCTTTGCTATTCCCATTTTGGAAGTACGTACATAATAACAACGTGTTCCTTTTATCTCTGTCTCTCTCGCTTGCTTCTTTGTTTGCTGACTGCCAGACAGGTTCGCCGACTCACCGACTCACCGACTCACAGGCTCACAGACTCACAGACTCACAGACTCACAGACTCACAGACTCACAGACTCACAGACTCACAGACTCACAGACTCACAGACTCACAGACTCACAGACTCACAGACTCACAGACTCACAGACTCACAGACTCACAGACTCACAGACTCATGACTCGCCGACTCGCTGACTCGCCGACTCGCCGACTCGCCGACTCGCCGACTCGCCGACTCGCCGACTCGCCGACTCGCCGACTCGCTGACTCGCTGAATCGCCGACTCATTGGTTGGCTAACTGACTAAATGACTCGTTCACTCACTCAATGAGTGATTGGCTAGCTCACTGACTGACCGATCCACTGGCTCACTGACTAACTGACAAATTGGCTGACTGATTGGCCAGCTAATTTGCTGACTGACGATTTGAGTTACAGACTTATTGACTGGCTGGCAGACTGACAGACTGACTCGCCAGCTGGCTAACTGACTGGCCTTCTGACTGACACTCCTAGAATGAGACTGTTTTGTTGACTAACATTCTAACCAAAATCCACCAATCTTTAGAGTGATGGACTAACAAAATCTGATTTGCAATTCCATAGGCTTATTCCAGAATCCCCCCGATGGCTTGTCGCTCACGACCAACTGGACGAGGCTAAATCCATCATCGAGGCTTTTGGGAGCAAAGATGAGAAACCTTTAGATTCGGAGGTGATAAGATCTCTGTTGGAGGAAGTGAGAAGGGAACAGATCGAGCGAGAAAAGACAGCTAAAAAGTATAATCCCATCCACATGTTTCTTACGCCAAAGCTTAGGAAATGGACAGCAATCATCTGTTATGAATGGTATGATAAAAAAACAAACAAACAAACAAACAAATATGTATATTATCGTGTGCATGTGCTTTTTTTAATCCGATAAGGGTAACTAAAAGTTAGTCGTGAGGTACTTGTGCTTTCATCCAATACGTTGTTATTGCTATCACTTAATTTAGAGAAGGTCAACATAGTCGTTTTCTAAGGGACCGGTCTCTGTCCCCAGGGTCTCTCCTCCTAAGGAGAGGGTGTTGGAGGATTTTGGTTGCGTCACGGTCAAATTTACCATAAGGATCAATCATATTCTTGTGGTTGCCCCACTTTAGAAGTTAATTGGCAGTCAATTCTCTATAGTCCCCTATTTCTACTCTGTTGTTAGCGCCGGATGACTGATACCCCCTCCATTCTTCTTGAAAACCAAGAGCTACTCCAAAAATCCTCCTCCCCCCTCCCCTCTCTGACGAAAAAAAGTGAATGGTCCCTACAAAAATGCATCCCCGGTGTTAGGAACGGCCCTAAAAGAGTTTTTATCTGTTGCTCACGCAGGTTTGTGGTAGCCTTGGTCAGTTTTGGGATGTTCATATTCATCTCCCAATTGGTCGGTGACCTCTATATTAATTACGTTGTCATGGAGATCCTCACAATTGTCCGAATACCTGTCACGTGGATTCTATATTTGAAGTAAGCATGGACGTTTTTTCTACATCAAGTATTGCGACTTTTTAAACTTCAATCCTTTCCATTTTCAGCTCCGCAGGAAATATTTTATCTTAGATTGCAGTAAGATAAGTAACACATTGATTTATCAAATAAACGGTGTTTTCTTGATTTAACAACAAATTCTCATTGAACAAAATCGAAAATTTGCAAGGAAAGAAAGGAAAAAAGGGGATTTGAATTTTGGACATACCACCACCTTTGGGTGTTCAAGCGTTGTGCTGTTAGCTGTGGGTCAAATGAAAAAATGACTGGACGCCACATCGTATGGAAAAGTGTCGATCATAATTACCTTTGGGCGGCTGTATGTCAGGTTTCTGTTGCTGGGGATTCTTATTGTGATTGTATTATACTCAGATTTGGTCGCCGTATTTGTCATGGCATTATCATGATCCTCGTAGGCGCTATCTTTCTCGTGGTTTTGCTGGTGCACAAAGGTAAGGTAATACATTATAACAAACTTAAGCGTGTAGAGTAATCTAACATTGCATTTGGGATGCGTTACTTCGCATCAATCCCACTTTACCATCTCAGTAAATTGAACGCAACAACAATGCTAATCGGATCATGTTTTGCTGCACCTCGGGCAGTTTTCTGTTCTTTACTTTGAGTTCTAACTTGCTCTTTTACAAATTTCTCTTTGGTTTTGAATTACGACACTCGTCTCCAGGCTTTCACTCTTGCATCCTTGACCGCGTGATGTCTGGAAAGGAGTATAGTAAATGTGGACCTGAGTGCTATTCTTTTATGTTCAAGTAAAAGTCATTTCTTTGGACTCGACAATATGTTAAAAAAAAACACAAAAACTTTCTCTTAAAAAATTAGACCATGAGGGCTGGTTAGCATGCTTCGCTATCTCGTTGAGTGTCTTTTGGTGACATCAAAACAAGTTCCAGACTTGACCGAACCAGGGTCTCTTAATGGTCAGCTGAGCGAAGCCTTTTGTATCAATATCTTTCCAGAATCTGACGTGGCAACAACGGTATTGTCCCTCTTTGGATACCTGTTGATCGACTGCACTTGGACAAGTATTTACTTGATGACCTCTGAGTTGTTTCCAACCGTTCTCAGGTAATCATGGAGGGCAAATTCATTTGAACGTCTGCATTTGATGAGGCACTTGTTTTGTTTTCCGCTGCGCAGTGTAATTGGTCTTGAAAACTCGTACAACATACCTTTTTTTATCTCAATAGAAACACGGGTCAAGGTACAGGGTCAACTAGTGCACGGATTGGTGGAATCTTGGCGCCTTATGTTGTTTTGATGGTAAGAAACCGTCCGTTTTTTTCCATGAAATACATACCCCTTACCAACCAAGTTCGAGGTGCATTCTATTAGTAACGGACCAAGTTAATTTTCCCGCTCGGATTTATGACCCATGTACGAAGTGCGCATGCTATAAATCCAAGTCTAAAAAAAAAAGCAAGGTTCCATAACTTACAATTTGCGGACCTAGAAAACGAAGCCAGCGAGATCTTCATTATATCTCTGAGTTCAAATAGAGGGGGGAAATTTCGCTTGAAACAGATTTTTTAATTTAGCGTGTCTTATGGTGAAATCGACCAATCATAACGCACGTACTCACTTAGAGATATAATTTAAAAAAAACCTTTTACACAACAAGCATCAACGGCCCAAGATGTCGCCACTCGGCTTATCTTCATCTTGCAAACAAGCTTCAAGAGCTGTGCGATCTCAAACACTTTTGAAATGATTTTATCGATCTTCTCCCTCCAGAGTCAGCTTCCAGGCCTCAGCATTGTCTTCCCAGTTGTGGTTTTTGGCGTGGTTGCAACGCTCGCTGGGATTTTAATGTATTGGATTCCAGAGACACTCTTTTCTCCTATGCACCAAACCATGGAAGAAGCTGAGGCGGCCGAAGACGATTATGGGATACCTTACTGTGGGAAAAGGATTGAGCTGCGCAGGCGCAAAAAGGCGAATGATGTAGAAGTAGTATGGCTTTAAAGAGGCTAACGAGTAAATAGTTGAGGCCTTGGGGGCAACTTTTCTGTTGCAGGGAGGTTTACTTTTATACGTGCAAATTCAGCATTCATTTATAGTTTTTATAATTAGATATTTTTTGCTGGCTTAGAACAGCAGGAATGTTAATACAGGTTGTTTTATGTGAAATGAGAGCGATTGGTATCGTTTACCTCGTAATTAGAGACCAGTCATTACTCATCGCCCGGGGGATGATATTCTAGTGATCCTCCCTCATTGGCAGACAATTTTCTATAGGCACCCCCCCGTTTGTACCCTGCAAGTGACGAGTGATCCCCCTCCGTTCCCCTTAAAAACCACGTGATCCTCCCCAAACATCCTCCCCCCTTCCCAGGTGATAAATATTGACTGGTGCTTTAGGTACCTAATTATTAATCTCGTATCCAGATCTTGCCGTATAATTGTTACTGCTTGGCCGTATGAGACTACTCAATTATAATATATCAAATATGGAAAAGGGATAAGTAACAAATAGGTTATATATATAGCTATAATATAGAATCACCCACGAAAGCAAATATTAAGGAGTTTGTAACTCATGATAAACGTATAGTAGTGTGTTAAATTCAGTATTGTACCTTTAATTTTTGCTTTGCTTTAGGATTCAATATCTCGTTATAAGAGCTGTTGGTATAATACCTGTAAGCTGAATTTTAAAAACTAACTTTGTTTTACTCAAAACTAAAAGAAAACTGAAACGCTGTTTTTTTGTTTTGTTTTGTTTTGTTGTTTTTTTGTTTTGTTTTGTTTTGTTGTTTTTTTGTTTGTGTTGTTTTGTTTTTAACCCTGGGCAATAGAAGGTAAATTCTTGCCCTAGAAGGCTAGAATTAATTCATTGACTGAAAAAAGTTTCCTTCCCATAAATCCTTGCGCACGATTTATATACTCTCGAAGACATTACAAGATTATTTGGCTTTATAGAGTTGATAATGTCCACCGTCCGCCGTCCACCGTCCACCGTCCCCGTTTCTTTGACGTGTCGAGCGTTAGACCTTCGTCAGGGCATATGCTAACATCCGAAACAGCAAAACGAAAATCAAGAAACAAGTAAAAGCACCAAAATGACCAAAACGAAACAACGCGGCGAAACGACTAAGAAAAGAGCATAAGAAGTCAATAACAAACAGGTAAAAGGGGTGTAAAGGGGGGGGACGTTCTTGAAAACGAGTAGTGCGAGATAAACAAGTCATTCCCAATCTTTCATTACTTTAATGGTTAACAATGGTTATAACAGTCTAAGACGCTTATACAATAGCTTTATTTACTTTATTTCAATAAGAATATTCGAAATAGCAAGATCTTTACAGCTAAAGTTCTAAGCTGAGACTACAAATAAAAAAAAAAACAGACGGAAAATCGCGACTAAATGCGTGTAATCAGGTATAAGTAGGTTATATCAATTAAAAAAAAAAGGCCTTTATATGATGATTAATATTCATAAACTAATCTGGGTGAGGTGAGTCTGTTTTTACTCACTTTTTATCAGGGAAACAACGGCACCCTATCTATTTGTCCTTCCAATGGAGAGAGACACTACACTATAAGACGCACTGATTTCATCCTATAATCAAACATAGGCTACCGTAATTTGTGAGTGATTTCTCTAAAAACGCCTCCCATCTACCGGGCAAATAGATTTTGCTCTACCTTAAGCAACGCGTAATATTTGTGTAACTACCATCCAATGAAATTAAATGAGATTCTGTGCTTGGTTATAATTATTTATCCTCTATATCCTACGGCTTCGAATAACTCTAAGCTAATTTAAGGGCCTGTTACAAATTAAAGCCTGTTCATAGTAAGAATAACACCGACAGGTTTGAAATCTAGAAAACAACTCGTTGATTTGCCACAGTATTTGATATGCTCTTTCTCGTAAGCTATAGAAAAGGGCAGCTGTTTTGTGGTCCAGAATTGATTCGTGGTCATGACTGGGTCCAAAATGCTGCAGCTAAAAATCGCTCCGTTTGTTGCAAGCATTGCAATAGTAAAACTAGCTAGGTGTACGTTTTCGTGAAGCTTTTTGGCAACAGATAGGGAATCGAAAAGTTTCAGCTCGAAGGCATTAAGCACAAAACCCAGCGTGAGACAGACCATTAGAACAACTACTACGTATGATAAGTCTATGTTCTTACGCTCAGTAAATAGAAAAACTCAATCTTGTTGACAGATGTGAGTATCTTTTCAGTAAAGTAGTTTGTCCATCATCGTGATCAACACAGCGATGGTTCCATAAAAGACAATTTTACCACCTGAGATCCTCACCGCACCATTCCAGTTTGGAGGCTTGTCTGACATTGCCAGTGTCTGGGTGCTGGTACAGGCTTTATCAGAACACGAGGCCAAGCTCTTCACCCAGATATTGTTTCCATCCACTTTCAAAGTTAGTACTCCCTTTTGTACAGCTGAGGCAAAATCTTGGATGGTCTCGTTTAAGTTAAAGGATGGAGTGGATGTAATGGCGATACCCAGGGCTTTCTTATCAACTAATAAGACAACAATTTCCATGTTATCTGGAGCTTCAACTCTCTCAACGTAGGCGAGCCAGTCCATTACGTCTGAGTTCCACTTCAAGGCACTCGCAATGGCTGAGGCAACACCGTCTGCGAATCGACTTTGAGCATCAGATTCAGGAAGATTATAAGTTGAGCGCCTTGATCGCGGAATAAACTTTTTAATCTTCAGCTTGGTCACCTGTACTGGGCTATCTTTCTGCTTTCTGAAGCATTTCTTGATGGAGGCAAACCGTCCACATTTCGCACTTATGTTCCACATTCCCTTGAGAGATTCCCAGAATGTACCGACTTTGACAAAGGAACCCTTGATGGTCCAAAAGATCTGGTTGTAATCGGAGCAGTCAAGATCACAGACGGACGGCGCACCATTTCCTGGATTCAAGTAACATGGTGTATGAGAGGCAAACGCTCTTTTTCGTATCTCCTTACAGGATGGATTGTCGACCCATGGCCGCAATAGTGGCACCAGTGAGACTTGGAGGCATTTACGAACTCCGTTAACCCAGTTTCGCCCGCTTAGACTGAACTTTGCAAAGTTTTCGTCATACAACTTGCAAAAATGTTCAGCGTATTTGATTGCATATTGATTACTTGTAGCTTCACAGGGATACCTCCTCTCCAGGCAGTTGCGATACCAATCACATGAATCCCCTGGTGGACTATAGCACTCTGGAGGCAGTAATGTGGTAGGTGTGAGAGTGTTTGGATATGAGGTTGGATTGCTGGGGGTACAGGAACAATCACTCGTCACTGATCCATACTCCTTGTTGTGCACTTCAATCATACACTGGTACCAGCAATAAATTCTAGTTTGGTCTGCACACTGGTATTTTTGTTTGCTCTTTTGCTTGATGTATGTATCCGTCAAGCACGTCGCCCACTGGTATTCGTTATTGTAGAAGCTTAATTGAATGCATTCAAACGTTCCAGCGGGTCCAGACCACTTGTCACACTGGGAGGCCCATCCAAACTCGATCACAAACAATAGCATAAACGTAAGAGAAAGCATCGTTCAAAGCTGCAACCTGGGAAATAAATTAGATCATTATAAGATTTAGTATCCATTCACATATCTGCAGTGCAGAAAAGAATACAGTGGCAGCCCGCTAACTCGAACACCCAAGAGAAACGGAAGATGGTTCGAGTTGAAGGGGATTCCAGTTTCCCGCGTTGTTTTGAATATTTGTATTTTTAATGATTAATGGGGAATAATGTTTTTACCATTCTCACACAAACAACAGTAATTTCGGTACATTTAGTTTGCTCTAGCAAAGGCAGCCCAGGCTCCAGCTGTGAGATGATCATCTTGCGAGATAAGAGTCATGGCAAAAATATAGGAGTCTGTATAGGAATATTTACGATTAATATTTATATTTATTTTATTTATACTGTATTACTATAGTGTTGCTGCGAGCACCGATTTAAGAAACCCCCAACATTTCTTCACTGTTAGTTAGAGCTCAAGCACTGTTTGTTACATACTAATATGTTACCGTGTTTGATATCACTCTTTAGACTCAATGATACTTTGCCATTTGTTTAGACATCTAATGGCAACAACTTTTTCTGCATTCTAATGTACACAATATTTCTCTTTTTTATAGCCGGCTCCACGGGCAGGCCAAATGAAAGGAATCCTGTGTTTTGATTGGTTGCCCGAGCAGACAAAATGCTTTTACCATCCCTGCTCCGGTCACCCACTTTGTCCCACGAATGGAGTCGTAGAACACAACATTACGTTTCATGAGCGATTTTCCAAGTCGCCGATCAAACGACTACCGGAAATCTCGTAAAAATTCTTGCCTTTCCAACGAGTCGGAAACTTCAATGGGTTTGAAAAAAAGCCACCAAAGCTAGTACCTCAAGCGAATCCGAAAGCCACAATTAATTTCTGCCGATGAGAGGAGGTTGCTGCCACTCCTTTAAAAGATCTGTCAATTCGGAAACGGTCAGCGCGCTCTATTTTCATTTCTCCCGCATGCACAAAATAAATGATTATTCATAATCTTACAAGCTTTCCTTTGTTAAATGTTCCAGACAATGAATTGATTTCAACCTTGAAAATACGAAGTATTCAGCTACACGTTGCCCCGCTGCCTATTCAAATTTAATTATCCATGCGCGTGTAAGCTGGCGCCCGTGAAAGCCGGCGCCCGTGAAACCCGGTCAGACTTCCGTACGGTTGTTTCAACTAGGGTATTTTTCTATGTAGATTTGAGGTTGTGATTTATCTCCAGGAAAAAAAAAACTGAGATTGAGTGCTGAAGACTCCCTTTGAAGTTACTGTTACTGTAGAGACGGTGTCGAAACGTCCCCAAGAACCCCTCCCGTCGGTGAACATATACCGCAGGTGTCACGTCTCGTGGAAAAGCAAAAGATTATTTCACGAGAGCATAACTCTGTCTTATAACAGGAGTGACAGCGATGGAAAAGCAAGCCAAAAGCGGCAGAGAACACCACAAACCACAATGGACAAACAAAGAGCGAGTAAGTTCTATTATCCTTATGTGTAGAATGTTCATATTCCGAAATATTTCGCGTTGTAGATCGACCATATTTCTTTCCCCGTACTATTCCTTACAGCGTGTTCAAATTCTCAACGTAACTTAACCCCACGTCACACAGCGCGTAACGCTTTCATTAAAATCTTTTGCTTTTCTCGAGACGTAAGCTTGGAACCGGAAATTCGCTGTTGCTTCCTTAGTTTCCTAGAAATGCATTGTTTGCCTGTATTAATCTCCGGCAAGACAAATGATACCTAGTTCGTCTGCAGTTCTACTGGCCTTAATCCATCTCTCATTCGATTTTTCTCCAAGCCCAGGCAATTTTCGACGACGTACCAAAGGATATATGCTCAAGGTCATTCGATTCACTATTTATTTGAGTACCCGAGGTCCTAAAGGTAAAATAAGCACGTATCATGTCCACTTAGCCGATTTCTGCAACCGACTAGTAAATATGTTAAGGCCACAAGAAATTACAAAGAGTGTCGTCTGAACCATTAACCAAAATAATTTTAAGGCAAGCGCACACGCCGAAAACTTTGCAGTAAATTGAATAATTTTTTAAAACTCGAAGCCACGTGAGAAGCTAAATCATGAAGAGATCGTCTTAAATTTCACTTCAATTTAAAAAGCACAATATTTTCAACTGAAGAGCTGTTTACAGTGTTCGCATGGCGAAATTAGCTCGAGGAAATGAAATTCCATGCTGTACCCGCAATATTACTCTGTAAAACTGAATTCTGACAACAGCCTACGCAGAACACAAGTATAAATTAATGGAATGAAGCAGAATTATAGAAGACTATAGCTGATTGCGAAAATCAAAGAGGCCTCGTATAGCTACTTTTAAACTCACGGTATCGTGACATCCTTCCCCGGTTGAATTATGATCATGTTCTCCAGCTATAATATAGACTTAGTTTCATTAAACCATATATAATAAAAGGTGTACAAGGTCTGAACGACTTTGTGTTTTCAAAGTATGATGTGTTTTAATGTTCTATCCGATACCTTTCAAACTGCGCTGTTCAATAGCACATCGCGAATTGCACCTTATCGTGAGGGTACAAACTGATATAAATTTGGAAATCCCCGTCGTGAAACCTCCGAAAACCCCTATTAGAATGGCTTGATCTACGAGACACTTTATAGGGAAAGACATGAAGATTGGTCGTCGATCCAAAGCAAAATTCTTTTTGGAAGCCGTCGCCTCCAAATAGCATTAGGTATCCTTCTGAGCGTGTCAGGCCGCTTAGCCTACATCCACTGCTAACCAAATTGAAATCATTTCGCTTATATTTTATCTAACACTACTTACCGAACTAGCTTTTACAATTAATCCAAAGAACGCACGGTGACTCCACCAACGTCGATCGTCTCTGGTAAAGTTTGGAGTGAGCAATGGCTCTTCTTGGAATCAATAATTAACACATGTGAGTCTACGTCTGTGGGGGTGGGGGTGGGGGCATTAGGGGACACCTGGTACACAAGCTATCTTTGCTAATTTATCTCAGATAGCGAATCATTTACAGTTGCAGAGGCATATTACCTGTAAGAAACAAAGACCAAGTGTTCCTTTGCGACTGCTTTTGCCTTAGGTAGGAAGTAAGCAGCTCATATGCTTTTGAACACCACCCCAACCCCCTTCTGTGATTATGTATGATAAAATCTCAGCTTATTTTTCCAGTTTCCTAGAAAGACGGACATTGCCTTTGAGTGTTTGCTTTCCTCTCAACAATGATCGGCTCGTGATCATGTTTTAATCTGCATAAATCTCTTATTCAATTCACAATCCCCAAAGACCTGCTCCTTTTTCGACTGAGTACCTGAAGCTGTTATGGTGAATTTCAACCATAATCTAGTCTTTAGTACTGAGATATGTTAAGAAAAGGCAATGATATATTTTTTTTTAATTTCAGCGCCTTACCTAACAATGGTTAACAGCAGACGATAACAAATATCAGTGCGAAGTGCGAGTCAAGCGCGAGGCGGCGCCGAGTGCGAGTCACGCTCTAGGTCACCTCTGATCCGCTTGTGTCACTAAAGGCATCATACTTTCCCGCCGGCGAAGAAAAGCACGCTTTGTAGTGATGACTACACATTGATAGTGAAGTATTCCGATCACGAAGTATTTCACTGGCTTAAAATAGCGCTAATGGTAATACAGGTTGTTTTATGTGAAATGAGAGCGATTGGTATCGTTCACCTCTTAATTAGAGACCGGTCTTTACTCATCGCCCGGGGGATGATTTTCTAGTGATCCCCATCATTAGTTTATACCCTGAGAATGAAAGTCCCCCCCCTCCGTTCCTCTAAAAAACTGCGTGATCCTCCCCAAACATCCTCCGCTTCCCCCCTCCCCCGGTAAATAATATTGACTGGTTTCCCTTCCCAGTTTGTAACCAATAAGTACTTTTTGCCTTGCTTTTGGGTTCAATATCTCGTAATAAGAGCTGTTCGTATAATACCTGTAAACTGAATTTTATAAACTAGTTTTCTTTTCCTCAAGACTAGAGGATAAATAAAAAAGCTGTCTTTTTTTTCCCTTTATTTTAACGCTGGGCAATAGTTACTTGAATTGATTCATAGATGACAGAATGGTTGTTGTTTAATGACAGAATGGTCGTTTAGTAGTCGCTCACGAACAGAAAATAAACAATGAAATTTTGACTTTAAAACTAACTAAGGTGGCTTGGATTCAATCCAAGGTCAAGATAGACATATTAGTCTGATAAATGCTTAACAAAACTATCCACTTTAATATTGTGTTTAAAATAGAATCGCTTTTCATCAGTCAATGCATTCATATATACTGACTTTAAATGCCTTGACTGTTTGTTACACCTATACATACCTATATACATCAACTTCATTTTGGCATCACAATGTCATGCGTGTAGACAAATGTTGATGCATGACAATTGAGGGAGGCCATGTGATCGATCGTAATCTTAGATAACTCTTCTCATGGTGCATGACAGACTTAAAATAAAACCTTTGCGCATCATTGGAATAACATCCATAGGCAATTATGTAAGGAAGACTATGAACTGCTGGAATTGAGCTTGTAACAATTGGGCCCCGGCCGATCAAAAGTAATCTGTCTTTGTACAATACTAAAGGGGTAAGTTGATCTAAAGAAACTGTTAGTGGTTCTTCTGCGTCAGCGGGGAGGGGAGGGGAGGGGAAGGGGGCTACTCCAAGTTTATTTGGTTTTATCAACTGAGTTGATGATGTAAACCATCCACCCTAAAGAGTTTCTTTGACCTGTCTAGTGTTGGTCCTTCGTCAGGGCGTCTGCCAACACTCGCAACAGAAAAACGAAAAAAACCAAACAAGTTAAAACACCAAAATAACCAAAACGTAACAACCCGACGAAACGAATGAAAAAACATAAGCAAAAAGCAGTCAATGGCAAGCCTGTCTACCCCGTAGAAGATCGAAAAGGTCGGAAAATGATCTTGGCTCAAGTAACATCCCGGGCGATGTAGAGGGGGGGGGGGTGCGGCGTTCTTGAAAACGAGTACTGCGCAAGATAAGATAAGATAAGATAAGATAAGATAACTTTATTTATACACGGTATTTCCATCAGTTGTTAATTATCTATAAAGGTATATCTATCTTCCTAACTATAATAAAATCTATAATAACAATTCAAATAAAAGAAACAAATAAAAAATCTGCTTTTCATTGAGGCCGTGTCTAAAATTTATTTAAAATTAAGATATTACTTTAAAACTGTGGCGACTTAATTTAGATTTGAAATCTAACTCAACCCAACTCATTCATAATTTTATAATGCTTAAATACTTTTAATGGTTAACAATGGTTATAACAGTCTAAGACGCTTATATAATAACGTTTTTTTACTTTGTTTGAATAAGAAAATTCGAAATAGCAGAATTGTTGCAGTTACAGTTCTACACTGGATCGAAAAAGGCAACTTAGACGGAAAATCGTGACTATATGCAGGTATAAGAAGATTATATTACTTCATATAATTGAATCCCTATATGATATTCATAAACTAATCTGGATAAAGGTGAGTCTGTTTTTACTCACTTTTTATCAGGGAAACAACGGTGCCCTATCTATTTGTCTTTCTAATGGAAAGAATATAAGAGACACTAATTTTATCGAATTATAAGCTACCGTAACTTGCGAGTAACCTCTCATGAAACGTCTCACACCTGCTCGGCAAATAGATTCTGCGCTACCTTTAGCAACGCGTAATAGTGCAACTACCATCCAAAAGTCTCGAAAAGTTTCAGCTCGAAGGCATTAAGCACAAAACCTAGCGTGAGACAGACCATCTGTTACGCATTATAAGTCTATGTTTTCACGCTCAATAAACCGAAGAACTTAATCTATCTTCTTGAAAGACGCAAGTATCTTTTTAGTAAAGCAATTTGTTCATCATCATGACCAACACAGCGATGGTTCCAAACAAGAAAACTTTACCTCTTGAGATCTCTGCAGCACCATTCAATTGGGTGCTGTTGCAGGCTATATCAGAACATGGAGCCAAGGTCTTCCCCCAGTTTGGAGGCTTGTGTGACACTGCCAGTGTCTGGATGCTGGTGCAGTCTTTATCAGAACACGACGCCAAGCTCTTCACCCAGACACTGTGTCCATCCACTTTCAAAGGTAGCGCTCCCTGTTTTACAGCTGAGGCAAATTCATTGATACGCTTGTTGAAGTGGACGGATGGAGTGGATGTGATGGCGATGCCCAGGGCTTTCTTATCAGCTAATAAGACGACAATTTCCAGGTTTTCTGGATCTTCAACTCTCCCAGTATAGGCAAGCCAGTCCATTACATCTGAGTTCCACTTCAAGGCACTCGCAATGGCTGAGCCAACTCCATCTGCGAATCGACTTTGAGCATCAGATTTAGGAAGGAATTTAGGAATTTATTTTTATTAACCATCAGATTTAGGAAGATTATCAGTTGAGCGCCTCGATCGCAGAAAAAACTTTTTAATCTTCAGCTTGGTAACTCTGACTGGGCCCTCTTTCAGCTCTCTGTAACATTTCTTGATGTTAGCAGACAATCCACATTTCTCTCCTATGTTCCATATTCCCTTGAGAGATTCCCAGAGTGTGTCGACTTTAACAAAGGAACCCTTGATGGTCCAAAATATCTGGAGGTAATCAGAGCAGTCGAGATCACAGACGGACGACACACCATTTCCTGGATTCACGTTACATGGTGTATGAGAGGCAAACGCTTTTTCTCGTATCTCCTCGCAGGTTGGATCGTCGACCCATGGCCGCAATAGTGGCACCAGTGAGACTTGAAGGCATTTGCGAACTTCATTAACCCAGTTTCGCCCGATTGGACTGAACTTTCCAAAGTTTTGGTCATACAGCTTGCAAAAATGTTCAGCGTATTTGACTGCATATCCATTACTTGTAGCTTCACAGGGATACCTCCTCTCCAGGCAGTTGCGATACCAATCACAGGAATCCCCTGGTGGACTATAGCACTCCGGAGGAAGTAATGTGGTAGGTGTGAGAGTGTTTGGATATGAGGTTGGATTGCTGGGAGTACAGTAACAATCACTCGTCACTGATCCATAGTTCTTGTTATGCACTTCAAGCATACACTGATACCAGCAGTAGGTTGCAGTTCGGTCTATACACTGATGTTTTTGGTTGCTCTTTTGCTTCATGTAAGCATCCGTCACGCACGTCCCCCACTGGTATTCGTTATTGTACGACCTTAATTGAATGCATTCAACAGTTCCAGCGGGTCCAGACCACTTGTCACACTGGGCGGCCCATCCCAACTCGACCACAAGCAATAGCATAAACGTAAGAGATAGCATCGTTCAAAGCTGCAACCTGGGAAATGAAATTAGGTCATTTTAAGATTTAGTATCCATTCACATATCTGCAGTGCGGAAAAGAATACAGTAGCAGCCCGCTAACTCGAACACTCATGAGAAACGGAAGATGGTTCGAGTTATTTGTATTTTTTATGATTAATGTGGAATAATGTTTTTACCATTCTCACACAAACAACAGTAATTTCGGTACATTTAGTTTGTTCTAGCAAAGGCAGCCCAGGCGCCAACTGTTAGATGATGATCTTGCGAAATAAGAGTCATGGCAAAAATATAGGAGTTTGTATAGGAATATTTACGATTAATATTTATATTTTTTTCTTAGGAAGTAAAAATACATTAAAATTCTCAATAAAAATATCTTACCTTACTTTCACAGTGCATCGGTTATTGTCTCACCGCTAACTTTGCTGTAACGAGGCCATTTTTGCGAGTTATCCATGGGAAGTCCGACTAAACCGAGTTCGAGTCAGCTGATAATAAATGACTGGAAAAATGGGGTAAACCCTGAGGAAATCTGATCTTATTTGAGATAGCAGGGGATTCGTGTTAACCGTGCTCGAATTAGTGGGGCTCGACTGTATTACTATAGTTACCATCCCTGCTCCGGTCACCCACTTTATCCCGCCAATGGAGTCGTAGAACACTAGCAACTAACGAAAACGAAACTAACAACTGCGGCTAATTTATAGGCAGCCTACACGGATAGCCTACCCGGTTTTAAGCTTGTGCGCATCTGCCCGTCTACGATTAATAAAGATGACCTTGCGCCTCTTTTTCTCCCTTCAGAAAGAAGCTTGGGTTGTATGTAGTTGGCGGGCCGCTCAATACATTTTGTCCTTTGTTTTCTCGATCAAAATAATTTGCGCCCTTGTAGATCGCAGAAGAAGCAGTGGAATACGAATACTTTTCACATAATGCCAAATGGCGTTTGAGTAAGTTTTCTTGGAAAGAAGCCTGATAAGCTAGTGAGCAGGCAAGCATGCAATGTAAATTACCTACCTGATGCGGGTTGAAGGATGCCAATTACAAGACACCAGGAAAGAAATCTATACCAGGAAAACTTGTTTACATGCATCGTAGCGTTGAAAGAGAGGTTTTCCTTCCACGAGACGGGCAGTTATAGTTCCTATTAATTTTTCGACAATTTATCGCCAATTGTACTTCGAGTTTTCTATAATCTTAACAGCAAACAGGGACCTTGTGAATGATTTATAGCACACGTCCCGCGGTGAAATTAAATTAAAACAAAAGACTTTTCTCTGTTGTGCCTCACCTTTTTGTAAGAAATTAACTGCAAGGGACATAACGATTTCCTGGAGTTACAAACTCTTAACTCTGACTTGAAGTACGGAAGCAAATTATATTCATAAAATCCATTCATCGAATAGGAAATGACTGACGTGTAATTTTATAAAAATCTCAAGAATGTTAACCAGCTCGTGCAAAGCCTTGGATCCCAAATTCACCGTATTATGAAAAAATAAAAATTAGAAATGTGACACCTCCAATAATCATCATTTCAGATATGACGTTGATGTTACATTTGATACCAGCATAGGGGCGTTACTTTAAGTGACACTACTTTTCAGATGAACAAGGGAAGTTCTTTTCGCTCCCTACAACAGCTTCTTTCATCTGTGCAAACAAATCTTGAAATGTCTGGTGATCACAGCGTAGGAGCCGTCGGGCCAATTTTTGACCCCAATATACAAGTTGGTTCACAGGACTCACAAATTGCAGGCGGGCTACCGGGCGCGAAGCCCTACCGAACATTCGTTTGGGTGGACGACATTGCGCAAGTAAGTCAAAACCCAACTCTTGCCCCAGATGGCAAAAAGGTCAAGTTCGACCAGAGGCTTTGCGGAGACGCCATGGTGGCGCACCTAAAACGGGAAATTCCTGAAATCACGGCGACCAGTTGGGTAAGACAGTATTCCACGAATATGGTCTACATTCTTTCAGCACCGCACCAGCTTAGACCGTAAAATGGCGAGCGTGAAAATGATGACTAAATTCTAGTTTCACCTACTTTTCTACGCAAAATATTTTTTATGCACTGAATCAGCTGGTTCTGGACCGATGTTTCTAGAGCAGCGCTAATCGCGCGTTTTTATGTTGTGAATTCCACAGGGATTCCACCGCAAATAAACGAAAAAATAATAATTTATTCAAACCGTGCTTTCTGTCAAAACAACCGCGTACGATCAAGACAATAATATACAATGATATTTTCACATCTTTAGCGCACAAAAAGTTCAACGTTCGGCCAAACAGTTCAAGGAATTGTTGAGTTTGTAGTGCTTTTTACAGTGTTTTCGTTGTTAGAACTGTTTTTCAGCTGCTGTAATGTTGGTGAAAGAAAACCTACTTGAAACGCCGGCCATTGTTTCGCTCGCAAATTTTCAGCGTATCCAAATGTTGCGACATCCGAGGCTCGCATTTGATTGGCTATCTGCGAGTTTCTTTGATTATTGACCAATCAGAATGTCTGGTTTGTTACTTCTTTGCACTGAATTAACCCTGAAAACTGCATTTATCTTAAGCAATCCGAACTGAGTAATTTTTTCATGTACATTATTAGGAACAGTAATGAGCCACGATCTTGAAGTTGGGGCAACATGGAGGAACTAAAAATTCCCCCATAATCAAGTTGTATGGATCGAAGAAAGTGGTTAATAGAAATAAATTTTCTCTCTCTCCCCCCTCTCTCTCCCTCTCTCTCTCTCTCTCTCTCTCCCTCTCTCTCCCCCTCTTCCTCCCTCCCCCCCTCTCTCTCCTCCCTCTCTCCCCCCTCTCCCCCCTCTCTCCCCTCTCTCCCCCCTCTCTCTCCCCTCTCCCCCCTCTCCCCTCTCTCTCTCCCCTCTCTCCCCTCTCTCCCCTTCTCTCTCCCCCCCTCTCTCTCCCCCTCTCTCTTAAGGTAAAGTAAGTTTATTTTTATTTCTAATTAGACCACATAGACAATAGACCACGAAATAACTACGTGTGAGTTTATTTCAGACAAATAGGAAAGTTTTTTTCCTGTCTTTTAACTAAACTAATGCGCTATTTTCGTTCTCTTTGAGCTTAAGGCTCTTTTTCTTCAACAAAAATGAAGTTACACAGTGTCCCACCTCAACTCACCCAGCCAAAAAAATAACTCTTGCATGCATTGCATGCCTATGATTTTACTGTTTGTTCAGTCCACTGTTTCTTCTTTTAACTTTGTTTGTTGCGATTATATTGAGAACTTTTTTTTTTCACTGCTCTGTTTGGTAGTCTTGTTCAGTTGTATCTTGCGCATGGCTTGTTCTCTCCTCCGATTAAATATTTCATTAAAATCTTGCACAATGCTTTTCTCGTCTCTGTTTGATTTCCAAGTTAATATCTACATCACTGTTTGTTTTAACTTAAATTTGTTTCCTATTGTAGAATCTAGCCCTCTGTTCTTTTCCTTAACCCTTTAACTCCCATGAGTGACCAAGACAGAATTTCTCCTTACAATATCAACACGGAATCAAGCAGACAAGTGAGGAGAATAAAGAAGAAAACTCAATTAGGGAACTACGGGCTGATCCAAGACCAAATTCTCCAAATTGAAATCATACGTTTTTATAGCAGACAGTAGGGAGAAATTCTAATGAGATCTTGGGAGTTAAAGGGTTAATTCTGGCTGATTGTCACGTTCATATCCTACGAACTGTTCGCACTCTTCTGTTTGACGTTAGTATCTCGCGCAATGTTTTCTCCTAATTTTATCTCAATAATTCGCTCACCGTTTCTCTTCTTCTCTATTTGTTAAAACTTTTCTTTTAGTATGTTACACTCTGTTTGTTTCCTTCTCCACTTAACTTTTTGATTAATATGTAGCGCCCTGTTCACAACACTGTTTGATTTTTGCGGTAATTCTCAAGCATTTTTCTCATCTCTGTCTGATTTTTACATAATTACCTTCTCTCTTTTTTTATTATGTCTTTAGTATCTCTGTTAGTTTATTATTATGTCCTGCACCTGTGAACAGTCTTAATCACTCTTCAATGATCACGTGTGCGTGCAGCGGGAGAATTGAAAACAGAATCGTAATGATTTAAATCAAGGATTAATTTTGAGTTTTGACGAAGCTTTGCTAACATTCTGTCATTTTTATACATTGAGCTAATATCCTGCGTTCAGTTTTCCCATCCCAATTTATTGTAGTTCCCTATTGATTGTATACTTAATAGATCAAACGACTTAATTGCAGGTTTCGTCGTCGCTGCCTTTTGATTAAGCCCTTTCTACAAAAGCACGCAAAATCTACTACTTGACTAAATAAAAAAATTAAAAATGTCTTCGCAAAGTAATACCAGTGTCCATTGAACGACAACGTTTAGGAAGAAGAGTCTTTGTGCAGGATCAGTAGTCACTCTGTTTCTTCTCCGCCTCGTTGTTGTCCTCCTCGAGTTCTTCTTTCCTTAAAAAAAACATAAACTTGTCACTATTTCAGCTTTAAAGTAAACGGAACAGATTTCCAATTAAACAAATTACTGTCTTCTTTGATGTCATTGGCTATGATTACCCAAACTTGTCGAACATACCATGCTTGATATGAAAGTGACTTTAAGATTGTCAGTTTATTGTAATTTTTGTTGATTTTTTACAGGTAAAGTTAAATTTTTCAGCTTCTCAAGTTACCTTCATCGTCATGGCTTCTAGTATCGCATCGACCATGAGTAATTATTTCTGAGTATATTGCAAACAAATGAAACGCTCATTCAACGCAAATTTTGGAGAGCCTTCAGTGAAAATATTCCGGCTCCGAGCGCTAGATAAAATCAAGTTCTTTTTCTTGGCATTTTATGGATGAAAGACGAAGACAAAGAAAAACAAAAAAATTAGAACAACTGAGTGAACTGAACAAGTTAAGTGTGCTAATCGGTGTATCGTAGAAAATTGCTCATTATAATCCGACTTACCCTTTTTTCATAAAATCAAATGTCACGTTATCCCCCATCAACACAAACGGAGCCCATTGGGAAGGTTTGGAAAATCCATTGCTTCTCAACCATTGAACAGCCTGGTGAAGAGATTCACTAGCACTTTCTCCACGCACAAGGTGTTTATAAAATTGTTTCATGAGCTTCGCCGTTGCTTTGTCTTCTATAGCCCACGATGCTACCAACACTGAACGTGCACCAGATGCTAAGAATGCCCGAGCGATTCCAATAACTCCTTCTTTTTTAACCAATCCACGCCCACTGTGACAGCAGCTGAGTACTACCAGTTTAGCTCGCACTTGAACTCCTTCTATGTCGGACATTTTCAGGAGGTAGTCTTCCTCTTGTGGAGTACTGTTAGTAGTACATTTAGGAGAAAGGGCAATCTCTCCTCTTTCGGCATCTCCATGTGCAGCAACATGTATCAGACTCACTGAAGGTATTGCTTGAAGAACCGCCTGCTTTGTTGCGCGACTTCCCAATAAAGGCTGAACACCCAGTAGTTGACCAACAATCTCTGCTTCCTTACTTGCACAGAACAATGGTGTAATGTCAATGAGACGTCCATTGTATTGTACTTTGCCAACCGTAGGATCACCCACGACCAGTCCACCAGCTTGACTGTGATAGTCTGCTGGACATTCTTGAATGAGCCGGAGAGTTGTCAGTGAAGGGACGATGCGTATTCTGTACTTCTCTGATAAATACTTTCCGGCTTGTTCATCACGCAAGGCAGCAAATGGGACTCGGTACGAAAAACTATCCGGTACAATAATGATTTCGGGCTCTGTGAGTAAATCATCCACAGGTGCGACGATCCATTCGTAGCACAAATGATGGCTTCTTCCGGTATCTTTGGTTTTGTCACCTCGCAAATTTGCCTGGCTCTCTCCGTGAAGAGATGTCGTCACGTTGTCATCCAACGATCGGTCTTCGCAGTTCGCTGTGGGTAAAACACCAAAGCATTCGGCGCTCTTTTTGAAAACTCCTTCCACTTCGCAAACTCGCTCAGCAATAAGAGTGTCTATTTTCACTTCGTCTGTTTTCCGAAAGAAAATGTCTCCATTTGCTTTCAATACCCAGAGAAGAACTCGCCGATCTTCATACGAAATGTACAAAAAAACACAGTTACTTTCTCTTCTCGCGATGTTTTCAATCCCGAACCATGATTGTGGATCAGCTGAGATGTGGCTTGCAGCGGAGTACTTGTCTGCCATGAATTCTGCGAGGACTCTTGCTCGTCCCAGCTCCTCAACATAGAGAGCATCTCGAAATTTTCCGGTACCGCAAAGGAGGCGAGTGAGTAACTTGAAGGGAAAAGTACCGCGTTGCTCTAACAGAGAAATTTCAAATCCACTGTTTCCTTTCTGAAGAGTTCTGATTTGTTCATATTTTCCAATACATTGGAGAAGATATTCTATTGCCTCCACAACCTCTAACTGCGATAACTTTAACATTGTAATACCGAGAAGGCTTTCAAACTCACCCGATTTGTGTCCAATTTCGCTGCATATGGAACAAGCTTTCTGTAAATAATATGCTGCCTTATCATATTCACCAAACGATCGGGATAGACATCCAACGCGGAGGTATAGTTGTGCTTCGCACTCTCTATTACCACATTCTCTGCTGATTGTAAGCGCCTTCTCACAATGTTCTTTTGCCTTCTGACTGTCATTTACAGAATCAGAGACATCTGCCAAACCTACAATAGCCTTGGCTTCCAGTTCTCTGTCACCAACTGCAATACTGACGTCGACTGCTTTGTCCAAATGTTCTTTAGCTTGCCAATTTTTTTCAAGATTGCAGTACACCTTTCCAAGACTTAAGTATGCCCAACCTTGTCCTATTCTGTCGCCAATGTCTATCGCGATGGCAAGTGCTTTCTCGTAATATTCTTTAGCATTCTGATATTCGCCAAGGGAATGAAACACACTTCCGAGGTTCCCGTATGTTCTTCCTTCTCCTCCTCTGTCGCCAATTTCTATCGCGATGGCAAGTGCTTTCTCGTAATATTCTTTAGCATTCTGATATTCGCCAAGGGAATCAAACACTCTTCCGAGGTTCCCGTATATTCTTCCTTCTCCTCCTCTGTCGCCAATTTCTATCGCGATGGCAAGTGCTTTCTCGTGATATTCTTTAGCATTCTGATATTCGCCAAGGGAATGAAACACACTTCCGAGGTTCCCGTATGTTCTTCCTTCTCCTCCTCTGTCGCCAATTTCTATCGCGATGGCAAGTGCTTTCTCGTAATATTCTTTAGCATTCTGATATTCGCCAAGGGAATGAAACACACTTCCGAGGTTCCCGTATGTTGTTCCTTCTCCTCCTCTGTCGCCAATTTCTATCGCGATGGCAAGTGCTTTCTCGTGATATTCTTTAGCATTCTGATATTCGCCAAGGGAATATAACACACTTCCGAGGTTCCCGTATGTTGTTCCTTCTCCTTCTCTGTCGCCAATGTCTACCGCGATGGCAAGAGCTTTCTCGTGATATTCTTTAGCATTCTGATATTCGCCAAGGGAATGAAACACACTTCCGAGGTTCCCGTATGTTCTTCCTTCTACTTCTCTGTCGCCAATTTCTATCGCGATGGTAAGTGCTTTCTCGTGATATTCTTTAGCATTCTGATATTTACTGAGGCTAGCACAGACATTTCCAAGTCTCCCATGAGCCAGTGCTTCTTCTCTTTTGTGACCAATTGTTTTCATGATGGTGAGTGCGCATTTAAAGAAATGCTTTGCCTCTATAAACCGGCTTTGTGCTTCATATATGTCTCCCACTTCCATGATTAGACTCCAAGCATGGTTAAATGTGTCAAGAAGTTTGGTGGCATGTCTTTCCGCATCTGTGTAACCAGAGATGGCGTAGAACGCATTGAATAGTACATCGGAGATATCAAGGTGACTACCAGAGTCAAGGTTTTGAAGTAGAATTACACATTCCTTATATAACTCAATCGCTTGTAGGCCACGATCAGTGTTCAGAAGAAATATGACGACATTTAAACCTATCTGGACTGATTTTAGGATTTCTGCAGCGTCACTCATTACGGCTTTCTCCTGTTTGTTGTCGTAGGAAAGAATCAACAAAAAAAGAAAGCTTAAAAAAAGAAACACTGATAAATGTTCGAGTTTATAAAGTGTTTTAGGGAATTTGTGGTTGTCTTCCTTCTTCGTCTCTACAGATATCTGAGCGTAACATTCCTTTTTCACTTTTTTTTCAGACCAGTCACAAGTGTATCATCTGGGTTCAAATTACAACAATCGTAGAGGGGATTTGAATACAGCTATCAAAAAAGTTTCACCAGTAGAACAGCGGTTAATTTACCAACCGTGATATGTTTGGATTCACTCGTGACGAGTAAATGTGAAGTGTAAATTTTACAGAAAGGCGAGCGTGATTACTGAGTTTATGAACCAATGAGGGGCGTGATTTGCCTCCTGAAATATACGTAACTCGTCAATTTCTTCTTCCATTTTGTGAAAACATAAAACTTACTCAGCTCTGATTTCCATTGTTATTTGTTTCAAAATCGAGGCAAATCAATATCTTCAATCGATCTGGAGATATCCATCTACGTGACGTAGATCTAGTTTCGTTGCGTAGTGGAAAAATTTGATGGACATAAATTCAACAAGAAAAATATCACACTCTACAATTAAAAGCAGTATAAAACTATTCAATTGTGCCCAGATGAAGATATTTGTACAAAATTTGTGTTGGTTTTTCTAACCGTTTGTCCCATAAAGATCAAGCCGCCATGTCAGTCTCAGAAACTCGCTTAGTTAATTTGAGATGAAGAAATTAGACTTATGAAAGTGTTGTCAATGATTAACCACCCATCAATTATTTTGAAAAAGAAATTTTTTGATTTAATACAGCATAAATTTGGGAAAAGAGCAAAGATTCTACCCAGCGTTTCAACTGCTTACAAAATGCTTTGTTTTTCAGGCGAGGGGAAAATCTTTCAACTTCATTCAATTACATACGCGTTACTTCAGTAAGTCATAAACCAACTTCTCCAAATTTTTTGTTTCGTAAAATAATAAATTGAATTTCATTAATGGAAAATGAAACTGAGGAAGTTATAAAAATGCAGAAATTGAAAGAAAACGAACAGCTCACTTTTTGGAAACAGAACATGCCTTTTATATTAGTGCCTGATAGTGTGGCTAATGAAACAAATAAAAGAAAATGAAATGAGACTTTCCCAGACAAACAAACGTAAATGCAAACGTTTTACTCGCACAGTTGGTAAGAAGTCATCATCAAAATAAAAAAAATAGAACCTAAGATGGAAGAAAGATTGTTTTCTAAGTTGCTCATAAGATTCATCAAATAACATACGGGATCTTCTTTGTTTCAATCATCTCAGAAGTGATGAACTTGTAGTTTCTCCTTACAACATCAATATACACTTAATGTATAGTCCCGAGGGGAACATCTAGTTTTGTTTTCCCGAGAGTCCAACAGGAAAACAAAACTAACTAGTTTCCTGAGGGGACCATACATCAAACGCTTTGTTATATATTTAGACTTTCCCTTAAACAATCATTTCGCAAAATCATGCTGTTGTATTCCGCGCGCAGGCAACAACTGCAAAATTGTATCCCGGTCGAGATACCGTGATTTGAATTTGATCAGGGGCACGCGACCAAGAATCAACCAATCACATTGCTCGTTTTGTTTAGGGAAAGTCTAAGAGTATAACAATATACCATATAGCAATGCTAAAAGTAAACAGACTCATCATTCAGAGGGTGTTATCTTCATGAGTAGAAAGTTTCCATCCAAAACATGTTAACTCATAATGTTTATGAAATAAATTTTTAGCCGCTCACCTTCCGTGAAATCTAAAAGATCTTTAGATAGTTAAGAGACCAAAACCACGCAACTGATATAAAATCTCTCTGCAAAGCAATGAAGAATGCAAAGAGCTACTGTAAGATTGAATATGAAAATTATCGGTTAAAAGTTATCATTGTAAACGTAATAAGGATGGAACTTGCATTACAGCTTGCCCATAAGAGATCTCAATAAATACTGGAGCTCACATATCATTGATGAGAGTTTGCTGGTTTTAATTTTGCTCTGCTCGGTTCTAAAGCCATCAAGTTACAGAAGTGAGGAACATGTTGTTTCTCTTTCCAATATCAACATATTATTCAGTGAACAAGCGACGAAAATACTTATCAGCTGAGGGTTTTTTCTTTATACAACATTAAATTCTCCCTACTGACAAGTAAGGTAATGTAAGGGAACTAGAAGGAAGAGTTGCTGATGAGATCATAAATTTAAAAGGTGCGGACCTTAAATATTTTGCGATCCAAATCAAAAATTGATTCAAAGGGTAGCTCTCCACAAATATTATTAGTTTACTTGGAATTACAACTTTTTCTTATCACTGATTTTGCTACATTTAAACCAGAAATATATTTTTTCGAAGCAGGAAAAGAATAACTATTATTATAAATTTAGTTTTTTTGCCGGTAATCCTTTCAAAAGTAAACACCCTTTGTTTGGTTGATGAGACCAAAAGTGGCCACAAACAGAGATAAATGCAAGCAGCTCGTGTGAGAACAAAGTGCTGAGTTTGATCGGTCTAAGAGAAGAAACTATGAACTGCAGTTGATAATCTCTTGGTGTGAAAGATATCAATATGACTTTCTGTTTCGCCCATAGTATCGTTGAAAAAACATTGAGGCGCTTCTCTTTCCACATCAAAAATCGCTGTCCTTGAATTCTGTTTCTGTTGCCTGATTTGAGCAGGCGCCGAGAACATTTTTTAAATAAAAAAAATAGAGAGAAAGATGGGACTGTAGATTGATATTTTCTTTATTTTTGCTGCTTACCCTTGAACAAAGAGTTTTATCTAGTTTCGTATTCTGATCGTATGACTGAGAAAGCCGAGAGTAAAACACTAAAATAACGCTTTCCTTGCAAAACAGAGATGAATGACAATCTGACAAGAGTGAAAAATAAGGTAACAGCTTCATCGGTGAAACAAAGAATCGTTTAGAAACTCTAAAATAGAACTACGTCGCTTTCCAACTTCCTCGTAATTTAAATAAAAAATCATGGCATCTTCATATTCTTTTTTTTAAAGATTTCAGATTTAAAAATCTGATTTTCGGGTTCATTCATCGCGTATCTGCTTTTACTCTTTCAACCCCAGACTATAACACCAAAGAATTGTTTAACGTGCAATTTCTCTCTACAGTATCGATATATCCTTCGGTCAACAGTTTTGGAGAATAAAAAAACTTATCAGCTGGATTGTTTCATATTGACGCAACACTTCATTCTCTAAAAATATTTACTGTGATATTTGTAGAGGTAATCACATGATTGTGATTGCGAGTGCAATTTGGAATAAATAAGCACGAGTAAATTTTTTTAAAGACTAACAAATTAACAAGTGCTTGTTTATTCCAATTTGCACCAGAAAAATCATGTGATTACGTGTTAATAATATACTTGGAAAAATACGAGATGGCTTATCATAATTAAACATAAGCAAAGCGCGCGCATCAAGTGCAAAAATAATTTATTCAAACCATGCGTTCGGTCAAAACAACCGCGTACGATCAAAACAATAATATACAATGATATTTTCACATCTTTAAGGCGCAAAAAAATAAAATTCAAAGTCCGGCTAAACAGTTCAAGGAATTGTTCAGTCTGTGTCCGAATCACTTTCGATGAAATGGAATGGTCGTTTCCGAGGTTTAACCATGTTTGTTTTTAATTTCGGCGTTAGATCGCTCGAGCAAAGTGTTAAGCTGGGTCGGCTCGTAATTTTCGATTTCCTTGGCAATTCCCTTCTCTAAACGCCACCTTTTCCAAACCGACAACCAAAAAGCAGTGCTTTTTACAGTGTTTTCGTTGTTTGAGCTGTTTTTCAGCTGCGGTGGCGAGAGAAAACCTATTCAAAACGCCGGCCATTGTTTCGCTCGCAAATTTTCACATTTGCAAATTTTATTGCGACATCCAAAGCTCGTATTTGATTATTTACCAATCAAAATGTCTGAGTTGTTACTTTCTTTGCACTGAATTAACCCTCTTCTGAACTGAATTAACCCTCTTCTGAACTGAATTAACCCTCTTCTGAACTGAATTAACTGAAAACTGCATTATCTTAACCAATCAGAACTGCGTCATTTCTCAATGTATATTATTAGCTACGAAACATTTCAGTTTTTTAAAGCGGGAAAGAGTGTATATATATTTTTTACTGCTAGCCTTTTCGACAAGAAACTTGTATTGTTTGATATTCTAGTCGTATGACTCATGAAACCAAAAGCAAGAAACCAAAATAAGACTTCCCCTGCAAAACAAAGATAAATGCGAATAGCTATTGTAAGAAAGACGTGAAAGCTTCTATAAAATAGAACTAAAATGGGTGAATAAATAATTTATGACTCGAAGAGGGAAAAACGGTTACCAAGTATAAAGATTGAGCTCGATTTGCACTGAACAAAATAAGGGCCGTTTAGGAACCTGAAAATCAATCGCTCATCATCCTTTCTATAAATTAAGCACACAGGGTTGAATTATCAAACAGACTGGATTTCCCCGCCTCGAATTTGTTTGAAATTTAGCCTGAATACTGTGCGATTTGTATCTACTCTGCGTTACAACTGACACTGAAAAACGTTAAACTACTTATGAAGGC